GCTATTCTTCAACATCCAAACCGTAGTTTGGATCCTACAGACTGTCATTATGAATCTTCCAGAAAAATTAGTTTGTGTGTCATGATTACTATGTTCTAATTTACTAATTGTCTACTAGGCTGGTTAGTCAAAACATTGCGGCTTTAAACATGTGGGAACTGGTACAAACAAGCCTCACGAAACGCATTATAAAGTACCGAGGTTCAGGCTGATCTATTCATAACACGATAACACGAAAGCACCAGGAAAGACATCCTATTATTACACTCCAGTTTCTGCTAGATCAGGCCTTTAGAGAAAGGCATTTATTCCCCTCCGGTATGAAGAGTCTACAAAGAAGTCAATTGCTGGCCACTGAACACCCGGGGTAAACTTAATAATATGGCTAATGTTTAAAGATGGATCGAATGGATTTCGGAAACAGCTTATCGGTAATGGATGTGAACGTGCTACTGAAGTTGGAATAATCGAATAAACCAATGTTAATCGAAGTGTAGTGGTCAGGATATAAGGTTGATATGAATGCACTAAACTCATCGGTGTAAAGCCCACAGTCCACTTCAAGTTGTTGTGACTTCCACACGCTTTCTGTCAGTCACTCAGTACTTCGGTCAGCTGCAACGTAGGACCAGGCACATATATGCATCAGTCCAAGTTCTCATACCTCATTACCACAACAACATGAACATCAAATTCGTAGAATGAGTTACTTCAGTGGTAGTAATATATCAAAGGAAGATTATGTATATGAATATAACATAGGAAGTGGGGACTTGTTCGTAGAAAGAAAGGTATAAAGCAATTTTGTTCTCACAGTTTAAGGGAAGACAGAGAGTGCAACAACTTAAGCCATTGTGATCGATCCCGAGCCATGTCACCAAGAGTCTCCAACCATCGGTTACGATAGTCACGCAGACCCCAACCAAGTAGTCTACATCTACCAACATGGCTCAGACTAGAAGTTATTGACTTCAAGGACGGATGCTTAGCTTTATTTTGGCCGCTTCTAACTTTCAACCGTCTCCAACACTAGTCAGCATCGCGCATCAAGGTAATCGGTGTCCAAGTATACGTAAAACATGGCCCAACCATCTCTGTCTGTGATGATTCACAACCTCATCAACTGATTTACCATCATTCCCTAATACGCTGCGTCTAACCTCACTATTACTTACCCGGTGATGCAGGCGATATTTCTAAGGCATTTTTGGTCAAATAGAAGTATTTTACGAGTATCTTCTACTCTTAATGGCCACGTTTCGCAGCCGTAAAGTGAAACAGAACGAACTGCCGCGCAGTGCGCTCGTCCCTTAATTGATAGACGGATATCTCGCCTTCGCCATAGGTGACGTAAGTTGACAAAAGCCAAGCGAGCTTTTCGAATCCGTGCAGAAATTTGCTCAGACACCAACCCATTAGGGCTGATCAGACTTCCAAGATAAGTGAAGTTGCCAACGCGTTCGACTACTTCACTCCCTATCCTTAGTTCAGGTGTTGACGCAGGCCAGTCGTGAAGTAACAACTTGTATTTAGAGGGGTGAAATGCATCCAAAACATTCTGGCATTGTTGCTCAGTGCTATCAAAAGACTGCATTTCATCAGTGTCTCCATCAAACAAGGCTATGTCATCTGAGTATTCTAAGTGGTAATTGGTATTTCTGGAAGGAGATCAATTCCTGAAAATTCAGTCAAGAAGAATGTTATTTCTAGCAGTGGGTCTACGATGAAATTTGACGGAAATGGAGATTGTGGATAGCCTTATTGGACACCCCTTGAGGTTTCAAAAGCAAATGACAGTTCGCCATGAGCTCTGAATCGACTGGTAGTGCTCGAGTAAAGAGCTTTCTGTAGGTTCGGAAGAATTTATATTGAAACAAACAATGAGTCCACTAATTTCGTAACTTATCAGAAATGAAAAAAACGTTTTGACCATTGTTCATCTCAATGAAAATGTGACTTCGAATGCCATCTGTGAATCTTTAACAACCATATATCGTACAAATATGTTAACTCGTAGAACTTTGGTCTACTTCGTTATTAGTACTATAATAATAATAGACCAAATAGTAGAATTGTAGAAATGATATTAAGTGACTGCCCAATCTATAAGGCCTTACATGGAAGCCACACCATTGTTTACACTGACTTATTGCATCGTAACAATTACCAGTACGATACTCAGTACTTCTGAAGAACACATTTAGCCTGAACATAGGATTATATATTTAATGTGAACAAAGACAAGTTATACGAATAACCGCGTCTGCTGGGCTGAGCCATGTCATCCGCTAATTGAATAGTCTTGCGTTCACCATTTTTGCCTTTTCTTCGTGTTAAGTGTTGGATATCTAGTTTCCCAGTTATTTCACGTTCAGCTTTGAGGATTGTATGTTTATCTCCAATACCACTACAAACTCCCATTTTGAGTAGGCTAGAATTGTCTCTTTATTTTGCATATGTGATTCCGAGCTAAAAAAAAGATAACATTAACCATATTTTGATGTTTGAGAAGATAATGTAAAAGAGGCTCTGCAACAGTTTCTAATTTCTTATAGAATTATACCTAGTTCAGACTGTCAAGACGGGAAATCACTGGCTGGAATCATATTTAGTCGACCAATTCAAACACTTTCTAATATTTTGAACCCGAAAGACAGAATGATCGAACCACAAAAAATAAGAAAGGGGATTGCCCGAAGAGTCGAGAATTTAAAGCAGTTGACTTACTCTATGCATGTGTTTTCCGGCCTGGCAAGCCAAAATGGATATTTGGATGTATTATAAAAAGACGTGGGACGATATTGTATAAAGTGACGGCCGAAAACACACTAGTTAATAGACACATCAATCAACTGCGAGATACAAAAAACTTTTATGAGTCATCTAAACTCAAAGCTTTGCCAATGGAAGTATTATGTGATACACTTAATAACCTACCACCGCCACAAGTTGGTAGCACTAAGCCCCAAAAGGCACTGTTGGGCAGAATACAAATGAACTGATAACAACGGCGCGTACAGGCCACACAAACATATGAGTAACGTATGCACAAAGGCAATAAGAGAAGACAGGCTTCAGTAGCAGATAAAACTAATCGATAAATTTGTCTCCAATTCGAAAAGCTTATTCCGTTATGCAACCTCTATTCGACAAGCGCGAAGTGGAGTTTCCCAACTGCTAGGTCTTAATGGCCCGACCAACAACGACGGTGACACCGCTAGTCTCCTGGTTGAACAGTACTCTCGGATATTTCAACCCACACATACCAACTTTACTTATGAAAACTTCACCTGCAACTGTACAGGACTTTGCGAAGCGAACCTGAGAGCTGCTTGGTGCACCGGAAACTGCAGCACCTAAAAAATGACACTACTCCTGGTCTGGAAATTGTTCATTCTGCTATACTAAGGGAAACAGCTTAGTGTGATGTTCTCACACTCGCTGAGCGGACGCACATTACTAGAAATTGAGAAGCTGGCTCACATCACACCAATATTCAAAGGGGGTCGACGCAAAGAACCCCCAAGCTACCGACCGGTGGCTCCTCACTCTATACCTTAAAAAGTTATTGAGTCATTGATATGCGATGGTCGACACGACTATTTATTATCCATAAACTTCTTTTCACCCCAACAGCATGTTTTCAGGAAGGGTCACTCTTGTGTAACAAGCCTTCTGGATGAGGTGGACAGATGGACAACCATCCTTGATCGCAAAGAGAAAGTTGACGTCATTTACCTTGACTTCTCAAAAGCCTTTGATAGGGTAAACCATATATGTCTTATCAATAAGCTCGAACGATTGAGTATCAGATCACCTCCAATTGATTGGCTCATTTCATGTCTAAACATCTACATTTTAAGGTCAGGGTTAACTTCACTCCATCTCGGGCTATAGAATGTCCAAGCGGAGTCACCAGGGCTCAGTAATAGGACCTCTTCTCTTCTTGATTTGTATAAATGATCTTCCACAACAAGTATCGTCTGAGTTATTAATTTTCGCTGACGATGTGAAGCTTTGGAGAGAAATACTCAACAAAGATGATATACTGATACTTCGGGAGGGTCTGACTCGACCTCGAAGTTGGGCAGATAACAACAGGTTTACCTTTAACACTTCAAAGTGTAAAGTAGTTCATCGGAGACATGTTACAGACTACAGATATATATATATATATATATATAGGCAACTCCCGTTTAGAAGTATCCTAAGTTGGTAAAAGATTTAGCAATGCTGGTACCCTACGATTTGAAGTCTTACGTTAACTGTGACAAAAATACCTTTCCACATAACCTGAAACAGTTTCATTCGTCCCCATTTAAAGTACGGAAACATAGTTTCTCCTCCCTCACTCCAAAAGGATAAGGAAACTGTGGAACTTATCCAACGGCGAGCCACGAAATCAGTTCGGGAACTCCAATTCCAACCTTATGAAGAGCGCCCCTAATCACTAGATCTTTACCCGTCAGATTACAGGCATCTTAGAGGTGATCTTCCAATGGCTTACAGCATCCTTAACTCTTCTGGACATCCATTAAAACACCTACTTAAGTTTAGCTCCAACACAAACTTAAGAGGTAATACCCGGAAACTGGAGACAAAACTGAGCAGAACAGACTGTTGACACAACTTCTACTCCTTAAGAGTAGTCAAATGCTGAAATTCGCTGCCGGCTGTGCTAGCCCAGGCGACTTCCCAGGAGTCCTTTGAGAGAAAACTTGACATATTCTTAAGGACTAAAGATAGTATCTTACTGTGAATTACCAATTTCTTTCTTGTTAATGATATACATAGATTCCTGCCTGGAGATATTGGTGATCCGCTGCTACTAGACACGGAAGCCCGTTAAGCGAAGGCTTCTTCTATTTGAACCATATGAATAATTTTAAAGGCAAAAGTAAACTAGTGTTGTAGTTACAACAAAACAGTTCGCTCATGATCTTCAACCCCCAATGCAGAAGGCCATAGAATATTATCTTATTTTTAAATAGGAAAATTTGTTAGAATAACTCACGGCTAATGTTTTCAGATTTGCCCGGGAGTTTGTATCGTCCAGTTTGTCCTTGTGAGTGAGGTGTTTTGTTTTTCTATGGACACCGTTAATATGTAGACAGTACTTTCTATCGACGAGACGACATTCCTCAGCTAGTTCACAACATCATATGCTAACTGTGATCTTAATTCACTTAGGGCCAAATTTACATTAACTCTGAGAAATATTTCTCAAGAATATATATTCTTGTTTAGTTTGACGGTAAAACGTTCCGTTTATTTCTCAAGATTTTTCAAGCCCCCTACCTCAGAAATGGCAATATCATGTTTCATTCTGCACTCTGTAGAGGATAAAAGTGCTCATCAAACTGACGACATTTTCACTAGACTTCGAGTTCGAGTCAGGTCATCCCAAAATCTTATTTCATTCTTCTAGTTGTGATTTTTTTCCATAACCTAAGTTAAAACCGGTTAACATTAGTTCTGCGGAGGTTATCTATATAAATAAACAAAGGCTCTGATACGGGACTATGGAGTGTTCTGCTAGGACATTCTCTGTCATAAGAGAGCTGGTAATTCACCTTAACCTTGACTAACCAATTATATAAATTGGACCTAGACTATTCGATCAACACTAAAAAATCGTCTATCTGCCTGGTGCTGTTGGAAATATGATTAATCAAACCAAATATGTTTCGTCTGTTTTCCCTCATTGTTGGGCGTATTAACCTAGTCACCGCCATAACTGAAGGATTCGTGGTACAGAAGTAGATTTCCTTAAAACGTTTGAGGTACAACCATAATATCCAAGGTCGATTATAGCTTTTTGTAGTAGGTTGTCATAGGCAGTAGCAACACTTTCAGGTTGCCATGTTTATATCTGGTAACAGGACGAGGTTTTGAAGTAGATAATATAAACCTTCGTGTCATTACTTGAAACCCTGCTAATAAAGTATACAATTCCCTGTCTCTAAAATTTGTTAAAAGTTAATTATCCTTGGATTTAGAATTAGTGAGAATCCATTCAGGCCAGTGACATTTTCAGCGTGATTAGATTACCCGATACTCTTTGCTATCATTGCAGATCACTCTCTATAGTTCCTTCGTAGATTCTCGTGAAACAGCAATAAATTACTAAGCATCAAATATATTGACTCTTGAAATCATTTTCCATAGTGAAGTATGAGGTTAACCAGCCTAGTTAGACAACAAAAGATTTGTCTTCATGTGTCAGCAGATGCTTTTCTGGATGAAACATGGGTCTTGTAAAAGTCTCACAATAACTCGTCCGCGAATATAATCTCAATTCATACTTAATAAAAAGCACTTCATGTCTAAAACAATAAATGTTTAACTGTCATTCAGAACTCCATGATAACATAGTGTTATAAAGAAGAGATAACTACCAAGTATATCACACTTTTAAAGGCTCTTTGCTTGAACGGATTTTATCGTACCGAAGTCTACTACGAACTTTTAAGTGAAGTGACTGTTAAATACTGTTTGCTTTGTCTGTTTTTTTTTCTGTGTGCTAGTATTCAGTTTCGTTATTATACTTCTGAGTGTAAACGCCTCTTAAATTAGCCTCTCAAAAACTTACTTTCTAATTAGATATGTGATTGAACAGGTAAAACAAAACTTGGATTAATTTTAATTTGGTTATTTATTCTCTGAAGAAGTGACTTACACTAAGTCACGAAACGTCAGAAAATCCAATTTTCTACTCATTGGGATATTACAAATATATTATTTTTATTTAAAACAAAATTCAGTTTTCTAGTATTTCTTGGCAAAAGTTTGGAAACTTCCAAACTCTATTTCTTGTCTCCTAAATGCAAACCCTGTATAAGAAATATTGGTTCCTAGTTTTGCAGTCTGGACAGATAATAAAGAAGGCGGAAACATCGGTGTATAACGCTACAGTAAAAAAGAAAGTGAATATATGGTAGTCAACAAGACTAATCGCGAGTCATATCATCGGACTTCAGCCATACAAGCCACACTTCCATACATGGCTCAGACTAAGGGTTGATGGTTTACCAAACTCGTGCAAGTTCTTTGTCTGGTTATCTATTATCTTATCCCAATCCACTTTTATGCTATAGATCATAATGGGTCAAGAAGAGCGGTAAGTGAGAAAACGACATATCCTAAGACCCTGTGAAATGATGTTAGTCATTAACGACTAATTTATTACTTATTAGTATTCTATACCTAATATCAGTATTGCTCACTGGGATGCAATCGATCAGGTAACTCTCTGAAACATATCTTCTGTTCGGTGGTTATTTATCGTCGTGAATAAATACGCAACCTGCTGAGTAATACATCCGTCTTTTAATTAGCATCCGGATCATCTTACGTGGTATATTTGGAAAAAGTAATGTTAACTGTTTTCTGTAGTAGTATGCAATAGTAAAGCGGAAAGGTCGGCTTTAAGAAATCTTGTCATTTCACATAGGCTTTTAAGCCGCATTGCTGATTGCTGACTTTTTAATGAAGTATTTGTCGACAGATGTTTTAAACTAAAAATCGGAAACTAAGATGATGGTACTTTTTTACAGATGAGCTTGCATGGAATGAAGAGAACTAGTGGGAACCAAAATAGGGGAATGTTATGGTTTCCTGGAAGTTGTTTTGATCTATCTTAACGATTTTGGGTTCCCGGCCATCATTCTAACGTAATCGATCTGAAGTCAAGAGTCTAGTAGGTACCTCCAGTGACATTTCCAGTAACCTTTGGGAAAAAAATATTTTGGATCTGTGGTCAGTTATATAATATTACAAGTCATTCAGTGTAGATTCAAACCTGCCATCAAATGTTCCAGATATCTCACTTGCCGTTCATGTCATTGCATTCGTTTAACCAGGGATCTGTGCATGAACTATCCTCGTATAACTTTGATTCAAAATAAAATGTATTTCTACTAAGTGGTGTTTGCATAAAGAATCTTGCAGATATATTCCCAACTTTCTGTATACTGTAGTTATAATAAAATACTTTTTTCATTATCACAGCAAATCCGGTATTTAAATTTTTCAGGGTATTCGTAAGACCGTCCACGTTTGGATGTTTAGTTTCTAATTTCATTTGTGCTTTGTATTTATGTCAAACTTCAATGGGTTTCATTATATACACTTAGCAGTAGTTACTTAAGGATACCAATAACTACTAAAATCTTTACATACGTTATCCCTTTGTTACTGGTTTGCAGTGCTATGTATGCCGACGAGTTAAGCAATTCTGTGCAGTCCATTGATCTTGAAGACATTACCCGACTGGACAAAGCAAATCCTGATGTGACAACGAACTCAGAAGACTCAGAAGAAACATCCATTCAGAAGGTGAGTAAGAATTAAATCAAATATGTACAGTTACAGTTATGATTGACAAATACTTCACGTGTTGGTACGTAAATTAAATGGTGCTCCACATTAATTTCTTCAGTGTTCCTTTTTATGTCATATCCTTTAACTTTAGAAATATTGTCAGGTTGTAAAAGTTAGTCTTTGCAAGAATTTAGAATTAGTGCTTTTCTTTCAATTCGCAAATGATCACAGGTTGCAATTCAGACTCCGCATATAAGCATTGTGACTCAATGAGCCACGTAATCTGTAGAAAACCACGATAGTATTAGTAATTCACAATTGTTTTATGGTACGGCACTTAATCGTCGTGTTCCCATGATTCCTTTCTTTATGGTTCATTTATAGTTCTTATAGTCATAATAAACGTAGAACCCAGTACAGACATGCACCGGTTTAAGTTAGCACCCCTGAAATGATGTAGATCAAGCGTATTCCTATTTCATGATTGTACGAAAACTTCCTGTGTGTTTAATTACTATCAAACTTTGTTATCACTTAGTGTTACCGAAAAATACAAGCTGCACTATGGATATAGCAATAATATGTGAATTTCTCAAGCATTCTCATCTAGGAACAGTCAATCATACAGTATGAATATGCTTATCGAATCCAAATGACTGTTTTAAATCGTGCTATAGGTGCACCATAATTTTCTGAACTGATGAAGCAACAACATATCAATGAAACTGACTTGGGGTTTGCCTGGAGAAACGATGCTTTGGTGTTGAGACATTGCACTGGAGGATCTCTCAGTTTGCTACAACGTTTCTTTATTGTGTTTCCGTTTAGTAAACCATTGATATTGGATTAAGTTCTTGCTCTTTATGACCTCTACAAAAAAATAGATCATGGTTAAGCTAAGGTAAACAAAAACCTGAAGTAACTCAGCTCAACCTCCAGTTAATTTAGAATTAAATTATCCTGCTGTTATTTTGTCTTTTAACTGGAACGCATATCCCTAAGCAGGGAGGTTCATTCGTAATATACTTCTTTTCACATAGGCCTTGAATATTTCTACATGATTGAGAATATTTTGTATCGTCTGTGGCAAAATCCGTTTTACTTTCTTATCAGTTCATATTTCTATTTGATCCATACTGTAGACTTAATATGTCATCTATTTTATTATCGTTTTTAAATATTCGTTTTTTACTGTTTTTAAATATTTTAGTCAATAAAAGCTGAAGCACAACCTATCTTGCCTCCAGGATACCGAATATCACACTGCCTCGCGGAAGGTGGAATTGGAAGAGTATATTTAATTGTCAATCCTGATACTAAGGATTGTTTAGCAGCAAAAGTAGTCAACGTATATGGTCAAAGCAGTCTTCGTAGTAATGCAAAAACTGAAGTTAATGTAACACAAGTTAGGGCGGAACTTCGCCAAGAAGCTGAGTTACAAAGACGCTTAAAACATCACAATATTGCCACTTTATATGGAATCAGGTAGACATTATTTCGTTAACGAATGTTTGTTTTTTAATATATATTATAAAATGAATGCAGCGTTGTTCTGTTTTGTTAGAAAATGTTTTCACATTGCTTTTATATGTGGACTGCATTTCACGGACACTCTCTTAAAAGTTAGATAAACATCCTTCGGAAGATATCTAAAGAACTTTTTTTACACTGATCCATTAAAAGTTGGGTCCTGTTTAGTTTTCGACTTATACTAATCGTCTCCGTTTGTTGTTTCCTCCAAAAAAATATATGTGTAGTAGCTATAAGTCGTGATTGAGAATGAACCGACTAACTGCTTAAAAGATTTTTAATTGAAGGTGATTTACATAATTTCAAAAGCAATATGTGCTTAATAGAAATATGCATATCTAACACAAAGTCTTATCAAATTTGCTTAACCACTTGGTTAATCTATCAAAATTCAATAACAGTAATGACAAGAATGATACCCGCAGTTGAGAGTAATCCGAAGACAATGTTAAAATAGTGAGTGAAATCAAGAAGTGAAAGAATTAGAATAATACCATTTCAAAAGGAATGAAACAGATAAATGGATCTAGGCCACAACAGTTGAGTTACGTAAGTGTGTTTTTATTCGATTCGCAGTAACGTCTAATGGATTTATCCTTTATCTTTCTTCGTACATGATAAATGTCGTATTAGTTTTACCATGTTTAGATTTGCTTCCGTATATTTAACGTTTCTTAATGGGTTCCTACTTGTCTTTAAAACATGGAGAAAATGTCTCAATCTGCCAAGGTTCTAAATCTTTTCAATTATTTTTAATTCAGTGGTTCAATAACTATCTGCTCGGTCAAGTATGTTTGTTAATATCGACAGAAAACTTGTGCAAATCCTGATGATGTATGACTTGACGGGTCTGCTTAAATGTTACTATGACGTATTCTAATTTGTTCTTTGCGTTATCAGTAGTAGACTAATATTCCAGACACATATATATTATAACTAATGAAATTCGTTGTGTTCTTTATTTTTAATCTTACAGAAATACTCCTACATTCACATTTATGTTTATGGAATTACTGCCTGGTGGCGAATTGTTTGAGCGTATTCCAATTGGTATAGGATTACACGTTCAACAGATGTTTATATACTATGCGCAGGTATTTGAATACGTGAATATTCTTCTATTTTGAATAACTAATATTTTGTATATTGGATGCATTCTATTTATGGTAGATAGTAGACATGATACCGTCTAATTCTAAACTGTTCAGACTGTTATCATTAAAAAGACGATATGTATTTAGTATATTTGATAGCGGTGAATACATATAGAACTTGCATAATTATAACGAACAATGCAATGAATACCTATCAGAAACATGGGTAAATAATCATTCATTAAATGTTATTTTGCAAACTTTTTTTTTGTTTCTATGGTTTACATTGTCATAAACTGACCACAATATTTGTAGATGAAATCACGCATTTAGTTTTTTATGCTTATTATTTTAAATTACCATTTTCCTTGAGAAACAGTTCAGTTGGGTATGTTTACTACTGGTCATGGTTATTATGGATTTTTTCTTTGACATTTATTTATTATTTTATTTATTTTAACACATAGATATTGGTACAAGGAGGCACCAAATACATATGCGCCACACAAATCTCATTCGATATGTGTGAGAGCTGTGATACTGCCTGGGTGCCCAAACCGAAGCAGGTGGTTTTCTTAGGGAGCCACACCCCGAGCCTTCGAGCTGAAGGTCTGATCCACAAGGCAGTGGAGCATCGTCAAGAGATGCAGTCCCACGGAAGCCGGCGACCAACAATTGGTTCATACGCCATTTGTTCCCGCAGGATACTGGAGCCCACGTGCACCATTGATTTGGAATCCGGTTAAAGCGCCGGACATTCGCTTTCACTTTTCGTCCTCTCGTTTTCGTAAACAACACCCCCGCCACGAGAAGGCAGTGAGTAGGACTTCCCTGGCAGAGGCTATATACGCGTGGCCATGTGAGAGCATTTCGAGAGGGAGAGCGGACTCTCCCCACTCTCGGCCGTACCAGGGCATTTGGGGGCTTTCTTTGACATTTGGAGGTTCTTAGTGTTTAAAGATGAAATCTGCTTAATATTGAAATACAAATACTAATAATCTACGTATCATTCTAGACATTGACTCGTAAGTACAGTTTACGATTTGGAAAGTGTAATGAGTTTGAAATGCACGACTCCAACGTTCAAGCCAAATCCTAATCGTTGTTTTCATATATAATAAAAGCCTAAAAAAAATCAATCTCATATAAAAACGATTACTTTAATATTCAGCGTCATAACCTCAAGTTTGTTTCTTTCTGTACACAGATTTTAGATGCATTGAATTACCTTCATAATGATCAACAAATAGCACATTTAGATGTGAAACCAGAAAATATTATGCTCACAAAGAAGGATAGAGCTAAACTGATTGATTTTGGATGGGCTGTAGATCTGCGAAAGCAAAAACTTATTCAAGGAGCAGTTGGTACAACAAGTTATGCTGCACCTGAAGTTTTTGGAAAAAAGTAATTACATATTTTACTTATCATTATGATTATGATTATCGGTGATAAGTTTTCGTATAAAAAAGATACCTTTGTACTACTTTTTAATATTACATGAATTTTTCAGATCCTTCATTTCCTCTCTGGATTTTCGAATATAATGCCAACATATCACTTCCGAGTAATGCTTACAATTACCTAGTGCTGTATAAGCTACAAATATTTGAAGCTGTCCGTTATAATCTAATTTTCACTTTTTATCTAATAGAAGTTAATTTAAAAAGTAGACAAATACTGTAGCAATCTCTGTACTATTGTCTGGAAAAAAACTATTTTCAATCAGATATACGACTATCATATGTTTTCGTTTATGAGACTGCAGACTTTTACTTTAAAAGTGCCCCCCATATGGTAAACAATTATAGGTGGACACAGATCAGACTTTTTCCACCTTAAGAGAGTTCCTAGTTTATTTCGTTGTGGAAAACAAACAAAGAATTTCCGTTATTCCTTCTTTCCCTAGTCGCTATTTTACATATACAGAACTAGAGAATTAAATATCTTCACTGATATAACTGTAATAACGAAGCATTAATATGTTGATTCGTTGCAAAGTGTTATTAATTGTTAGATGTTTTTGACTAATGGGAGTTTATGTACAAACAGTAGTGTCTTCAGATGTCTATTGAAAAATTTTTTTTTGATGATTGAGTTGTTTTCTGTTGTTAGATATCCACCGTAAATATCACTGTTTCAAAAAATATTTCTTTATCTAGCCCCTACTTTGGACCACCTGCTGACCTATTCTCACTTGGTGTTACACTTCTCACAGCTGTCACCGGTCAACGTTGTTGGTCACGTGCCAGTTATACATCCGATCCTGTATATCGCCAGTGGACCGAACATAAAGATTTGCACACAGGTCCTGTGTTTTCCCGACTTCCTCCTGACTTAGCCAACTTTCTCACACGAGCCTTGGCTCATCGACCTTCTGATCGTCTTACTATTGAATGCATTAAAAATCATCCTTGGTATCGCCTTGGTCTTGCCCGACGTCTAACTCCTGTTGCGTCACCGCGAAGCAGACAAGACTCAGGTGTATCTGTAAATACCGTCGTACCAAACAGTGACCGTACCAATACTTCACGCAGCACTTATCAAGGAGATGCGCCAGGTTTGTGCATAATTTTTTGGTCAGTTTTTCGCTAAATATTGATACTAATAATCCTTAAGGTAGCTGGAAAAAATTTCTGTTTAAAAACTGATTGGTGATGACACCTCGATTTTAGTAGCTGGATAGTAGTATTAATAACTTTCACACAACCAATGTGATTCAAAATTGCCGAGTCTATAAACTTCGCACTTGGTAGATGAATTACTTAACATTCTGATGACATTAGTCTCTTGCATGTAGTTCACATATCTTCATTGCTTTTATACATACTTTAGTCAGTTGTATTATTATTTTGATTTTGAAATTTGTAATTCTTTTGTTTTCGTAAGCCAGTCATTTGTCCGTTTATCGACCTTGGGATTATCAGTAGTTATTATTACTGTTTTAGTGTTACTTGTGAGGTATGATGTTTATTATTAAAATCATTGGTTTATTTTGTTCTTTATTTCATTATTTACTGTTCAGTACCTTCATCTCAGCCTACGCCAGTTTGTCATGCTCAATTAGATTCTATTATAAATAATCTTCACTTATCTCAACCGGCTGATATTGACAGTATGCTAATGGTAAGTTTTTTCTTCAACTTGTGAATATGCTGTGTTAATGTAGTAGTGTTATAAGCCATTGATTTTTATACTATCAAAAAGACGGAATCGCACAACAGTTTTATTTAACATCCGCTTGCTGAATTCTTGTGTTTGGCTATCATTTCAGGCGTCTCAGATGGTTGGAGATATTGATTACGTTAAGGATCGGCTTGGTTTTTCCTGTCTCATGCGCCGTATGACTCGATTCTTTTCAGCACTCTCCTCAGTAGAACATACAATGGAGGTCATTCGAGCTGTCGTTGTTCAAAGGAGGCATCTGCGGGCAACAATCAAAGGATCAAATAACCTACTTGTACGTCTAGTCACTCTGTTAACATTCTGATTTCAAATAAAATAGGGAGGAATCAACCATTGTTATTTTATATTAGAATATTTTCTGAATATTATATTAAATTTAATATTTCTAGAGTTATTATAAATGACATTGGTGCAGTAAATTAGTGCCTAAAGCATTCTGATTTCAACAACTGTGTGGTAGATCTAAACCATTCATCACCTTCAGATCGAACTGAGTTCTCACATAGACATTATATCTCAGCCGATTTTAAGAACATGTATTTGGTGATTAAGTTACATCGATTTTTAAAATTTACAAATAATGGTGTGCATTCCACTCCGTAGTTACAGCGTAGTTTATATTATCGTGGAGTCATCCATATAATTTTTTTTACCGAGTTGAAATACTACAGCCCGAGTATTTGAACTAAGTACATTATGTATATTTTTCGCATCTATTATCGCTGACATACTTGATGAGTATAACTCATCTAAGAAAGCAAAGTTAGAGATTAATCTTTACCATTAGTATCTTGTATACTTTGTTTAGCATTAATTATTGAGAATCTGTATGAAATAGTTTTTGGCAATTTCTTATATGTGTATTTCTGATCTCACTAATAACAGACTTCACTATCATTATGAATTGTTCTTCTTTGTAACCTTATCTTCCAGTGTATGTTGTCATTTTTAATTTTAATCTACATTAATAGGAGTAAATTCCAAGCATATCATTTAAAATCTAATTAACCGTCTATAACGCTAACTGGTATGACTTTTGTCATATCCCACTGCATCGCCCACTTCCTACTAGTTGGTTCTATTGAATAATTTGTAAAATAACCTCTTCTAATTGGTTGTGTTTCATTTCGTACATATCGTGTGTTATTCATACACATAACTTTCACATTCAATCTACAGGTGGATATTAAAACTCCGGAACATCCAGGAACTGCTTTCCGAGTATTGTTATATCCACTAGCTGGTTCAATTCTTGTGGATTGTCGTCGTGTCTCAGGTGATGGTTTATTGTTTCATCAAACCTATGCTGCAATCTATACAGATCTTTCAGCTATGGGTGCAGTAAATATAACACATCCTTACTTACATATTTTGTTACCTGAAAGGCCTACAACGGAGCCTAATAATTCAAATTTAGATGACGGTACTTGCATTTCTGAAAATTCTCCAGTGGTCTACGGTGAATTAACTCCAGTAGCAATGGAGACATAGATTTCTTTCTATAATAACCTATATTTTGATAGATCTTTTGCTTATCCTGAGATTCTGTATGAATATTTTTGCAATAATTTACTTTGAAACTTATAATGATTTCTTTAAGTCGGTTTAGATTTTGTCCTCAAGTAACTTGTCCCCTCGCCTCGGGGTTTATTTTTATATCTGTATTAGAGATTGTTTAATGAATGAAGTGTTTCTGTATGTTCCTAAATACAACTTCTTCACAGAATGGCGTCATCATTTATTTGTGATTGATTGGGTTTGGTAAAACAAATTGTACAACAGTACATTGAACACAGTATATAATATACCATTTTTCTCTTTAGTTTCTCTGTTGTTTATTTGGGGATAAACTACCTGTGCCCTCTAATTAAGGGAAATGTAAGATTTAAATGTTATTTAGAAGTGGTCTAATCAAAAAGTGGTAGATTGTGTTTGAAAAGTAATGTCTTCTGTCCACTGTAAGAAAGCTGCGTAATATTTGGTCGAAAACACTGATGAATTCATGCTATTCTGCTAGAATCTTTGTTCTTGCTCTTTTCAAAATGATAAAGGGAACTATGTGTATGAAAAATACTGATGTCGTTTCTTTAACTTCAAAACTATCTTTAAGAATATTTATCTCAGGAATCATATCTTATAAAGTCAACGTGGACTTCCGAAATGATTTCCTTACATTTCGTTGATAAAAAAGGTGGTGGTCGTATTTCTTGATTTCAGACCATGGGTTCTGATATCATATTACACATTCAAGATATTTTCAGTGTTTTTTCATCAATTTAATTTTGAAATTCAATATACAAATGTATTACACAACAGAACGTCGTTCTAACGCGTAGGACTGTAAAAATAAGGAAACTGAAGGTATTTCTTATAAAATAAGCAAGTAGAGGATTTCAGCGTTGCAGCTTGAATAGGAAGTTTATTCTGTAGATCCTCATAAACTGAACAGATTGACAGATTCACATGTTTGACAAATCTATCCCATATAAGGAGCTGGTGAAAAAACGGTATCCGGATGACTAAACATTAACTCCATCTGCAGCTCTTCTAGGGCTACTGCCAATCCCAAGCCCGCGTAAAGGAGGAGGGTTGGGCATGGGGTCTTGTGAAGATTCTAGCTAATATAACAAGGTGGTAACAATTATTGGTTTTGGAGGACAGTTTATGCAATTTAGAATCGTTTGCAATAACGTCGGTATGGATGTTCTCTTCTGCATGTGAAGGTTGTTATCTTGTAAACCACTCATGAAAATCTTCCATGATATGTGGATCATACTGTTATTTCGTCTACTTACGAAATATCTGTTGTGTCTTGTTATTTGGGTTCAGCACTGACTTAGGCCGTATATCGTATATGGTGCCACGGATTTAGAAAGGAAAGCGATAGGTTCTCTTCGGGACTGACGACAGTCAATTGTACTCAACACATCAAACCTCGACAGCTATGGTAGGAAGAAGATGGGATTGAAGGTAACGTGATAGTTGTGGTAGAACAAGCAACTCAAACGAAATTGTTACAAAAGTTGTTACTATAGTAACAAAATATGTAGCAATTTAGCGAACTAAAAAATATGACAACCAATCAGTCATGCGGAAAAGCGAATTGATAGGTGTGTGAGCGGTTATCATTCCAGAAGAGATCTTAGCCCTTCTAATAAAATCAGCACTATCACAAATTAAACCGATATCTAGCTTCCCAAAGTTCACCTCACGATAGCTATAAGAGATTGAAGGTTTTCGACTACTAAACGACAGATATAAGTTGGAAATGGATTACTTTAACCGGACCTCCAAATAACACAAAAAAAGACTATTTTATTCATAAATTTTATTATTTTTTATTAGGAAGAAAGTAAATATTGTACATAAGTCAACGTTCTTTCTTTCCATCAATTCATTATTAAGTTCTGTTTAAATCTTTTACCAATAAAATTGTCTGTTTCAGTCGATTCAATTCATTTGAAACATTCAATTGTGAATTTGATTTGATTAATAAGTTAGAGATCAGACTATTCGACAAACGATTTGATAATTGATCAAGTAAATTGATAGTTAATTGTTTATTATATTGTATAGATTGATTAGTTTTTAATGAAGAGATAATATCATCATCACTATTTACAGTATCACAGTCATTATTGTTATTGTTATCATTATTACAAATCTGGTTAGTGTTTTTATTTGAATATAAAGAAATGACTGAGGATAAACACGAGACTAAATCACATAATGAATGGCAAAGGATGTAAAATTCAGTATTTCGATTATATAGTTTGTCGCTGGTATCATGAGAGAGATGATTGGTGGATTGAAAAGGATCTAATAATTGACTATATGGGATTTCCAATGACATACACCATAAATTGAATAGATCTGATGTTAATGTTAAGAGATCGAATGAACCACAAAGTTCTAAGGGAATTAATAAAAAAGGATATAAATGAATAATACTAGATACTGAGGTTTATATTCTTTCAATCGTGAACTTTCTAATTAGTTCGGCTCTTACAATTTTCAGTCAGTTACAATGTAGAACCTGCACGTATGTACATCGGTTAAAGTTGCCACATACCATTAGTACAAAGAGATGAACTTATCCGGCCAAATCCCAGAATAACAGAGATAGTAACAGTATCAGTGGTAATAAGAAAGATTAGGCATTGAAGATATACGACTCGAAAAGAAAATATAAATTAGCAAAATAAAAACAAAAAAAGTTGAGGAATTTAAGATCTCAGAATGGATGAGCCTAGGCTATTGCAGACGATTTTGAGTCATATTATTCAAGATCCCTAACCAGGTAGCCTACACCTATTAACATGACAAAGTCTAATTGTCAGTGACCTCATGGAGTGATGCCATGTTTTGGTGTGGTCGAACACGGCTTCCTCGAGGCCTGCTTCTGCCCGAGAAAACAGCCCGTCGAGGTTGGCATTGGCTGGACACATGTAGCACGTCCAAACCATCGATCAATCGATTCCCAACCATTACCTAGTACTCTATTCCTAATCTATGCACGAATAATGCTTTGTAGACACTTATGATCGAATACCAGTAACCTCTGAATATCCTCTATTCTTAATGACCATATTTCTCATCCATGAAGTCGGAACGGACCACCTACTGTGCAGTAAACTCATCCTTTGGTTGGAAAACGGCTACCTCGTCTACGCCACAAGTGATGCAAGTTGGCTAAAACCAATAGAGCCTTCTGAATCTGTGCCGAGATTTTGTCAGGCACCAGATCATCAGTACTGATGAGAATTCCGAGATAAGTAAAGTGGCCGATGAGTTCAACTACTTCACTCCCTATCACTAATTGAGACAATGACCCGAGCCAATCCTGAAGTAACATTTTACATTTGGAGGGAGAGAACAACATCTGAAAAATGTTTGAGGTGGTCAGAAGACTGCACTTTGTCAGCGTCTTCATCAAAAAGAACTATATCATCTGCGTATTCTAAGTCAAAAAGTGAATCTTCTGGTAGAAGATCAATCCGTGAAAAGTGATGATGAAAGTGTTATCTCTTAAATGATGTCTCCAACTCTTACCCCATAATATATATTCTGGATAAGGTAACATGAGGCTTTTGGATTTCAAACAGACAAAAATATGATTCGAGAAGAAAATGAAAATATGAATCCATAGAATAAATATTAGAAGATATTTGTAAAACTCAAGATCTAAAGGAAGGAGAAGGCTAAATGTATTTGTGTCATTGGGACCGATTCTCAGCTATATCACTCAGTGTCTTTGCATTTTGTGAGAAAACCTTACTCCCAACTTACTCCTGCGATTCAAAACAACAATTATTAATACTATTATGTGTAAGTTTATCTACTAGATAATCAACAATAAAGAAATGGTAATATCAGTGTGACTTGATAATCCAGTGCGAATCGGTGAGTCAACTCCGCTAACAAAACCGAAATAGTTCAACTTAATAGTGGAAAGCCAAGTGTGGTTTAATCGGATTAAACTTGCTTTTCTCTTGTCTTTGGAGATATTAAAGTTACTTCATCAATATTTCAAATAAAAAGCAAATGTAGCGTTCCTTAACTCGTAATAGAAGTTCGGGATGCAAAGTGTAAAAATTTGATTCATTTCAAAAGGTTCTAAACCATTAATATGGATGGTTAAACTGTTTTAATATAGTTAGCACAAGTTATAAATAGTTACTTCCAATAATAACAAAGAAAATTTAACAAACTCACTACTCCAATCCAATAAGTAGAATAATCTTGAAGGCGTATTATCATTTGTCTCTTGACTGTCACTAATTAAGTTCGGTACAGGATAAACTAATACACCAGCTTTGAGTAATTTATACAATAGAAAGTATAATCGTTCCCAACATTTCCACTGTCTTGATTTGACAATTTTCCTAAGAAACTTGATAAGGAAAAATAAATAAGCAAACCTCACTTTTCTTTGGCAATAGATGTGCACTATAACGATAAGCAGTGAATATTCAGCCTTCTGTAAACGATAATTTACTGCCCATCGAAACTTGTTGAATAAAGAAATTACATGCATATAACCTGCTTAATGTTACCATCTTAGACACTGTGTTGTCATTAATAATCATATAACGATGACAAATTTTAACATAACTCATCCATATGCTATTTGAAATGATTCATGATTTAGTCTTTCTGATACTTCGTCAATATTTCTTGTTTCAAATAGGACTTACGTCGATAACTGCAATTAAGTGAAGTAAAGGCAATGCGCTTTCCAAGAGGTCTGAAGGTCCTATGTACGCACTCATGTGGAGTTGCAAACTATGGTAAAACAACTGTTGAGTTTTCCCTAGATTTCAACGATCGTTTAGCTGAAATCTATACATGTGGTAAACTGTAATTGACAAATATAGTTATAGTGACCCAGTAGTTTTGGTAAACAACGAATGATATGGCCTGAAGGTTGGTGGATATCAGTGCTCATTTTCAATAAACATATAACAATTCAACGAAATCATAAGTGACATCAACACACAAAATTTAGACCGATGTGGGTTTGAGGATCGAATGTTAAAAAAATTTGCTACCTGTGGGATAATCAAAACCGAGCATGAAGGGAAAACCTGTTACAACAACCATCATCTTCAGATTAAAACATAAGCTGCAATTAGAATGAGGCACCACTTAGTCTTCCGAAACGTCATTTTGATATTCCTGATGTTATTAACGATATTAAGTGGGTCAAAATCTGTAGTCTGTAGTGTACATTCCCCAGTAAAAATCATATATTAGTTTTGACCAAGTTATACCTTTTCCCCATTCAACAGTGAAGTTTTGTAGAAGTTCGATTGGATTATGTGTATCATCAATTCACCCAAAAGTTCATCGGACTTTACAGGTATTTTATTAAAGTAAACTACTGGGGTTAAATTAATTCAAGCACAATTTTGATGAATTCGAAGCTTTTTAATGAATTGAAATAACAATGCGGCGCTAACGTGAAAAACAATAATCTGAATAGTTTTTATAACCGTTCATTTTACCTTGTAGTAAGTATTGTGAAATTTTGAATTCAGAACAGTCTATTTAATTGTTTCTCTCTATATGGTGGTATTTCAAGGCAACACAGTCATTAAAATAAAACATTTTATCCAATCAGTCACATAAATTATCAAACACATACAAGATGCTTAAGCAATACCATGGATTGATTGGGGTTAGACATTAACACTGTTGGATGCCGGCTGAGAGGTCAAGAGATCAAGGGTTAGCGCACCAGACCGAAGGTCCTAAGTTTGAGCTTCACGCGCGCGATCGTAGATGCGCGCTGCTGAGAAATCCTATACTAAGACGGAACGGGCGTCTAGTGTTTCCAGGTTTTCAATGGTAGCATAACATTGATCGATTCAGGATTTTGATGAAATACATTATATGTATGTACGAGAGAATGTAAGTCATACCATAAAGCTGAACAACAACTAAGAGTTAGGCCGATAATATCAAGTTTGATAATAGGCCATAATCTATATACTTCTCATTGGCTATATCTTCAATTAAACACGAATAGTAATTGTTGAACTACTTTTCACAAACAATGACTGTATCATTAGCCTAAGGGTTAAAAACACTTATCATCATATTTATAAATGAAAATCCGATGATTTCGATCCGTAGCTGATTTAATAATTGCTAAAAAAATTCCATTATCATGTACCAACAATATCCCTCATTAATCATTCAAATTCATTGTGAATAGAATAGACATTTTGCTCATAACTATATCATTTCAACTAACAGTGAAATATACAAAGGTCAACCAAACAGTACAGGTCAGTAGTGGTGGGTATATATGAATGAATAAATAAAGAAACAAAATCAGCTCTTCTATTGTTTCTGACCCAGCTTGGATGGATGACCTGTGGTGTTAGGTTATTTTCCCGTTCAAGAGGCTTTTTTCATGTTCTATAATATATTGGAAAAACAAATAACTTTGTCTTTCAGCATATATGCATCCTATGCGGATTGTCCTTGATATTGACATTAAGTAACAAGCACTTTAAGCAGAGATGGGTGGTGGCTAGTAGTAAATTCTGGGATGCACATTCCAGTCCTAAACATCAATAGGAAGATATAAACAACTAATAGATATAAATTAAAATCCACCCCCAATGAACAAGCCAGTGAGTCTGGGCTCAGCAACTAAGTGTATAATGCGATGGCGTTTGAAGTGAACGGTACTTAGTTGGAGTTCTGGAGTGCACATCAAACCTGTGATGCAGTTACATCCAGCTAACGAGTCCCGAAAAGGACGAAGCGCACGTCCTAGGTTACATTGCTAGCCACCATCCAACTTCCATTGAATCTTGATTCATTTAAAATGAAATGTATCAAACTATAGAATCATAATAACCATATCCAAATGATATTTTGATTTTTTTTTCTAAAAATAATCAATAGCTGAAAGACCAAAAAAATACTGAGAATCTGTTTCATTCTGGTGTGCTGAAACGCGTTTATAGTGGGCATTCGTCACAATTATATGGATGATCGGACCTTTAAGACTTTTCAGTAATCAAGATATATTTGAACTAATCAGTTTGATGATCTAAAGGTTTGTATGCGGCTTCTTTTAACTTTCGCCACAAAGTATGAGATTTAATTCAAGAGCGAACTACTGCTTCATTCAGTGGTTGAATCCACAGGTCACAGCCTTCCCGTAGTGCTTATGGAAATTTAAGTTAGTATGCAATATTTAATTAAAGGGTGATAAATCTGCTAATTGAACGATCGATCTAATTTCTTAGGCGCTTCGAATAACGGCAGAGTGTATATGTATGGCAACTTGAACACAAGACAAAAATTGCGAGGCTCAACAAAGAGCTGTACTCTAGGGTTAATTGTGTATATTTGACGTGACTTTGGCCATCCAGAAGTTTCTAAAGGCATACTAAACATAAAAGCACAAAAGTAGTTATTCAGTTAAAAACTTAACACGAGATCTGTCGTCCCAATAGATGTTTTGTAGAAACCCATATTTAATCCCGATTGGATAACATGTTTGCAAGGATTTTCTGAGTCCCTATTGATTTTTTTGAAGTGTTTTACAATTCCCCAACAAAGGAGATTGTTGAATTTCAAAGTTTACACCAGAAAATGATCTTAGCTAGACCGACAATAAAAACCATAGAGCACTGGGCAGATGTTTCGTCCTAGAACGAGACCCATCAGGAGGAGGTAGCTGGCCAAGAGAAGCTATAGTTCAATGGTTTGACTAACTCGATATTTAACACACTGTTTCACAAGTTTGAACAGAACAGTTGGCTAATTCGCTTTCAGCAGTCAAAAGTAGATGGTGCCTTGAATCTACTGTGCACAGTTCAGACTATTGGTTGTCTACAGTCACTACTTTTCTTTGCGAATAATTTGAAATGACGGATCTAATTCATTAAGAGCTATTTTACACAGTCTAGTTATTATGCAAAAGGAATAAAGGTATTCGTTAACTAACCAATAAATATAATTATAAACTAACCAATTGAATAGCAATTAACAAATGACCAGAACTAATTTTTGATACGTGATCCAGTAACTGACCATTAGATTTCAATGACTTATTTATGATTGACTTCAATACTTCACTACATAATGTATTAGAAACAGTGGCTAGCTCAAAAATGAAATATAGTAAACGTGGTGATATCACCATTTGACTTTTTATATGATTTTCTCTAACCACCGTATTTGAAGATAACAGTGAATCGAAATCTTCTATTTGTTCTGTTGATGATGGAACAACGGAAATAGCTTTGAATTGTATGCGAGTACTGCAAAAACAACAATAACAACAAGAGAAAAATAAAGAATAATCTAATAAACTATTAAACAGTAACTTTCTAGAAAGAAATACTATTAAAAACTCATAGGCAATATAGAACCTGGAATATATATATTCATCAGTTCAAGTTGTCATACCTCATTAAATCAGTGACATACCAGAGTATTAGAAGTGGCAATAGTATCACGAGTAATAGTAGTAGTATTAGAAAAGATCGGACAGATATAATATGATTCGAGAAGAAAATGAAAATATGAATCCATAGAATAAATATTAGAAGATATTTGTAAAACTCAAGATCTAAAGGGAGGAGAAGGCTAAATGTATTTGTGTCATTGGGACCGATTCTCAGCTATATCACTCAGTGTCTTTGCATTTTGTGAGAAAACCTTACTCCCAACTTACTCCTGCGATTCAAAACAACAATTATTAATACTATTATGTGTAAGTTTATCTACTAGATAATCAACAATAAAGAAATGGTAATATCAGTGTGACTTGATAATCCAGTGCAAATCGGTGAATGAACTCCGCTAACAAAACCGAAATAGTTCAACTTAATAGTGGAAAGCCAAGTGTGGTTTAATCAGGTCACCGTTTGACAAAAACTCTTTTATTAACCAACCATGGACTGTCGTGAGAATCGGCTATTTTTAAGTGGCATTCGCCAAATATTCTCTCCTCCTTTTATATCACTGAATCATAGATATGCTTGTAACATTATTACTTTCATTCTCCAAGTTTCAGGATCGATATTGTATTTTCATATGAGTAGATTTGAGAGAAAGTCATATAAGGTCAAAAAAGACATGAAATCAATTCATTTCGTCATTGATTATTAGTATGGACCTTTTTGGTAAATCAAAATTAACTGGTTGGTGTCCTTAGCATACACTCTATAGTTGAAGACTTTCGGTGGTATATATTTTGCAATAACATACTTTCCTAGAACTTTGTAATATATATACAATCCTAAGAGGTAACACTAACACTAGTCTTCATGTATATCCAGCTGGTAATTTATTTATTTATTTGAACAAATTGTAGTGGCTGTGATTCGTTAACCAACCAATCACCCTCGTAGCCGCGTTTGAAATCAGAAGGCAAAGAGAAGCAGCGACTAGTTATATTAGCAGATAACTCAGACCACAAAGCAGAGAGGCGAATGAGTGAGTCATGAATCATCTAATCAATTGAGCAGCTAATAATAAAGTTAGCAGAATGAATATATGCGTAGGCGGTAAGCAACGTTCAAGCATACATATTTCATACAAGCACAACAATAATAAAGGCACAATAAGTTGTTATAGTATGGATGGCCCTGTCCGCTAAATAAGTTTACAAAAGGGCTTAACTGAGTTAAATGAGAACAAACTCAATTGCACGTGAGTTGCTATAACATAAGCATTGGTATAAAGGGGCACCAAATGCATATCCCCTCATAATAATAATAAGGCCAGCAGTAGTTATCATTTATTTATGTGAGGTCTGTGATACTGCCCAGGTGTGGGGGTCCATACTCGGAGCCTTTGACCTAAGGGTCTAGCCAACAAGGAAATAGAATTACATTAGTAGATTCAATCCCTTGGTAGCCGGTGACCAACAATAAGTTCATACTCTGTTTGTTCCCTCAGGATTCTGGAGCCCATGTGCACCATTGGTTTAGACCCTCCGTGTCCACCAACCTGATTAAAGCACCGGACATTCGCCTATTGTTCTCTCAGTTCCGTAAACGACATCCCTGGAAGTGGCTGTATACGCATGGCCATATGAGAGCATTTCATGAGGAAGAGTGAACTCTCCCCAGCCTCAGCTGTACCAGAGTATTTGGATGCCTTAAATAGGATGAAACATCTCTCTTGAATTTCAGTCAATCCCTATCCAAACCTATTAATTAACTTGTATATTTAAGCAACATTGAGACATCCTTTAATTAAAGACAAAAAAGGTTATATTACCAAAAAAATTACAGACTGGTCAAATTAGTTTGTTTTACATCAACCACAAAAAAGTATTACAATTATCAGTTTAGGGGCTGTGGAGATTGTTAATTTTCTGATTGAGATCATGAACCGATTGATGTTAGACCACCATTGAAAACCTGGAAGCACCCCTAAACTGATAACTACCGTGTGCTCACTAGTGACTAGCTTCGTGAGAAAATTCTCGGAGTTCTGGTGAGAAGCCGTGATCAGTGGAGCTAATCCGTGTCGGGTAGAAACAGGTGTCTACCTCAGTACAATAGAAGGTGATCGCGCAACTTTTTGGATTGGTTGAGGCTAGACATTAACACCATTGGACGCCGGTTCAGTGGTCCAGTGGGTTAGGCGTTCGTGAGCGAGACTGAAGGCCCTAGGTTCGAATCCCGCGAGCGGGATCGCAGATGCGCTCTGCCGAGGAGCCCCACAGTAGGACGAAACGGCCGTCCAGTGCTCCCAGGTTTTCAATGCTGGTCCAACATCAATCGGTTCATGACCTCAATCAAAAAGTATTACAATCCATAGATTTTCTTTAAAATTACTTACTTTTCACAAAACAAATCAATATCCATTAAATATTTCAATGAATTCATTTGCATTTCATTTATTTCAATGGATAAATCTAAAATTTTATCTTTCAATTGTTGAATCTCTTTCAAATATTCATTAATATTATCATTATTATCTTCTTTATTAATATTATCTAATTGATTAATAACTTCACTTGGAGATCCTCTGGAATTACTGTCAGTCTCCAGTCCAGATAAAAGAGGAGGAGGGTTAAGCATGAGATTAGTTTTTAATGATTCAATTGATGAAATAAATATAATATTAAACAAATATAAACATCTTTGTTTATACCAATTATATATATTCACTGAATTTTGAATCGTTTGTTTTAATTTATAAATTAGTAAAAGATTATTTTTAATTTGTTTTAATTGTTCTAATTGTTTTAATTGTTTATTATCTTGATAAAAACAACAATAATGAATTAATTCAAATAGTATAACGTCCATTTCATTTGAAATAAGATAGTGACAAATTGTATTATTATTATTATTATTATTATCATTATTATTATTAATGTTCACTTGATTTAAAAATAGAATATTGAACAATTGAATAATTTGTTCCATTAATTCATTTAAATTAATTTTATTTAAAAGTTGAATAATAGATGTATCTTTCGTAAGTAAAAATAATATATGAATAAATAATCGAATATGTATATGTTGAATAGAAGTATGCTGTTTATCAATTATATTAGTAGTAGTAGTAGTATTGATAGTAGTATGAGTTGTAGACGTTAAATGATCAATATGAGATGATGATTTATTCATGACATTGTTTTCGACAAGCGTTAAGAAATATTTCATAATGTTGTTTATTTGAATGAAACAATTTGGCTGTAAAAGAAAATGTAATAATAATAATAATAATAATAATAATAATAATAATAATAATAATAAAGACATAAACTGATTAAAAGATAATATCTACTGTAAACTAGTAGAATATTTCAACTTGTTAAAGTAGAAGTGAATACTGATGTCATGTTTCTTGAATAATAGTAAACCCTAATTGAGTGATGTCAAGACGATATTTGTTCTAAGACTAAGTTTTGTCCCAACTGTCATATCTGAACGAAGAATAAATCGACGGTAACTGCTGGGAACTATTTATGGACTGTTATAATATATATACATATATATCCTTATTATATAACTGTTAAGTAACTAGATTATATATATATGTTTTAGAACTATCGCTAGCATCCGCTGGGATCACCGGACAAGTAATAGTGAGGTTAGATGTAGGGTATTAGGGAATGATGGTAAATCAGTTGATGAGGTTGTAAATCTTCATCGACTAAGATGGTTGGGGCAGGAGTTACATATGCCTAAACACCGATTACCACGATGCGCAATACTGTCTAGTGTTGGAGACGGTTGTAAGAAAATTAGGGGTGGCCAAACCAAAACGTGGCATCAGTGCTAGAAGACACAAACTTGTAGTCTGAGCCATGTTGGTAGATGCAGACTACTTGGTTGGGGTCTGCGTGACTATCGTAACCAATGGTTGGAAACTCTTGGTGACAAGGCTCGGGATCGATCACAATGGCTTAGGTGTATGCACTCTCTGTCCTCCCTTAAACTATGAGATTAAAATTGCTTTATACCTTTCTTTCTACGAACTAATTCTCTCTCTTTGTATAATATCCTTATACACAATATTTCTTTTAAACATTACTATCACTGAAGTGACTACTTTAATGAATTTCGTGTTCATCTTCTTGTGCTAATGAAGTGTGGCAATTCAGACCGATATATATATATATATATATATATATATATATATATATATATATCGTAAGCTTTTATTTGATCTATCGACTATTATTGTACGATTTATCATTCTGAAGATATTTCCAATTTATTAGTTAGAGTCTCTTACTATCACAGACACTTTTTGGCTTGATCTTGTACAATTGTTATTTCCTATTTTGAGGTGTGATGAGGTTTGGTTTGCTTGTATATAAACCAAGTATGTCCGAAAAATATGATCTGTGTAGTGGAAGCAGATATTACTATTCTGGACTCAACAGGCAGGGCGAGATGAGAAGGACCAATAACGGCTCTACCGATCAACACGTCATTGATTTGGAACAGTGTTAGGATTGTATAAGTCGTGTTCTGATCGGTGATCGTATCACGTGATAATAAACAAACCAAAAGTCATAGCATCAATGAGTACAATCTTAATAGTTTAGCCATTAAATATAACACTCATTTCCTTTACAACAATCACACGGTATTTCTACATCACCCATAGTAAATGCATCCCAAAGAAGACTATCGTAACCTACAACTAGTCGAATACCAAGTTGGTAAAGAAAAACATGTAGAACCAAGTTATCTATTCATTTGAAGGTACTCGTTAAAAGGATTTAGCTAATAAATATGACTTGAAGCTACTTAAACATACAATATAATTACATTAGGCGAATCATCAAATAGAGTATGGAAATATAAATAAAAAAGACTGCATTACAAAAACTTTAGATATCAGAATATTGATAGATACAAGTGATTTGGCTAATGTAGACCGTAAGTGAAGCATTCAGCAAAAGAATCGATGGTGATGAAGGTGAACTCTGTTTGTAGACAAGATGATTTTGAGTATTATTAGAGGTAAGAAAGCAATTGTCACTCTCCCACTGCCTATACAGTAAAGGGATACTTCTTTATAACGTACCTAAAAAGTAGACTGAGTTAGGTAGCGGCGATGTTGAGAACTAAGGACCATGACTGTAGGGTCAAAAGGATAACTTCTTGAGACCGGTCACATGCTGCATTTTTATTAGTAGTCTCAGGTGTATTAGCTCCGCACTTCAAAAAGCTTTGGCGCCTGTAACGGAATTCCGTGGGTAAGGTGAGGTGTGACATTTAAAGGTCAATTTTTTACAAATCCCTCCTCTTCTGTTTTGAGGAGGTAGCACTGATGTAGACCCTGGTTATCTGAGGAAAAAAGCCTTACAGCCGTCCCACTACTGTATACTCGACAGTACAACTTTGTCCTCGGACCGCTTTTAATATTGCCACTCTTCAACCAACCATCCGGGTATGATGTAACCTAAGGAGATGAATCGTCCGACTGGTATAGCTCTTGATTAGGTCACCCCGATACGTAAGACCGGCCAACACGTCAATTTAGCAGCCAAAATCGAGAAATAAAGGAAAAATGAATAAAACGTACCTACTATAACACTGGTTTAACATACCTTTTTAAATAGATAAACGATAGTATTCAATAGAGGGTTTTCTGCTAATTTAGAACTTGACCATACTTCTTCAGACATATTAAATTGGTATAGTTTATTATTGTTTAATAAGTTGCTTCTATTCTTTTCCTCTTCATATTGGAAATTTACATTAAATAAATTTCCATTATTTAATTCATCATAAAGATCTTCATGACCAAATATTGAAATGTCTAAATATGATTTACGATTTGACCAATCGATTAAAATTAATTCTTGAAAAATTGTACTATGCACAATTTGTTGTTCAGACAAGTTCGTCGTAAATTTATCATTGTTCTTTTCAGGTAGAAATTTTGTTCCGGTAGAAAAATTAATCGGAACTTGAAATACATACAATAATTGATCAAGAAGCTGTAATGAAATGAACAAAATACATTAGAATAGGTTATGGTTTTAATGAATTATGATTACATGATTCTGGACATGATACAGCGTACAACATCTCGTTTTATTGAATCAGAATTTAAAAGGTTTAGAAATATTTTACATAGGTGGTGTTATTTCTGTTTGTGAACCTTTTAACTTAGTTTCCATTCTATTTAGTTCCTTTCTGTGTACTACGTTACTTACTATTATTAAGTAGTTTATGTCATTATCAAATATTCTCGTTATGCTTGATATTTTATAGGCGTGTGAATGAATCTGCAATATTTAATTCATTTGTTATGATAATTATGTTCTTTTGACACTCGTAATAGCATTTCCTTTCTTCTTCAGGTGTCTTCATTGAATATATACGTTTACTAGTGACAATATCCATAGACTGTATGCGTCAATTTCGTTTTGATTTATGCACTGGCATTATTGGAGTGACATAGTTATTGGTTGTTACTTAGTTTATCTTAAATTTTAAGTCACAAGATCATAGTTAAAACGCCACTAAGAACCTAGAAGCCTTGGACACCCATTTGGTTCTAGTATAGGACTCCCCGACAAAGCACACCCACGACTTTCGGTTTCGGGCGCACACATCTAACGTTTAGACCAATCAGCCAGTATCCAACGGTTTACCGTGTGTTTTTGTAAATAGCTATTGACTGTACCATGACACGTGTAAATGCCATACAATTTAAGTGTTGTAAAATATATCGGTTATGTTTTCATCAATTATACCATTTTATAAACAAATGCTTCGTTTTAATTTTTGATTAAGGAAATATCAGACAGATATTTTATCCTAAGACTTAACAATATTCCGCAATTTTATAAAACTTGGAATCGAAAATTTACCGGTTATGAAGTGTATTATATTTTCAAATTCCATCAAATTCCCTACAACAATTATCGTCCATTATCGTTTGAACTCTAAATGTTTCATTTTTGTACTAAAATTCCGATGTAAACATGTTCTATTGTAGAAGAATGACTTATTTAGTCATACAGTAATATTAAGTTAAAACTACCATTTTTATAAGTATATTCGGATAGTATGAACAGTTATTATCTCGACTTTTAGCTATTTAGCTTAAGTATTGAAAATCTTATCCACTTATTTTGTTACACTTAGTACATCCAAAACTTGAAGTATGATAGCCAGTAGGCTAGGCTCCTGCCGACCTATAACAATTGTATATAACAAGATCGAGAGCTTACTTTTTCAGTATTTTTAAGGAACAAAAATGCTAGTTAGTTTTATAATTGTCAAACACCTTTAATTTATGAAAATTTCCAAGAAAATTATGCGGAACTTAATAACAACTTGTATTACGTCAATAAGTCAATAAAAAAACAACAAATAATTCAATTTTTAGAGTGAACGACAAGAGGTGAGCGATATTTTGCTAATGAAATGAACTGTAGTAAAAACTTAATTAATTTATATCTGTTGAAGATGGAATATAAATAACCGACTGTTTTTCTTAAAACCTTAAACATCTGACAGGCAAAAACCAAAATGCTAACGATATACATTACTTATGAGTAGTAAGGCGGTCTGAATGAATATCTGGGCTACCTGTTCCTGCCATCTAAATATTTCAACAAGTTTTGCTTGTTTTAACACATCATTATGTAAACTAATCGCATAACCTATTCAGCAGCGTTTATTAAAAGTTCACAACCTTTCGCTATACAAGCTACAAAAAAGGTACAATCATAGACATCGTGCAGGCTGGCATTATGCATTGAAAAGAATGAACATTATTCAGATCACGATTCCTGAACTGCTAACATCTAACTGCAGATCAGTACATGTTTATCGTCAGGAACGATCAAGAAATAAAAAAGGAAACTTTTTGAGATATTTTATGATGAGAATTCTATATTGTACCGAATATATAATATTGAATAAAACCACTAATAATAATAATAATAATAATAATAATAATAATAATAATAATAATAATAATAATAATAATAATAATAATAATAATAATAATAATAATAATAATAATAATAATAATAATAATAACAATAATAATAATAATAATAATAACAATTAATAATAATAATAATAATAATAACAATTAATAATAATAGTAGTAGTAGTAATAATAATAATAATAATAACAGCAACAATAATAATAGTACTAGTAATAGCAATGATAATAATAATAGTAATAATGATGATAATAATAGTTAAACGACAAAAATACTAACTTGATGAACTGCAATCAGTGAATGGGGACATTTACGATTGACTGGTAGACGAATTAATTCGACTAAAAATCTCACTGGATTAGTGAATAACAACAATTCACAATCTAGAAGAAACTGGACAGAATTAAGATAAATGAAACTATTAGACAAGACGAATATATATATACTGAAAGTTACAAATTAAACACTGAAAGTTTTTACCAGATAATAGGACAAGATACCTAGCAGCATTTTCCATCGAACTCTGTCTAGGGCAAATCTTCTCAGCCCTTTCCAGTTGCTATTTATCCTTTCGATGTCTGCTTCCAGTTCTCAACATATTGTATTCTTTGGTTTCCTTCTTCTCCGTTTCCCTTCACGATTACAAGTTAATGATTGTCTCGTGAAGCAGTTTGTTGATTTCCATAATTTATGCCTTATCCAACTCCAACGTCTTTTCTTAAATTCCTCTTCACTCGGAATCTGGTTTGTTCTCTCCCACAGTAGGTTGTTGCTGATAGTACCTGGTCAACGACATTCAGTATCTCGCGTAGACAAATGTTTGTAAATACTAGTACATTTTTGATGATGGCTGTAGTAGTTCTTCAAGTTTCAGCTCCATACAGTAGAACTGTCTTGACGCTAGTATTGAAGATTCTCACTTTGATATTGGTTGATAATTGCTTTGAGTTGCATATGTTGTTCAGCTGTAGGAATGCTGTCCGTGCTTTACCGATTTCTCGCCTTTACGTCTGCATCAGATCCTCCACGTTCATCAATGAAGCTTTTCAGGTACGTGAAACGATCCACCTCTTCCAGAGTTTCGCCACCAAGTGTGATTAGTTTGTTTGGTGTTCTCCGTGTTGTATTTGACAATGTCGATTTTTCCCTTGTGTATATTGAGGCCTACTGTTTATGAAGCATTATGTGGTAGACGTTGGAACCACATTTGTTAAAGGAGGGACTCATCTAAGTTATATGGCCCTGCTAGTTGCTTCATATGCCTCAACAGCTGCGATGGTCTTTGGTCTACTAACTCTCATGACGTTAACAATTGGTGTAATCTTTTTTCATCGGGGACTGATGTGCGTTGTATAACCACCGCTTTTATTTTGTCATAAGGTTCACTCCTAAAACAAATGTCGTTCCAACGTCTACCACATGATGTCAGACGAATTCTTAGCTTATCCGGAAACTCAGTTACTTTAGACAAGTTAGCAGATATGGCTGATAAAATGATGGAAATCTACCCGGACAATCGTAGTTTAAACTCCATACAAACTGCAGCACCAAGCGATAAAGATAGTACGGCCATGTTCCGACGACAACTAACGGAACTGGCGAACCAACTAGCTGAGTAACGAGCGACTACAGCCACGGTACAAACAAAGCGACACGGATCACCGGCCAGGCGAAGATCCTTTGCAAGGCAATGTTCACGATCGCCTAAACAAGCTACTGGAATCTGTTGGAACCATCAAAAATACGGTTCAAAGGCATGGCGTTGCACACGACCGTGCACGTTTACTCCGAAAAACAACGAGAGTTCAGGAAAAGAGCCGGCCAGACAGTAATGGTGGCGCCTGTTACTGACCACAACACTAGCCGTCTATTTCACAACCCGGGATCGTACTTCTGGCTCGGACTTTTTAGTCGACACAGGAGCAGAAATCAGCATCGTCCCAATTTAACTCTCACAGTTACAAACAGTCAATCTCGTTGAGTCCGGAGTAGATAGAAATCAATGGGAGGAAATAAAATTACATATTTAATAGTCAGTAGGCTAAGTCCCTGCTTGTCCACGCTCAGTGACCAATCATATTTTAGTTTCACTACCACATATTTATGATAAAATAGTTATATCAAGGCCGTCCGAAGTCATGAAGCATATATGGCTAACAAAGACTTACATCTTTATTGAAAAGATTTAACACTTGTTGATTATTGTCATAATTATCATCACCAGAATTTACATTAGAAACAACCAAACGATTGAATAATTGACGAATACGTGTTCGAAAGTGTACAGTTGAATTAGGCAATGGAGTTGATCGATTAGAATTTTTCAATGATGATTGAAGTGTTGTTAATAGATCACATTTACTTGATATTGACAGATGTTCAAATACAGCACGAAGAAGCTGAAAATTGTTTAAAATAAAGCTTAAATAGAATGGAGAGAAAAACAGATAAACAATAAATACACTATATGTGGGGATCGTTGTTCGAAAAAGGGAGAATGTTATCAAAAAACAGGCTTCCATTCGAGGACAACTTTATGTTCTCCTCGAGTATCTTCGTCGGTGTGTTCTGCTAACAAGCTTAACATACAAACATCTAATCAACTGTCCAATGAAATGGAGAAGAGCTGAACAAAGCGGAAGAAAAGTGGTACACCTATTGACTAGGACTACTTGCTATTCATTATCCAGATATATTATGTATATACATACATTAGTTAAAAAAAACCTTGTTTATAATACAGTAACCTACCTTAATATGTTCATTATCTGGTAGTGCAGCTTTACGAACACGATCAAGATGCAGTATAAGTGAATAACAGAATAGATGATCTTTGGCTAAGACTTTAGCATGCGGAAGTAAACGAGACAATAAGCTATAGTAGAACAATAAACAGTATATTAGACGAAATAAACAAACAACATGACATGCTGTTATTTAGGAGTTTGTCACATGAAGGTAGTTTTTATGTCAGATGGAATACGATTGAAAACCAGGGGGATCAGGAAGCCTTTTCGTTATAGTTTTAACCTTACCAAGAGTCTCCACATATGATCACACCCAAGAGTGAACCTTGAACTTTAAGGTCAGTAAACTAAACATTCAATTTCAGGCAATTTATGATACAGCGAGAACCTTACTAAAATGCTATAAGTTACTACCTCACTTTTGACGCGGTTTCCCCACTACAGTTCAAGAAAACTTTCGAAAGCTTCGAAAACCTTATCTCCAGACCCTTGAAAAATAAAAAAAAACATTTTATTTTGTCGAACGTTGTATTGTCTCTTCTAGGCAGCCCATAAATCCTGCATGTTTTAAGGATAGACTCCTGCCTCGAGTCATAGCAATCTGCATCACTAAGTCAATTTGCTCCACAAGGGCAAGTTACATCAATCGAACAATACGAGTTCTTTGGAAAAGCATTTTGGAAAATTACTTCAATTAATTGTCAATAACAGGAATATATGCAAGTCAATCAATAAATTTATCTTGATCACACTAGCCGCCAGAATTATCCTTTACAACCATCAACATGAACAAACGAATAGGCTCAATAAAAGTATAGGTCACAAGACGCGTGAACTACATAAGGTTTACATCAATTCAAAAGCATTATACTCAACCTCTTGTTCTATAACGGTCTTAACCCAATTTCTAATTTTCTAATTAGATGATATCTTCATATTTTACTTTATGGGAAATTACTCCCTTATCTATAAACCACCTTCATCTTACTGTTATATTAACATAATCCTTTAAGTCAATTAGATAACTCTAGATAATTGAAATTTCTGATCACATTTATGCAGTAATCCCTATCGATTTCTCAATAAATAACTATAATTGAAGGTAGTCGGCAAGAAATCTTTTCAGAATTAGGTTTCACGCTAGTTGCGACTCTTCCAGAAGATGCGCGTGCAGTCTTGAAGAAACTATGGCATTCAAACTCATGTTATCCAGAGTATGCAATATCGAGTCACTTAGACGAGTGGCTAAACTGCAACTTGATCAATGGAATTCAACTAATATTAAGGACTAGACAAACATAACAATGTTCATTACCCAGTGATCAATCGACCTCAAACTATAACATATCTCAAGTAACCTCAAATATAATTGTATGGTTTAGGTAAATGATATCATCCAAAAAGAAGATATAATATTAGTTAAAATCAACTAATCTGTTAATGAAGGGAACTGATGGATCACACTCATCATTTAAGCAAAAAGTGAAAATAGAATGAATAGTAAACCAAAGATATTGTTGAGTAATAAATTACATTACAATTAATATTAAATTATTGAAAGTATACTCTGAAGTTTATTTTACTGTCATCTCTTCTAGGTGAAAAACAAGCATATAAAACACTCACTAATTTATAGCTTCAATATCCTTAACATCAATGGACGTAACACACCAGAATGCATAGTCTGAAAAATATTTATTTGAAAAGAAACGTTTACAGAGTAATTGAGTAAACGAGAATTTAAGATTATACATGCTTTGTAACTCTATAACATCTTCGATAACCTCTCTGATTAACTAATTAGTAAAGTGGGTTTGAATCTCAAACGAGGCATCAGTTTATGGAACTTAAAATATAGTTTTTCATCATAAATCTAAACATTTTGAATACTACATAAAGGTATTTCTGCGTTGTCGTTTTATTCGGCATAAGATGAAAGTAACTGATCTTTTGATTTCATGTAAAAACTCTTAAGTCATCTTAACTCTAGTTTGTCCCTCTCCATACCAAGGCTTTATCCATTTAATTTCTCGAATTGTGAATAATACAGGCTAATGAGAAGATTCAAGATAGTAATCAGGAGACCAAATAATAGTACGAGTAAAACACGAGTTTGGAATCAAACACTTACAAAAAACTCTGGAAATTGTCAAATGCCTGGACCAAATTGTTTATTTATTTATTTCAACACATAGATAATGGTACAAAGAAGCACCAAATACATATGCGCCACACAAATCTCATTCGATATGTGTGAGGGCTGTGATACTGCTCGGGTGCCCAAACCGAAGCAGGTGGTTTTCTTAGGGAGCCACACCCCGAGCCTCCGACCTGAAGGTCTGATCCACAAGGCAGTGGAGCATCGTAAGGAGATGCAGTCCCATGGTATCCGGTGACCAACGATTGGTTCATACGCCATTTGTTCCTGAAGGATACTGGAGCCCATGTGCACCATTGGTTTGGAATCCGGTTAAAACGCCGGATATACGCTTTTCGTCCTCTCATTTTCGTAAACAACACCCCCGCCACGAGAAGGCAGTGAGTAGGACTTCCCTGGCAGAGGCTATATACGCTTGGCCGTGTGAGAGTATTTCGAGAGGGAGAGCGGACCCTCCCCACTCTCGGCCGTACCAGGGCATTTGGGGGCCTGGACCAAATAGACACGTATATTCAAATAAGGATAAGATGGATTTATCAATTACTCAATATTTGAATGCAATTTTATCATGAACAGAAATTTAATAGAAAACCATTCATTCTAGCTTCGGAGTTCTTAAAAGTGTTCCATAATATAAAAAACAGAATCTAATTATATATATATATATATATATATATATATATATATATATATATATATATATATATATATATATGCTTCGTTGTGAGCATATTAGCCATTGGATCATACGATCTAAATGAATATTCTGAATTTCTAATTGATCGATCGATAAGCAGTAACTAAATTCATGTTTGTCTATACCATAACACCGATCGAATTGTAATGGTCAAATTGCAATATGGCCACTTGTCCAAGTGACTATACATTGTATACACTATGTTAAGATATTAAGTAGTTGGAGGTAGCCGGTAGAGAACTATGAAGTTAGGTACTGTACTAGTTGATACTTGTCAATAAGATGTACCTGTAATCTTGAAGGAACTGATAAAACCTGCGAAATTTGCACCTACGTAACCCAAATCTTGAGACGTTACCTTTGAGCTATTCGTGTGATAACTAACCTCTTGTAAAGATGAGATACTCATAAGTGACTAAACACAGGGAAGTGACTGATGTCCTGTTTGTCTAGTTTTCAGTTCCAATCGGTTCCTTCAATATTGTAGGTACGCCTTGCTGACAAGTGCCAACTGTCATGAAAACTAGGTCCCAGGTTTCCTATTAACTAGTTAAAACCACCTAAAATTCTGAATTTCAAATAACGGATGATGTATAGAAATATAAGGTCTACTATTAGATCACCAATAACGTCTTGTCATTTGCATTGGCCTAGTGGTTAAAACACTCAACTTTTCGGTACTACTTTGGAGAGTTCAAACCCCACATTGCCTAATTTTGGCTTAGGTAGACGAGTAATATCAACAACCTCCTCAGAAAAATGTGGTTTAAAGCTGAATACATAAACCTGAACTCCGTAAATCAATTAAACTGTTATTTCATACAGCAAAATAGTATAAAATTAAGTCATTAGGTTACGCAATAATATAGTATATATTATGACACGAAAATCCTTTAATCAATACTACTTACCAGTAACATTCAGCTTTTGTTCCAATGTCCAAGAAATTAAATCAATATGAGGATTTTTACTTTGAGAAATTTTTTCCGATTTACATAGTGAAATATTTAACAATTCAGAAATTAAATGTTTCGGTGCAGTGACATGTACCAAACATGTGAATTGTTTTGGTAAATAGTTACAATTCACATTAGACTCTAACTCATAAGCTAATAAACGAGAAGCTCGAACAAGTAAATAATCTCGAACCATATTGAAACGTTCGATAATTTGTTTGTCAGCAAATGAAATAATAGGTAAATCAGGATTTTGTTTCAAACAGTCAGCTAAACCTAAGCTGAAGAAAACAGAAATACCAATATATGTTAAGAAAATTTGCTAATTTTTAAATATTATGGTAATTAATAAGTATACCAATCTAGGGATAAAAAAATTGCACGAGATAGATAGTCCCCTAGGTTGATATGATGGAACGATGGATTCGATATTCAACCGGTAAAAAATAAGTTTTAATTCCTACTTCTGTTTTAATAAATGGTTAACTACTAAAAACTCTTATATGAACAGTGAGTCAAAGATAAGTACATAAACCGACACTTGGTAGATGAGTTACATGATTATTACTAATTTATGTGCTGTAGTACATAGTGACCGCTCGTTTTTAGCACATCACCTAGAATTAACAGCGTTTGATTATACAACCCTATCATTTTGGCGTTAAAATGAATTAGAGGTCTAATTACTTATTACATCTGTTGTTCACTAAAATAATGCTCACTAAAGTAAACATCTATTTGATAAATACATCAATTTGTAATCCATGATATACGGATGTTTTGATTTATCTACTCTTACAGAGTGATAGGACGCGATGAAAAGGCAAAGTTACATTCTTTTACTCATTTTGATTTTCGGGTAAACGACTCCACTTTTGAATTCAATATGATGATTATTCAGTGTAATATTTGTTATCCGGTGTGATATTTTATTCGTCATAACATTAATTTCTCTTAGTGCGGTGTTTATTTGATATTCTTGAATTAAATTAACGTGAACTATACTCAGCAGCAGCCTCTGCTTCAGTAGGCCTCAATATACACAAGGGAAAAAGCAACATTCTCAAAAACAACACGGAGGACACCAACACAATCACACTTGATGGAGAAAATCTGGAAGAGGTGGGTCGTTTCACGTACCTGGACAGCATAATCGATCGGATGCAGACGTAAAGGCAAGGATTAGCAATGCAAGGACAGCATTCCTATAGTTGAACAACATATGCAACTCAAAACAATTTTCAACCAATATAAAAGTGAGAATCTTCAATACGAACATCAAAACAGTTCTACTGTATGGAGGTGAAACTTGAAAAACTACTACAACCATCATCAAAAAAGTACAAGTATTTCGAAACATTTGTCTACCTATTGTGGGAGAGAACAAACCAACTTCCAAATGAAGAGTAAATTAAGAAAAGACATTGGAGGTTGGTAGGACACACATTGAGGAAAACATCAAACTGCTCCACGAGACAAGCACTAACTTGGTATCGTGAAGGGAAACGAAAAGAGGAAGACTAAAGAATGCACTGTGACGAGAACTGGAAGCAGACATCAAAAAGATGAATAGCAATCGGAATCTAATGAAAAGGGTTGTAGAGGACAGAGTTCGATGGAGGATGCTGATGGGTGGCCTATGTTGCTTCACGAGAGATAACAAGCGTAAGTAAAGTAAGTGGTAATCTATTCCTTCTTTTGGACCATATTTATTGTGTTTAGCTTTATACTGTATCTAGTATTGTTTCATTGCTTTTTATCTTGTTAATTTCATATAACGCAGCGATTTAGTGTTTAAGGTGTTCAGCTTCCGTCTACAACGTTTCAAGTTAGAACCCCGCTCCACTTCGGTTTGAACAACCGGGTAGTATCATTAGCCCTTACACTTGGAGTAAGATTTGAGGACAAGTATACCAATCTATGATGGTTAAGTGAGTCTATTTCCTGGTATGATTAATGTAAGGTGTAGGAATTTAGACCAACAACCATTTATTTAGGTCATACGTTGTGTATGACTGTCAACCTTGAACGTTACTAGCATTAATGTAATTTTACGGAGATTCGAAGGTGGGATTTGGTCCTGTAATGATATTTACAACAAACATTGTAATTCGATCTAAATGTTTTAGTTGAAAAATATTTTTAACCAGTTGTTTGGATACTGTACCTTCTTTAAAAAAAGCGTCTGAATGTATTCTATCACAATATTTTAAACAAGATATTACGTACCGTACAAGTCTCTTTAAAATCTCCACAATGGCTAAGCAGGTAGTATTGATAGAAACAGTTTGACTTAGCGTATTTATAGTTGAAAGACTTTTTGTATTATTAATATTCAACTGTTCAATAGATTTACGATAAATTCCAATTAAACCATGCATATTTACAGATGAATGAATACCAGTCATTTGAGAAGCGGTATCTTTAGAAAGCTTCCATACATTTTCCTTTTGGAAATTATGATCCACGTAGATACGTAAAAGATTTATGATAAATAAGTTTAAATGTTCAGGATAACTAGAGAATTGATCAATAATCAATGATGCTTTTTCAACAATTTGAGGAATCAAACGAATCCATACATTATATAATTCATAAGCTATGATTTGATAAGATTCCAAATGCCCGAAAGCGATATTCCACCATGACAAAAGAATGAGACAGGATAATGATTCCATATAATGAACTTCTAGATTTGATTGAAAGATGTGCCCAATGAATGTTTCTAAGAGTAGTATCAACGAGCTGATATTTCTATTGTCAATATAAGGTGGATGTTTCTGAAAAGAAATAATAACGATCAAGATTTTTTTTAGATGTTATAGTTATAGATCAACTATGAAGTAAGATTAATTTGAAGGATAAATTACAATTTCAGTATACCAGTCATCAGCAACACTGGACTACGTACAGTATGCATCCACCCAAAATCACATACCATGTTAACACAGAGAGGTGAAATTTAAGAAATACGAACCGTAAGAGTAATAGACATAGAGACAGATGAGGTTGGACATGCATAATACATATTCTAGTAACTTTATTTGATGAAGGTTAAGAACCTCATATGTTGTCTTTACCTAATAGCAGATGTCTCACCTCAGTATTTCTTACTCCGGTGTTTTACCATGCGCCAATAATTCTTCATAAACATTTATACTCAAATAATAATAGCCTAAGAAAAGAGTAGGTAATAATGAACTGCATTCCGCTCTGTTTTATTTAATGGCTGTGAAAAATGACAGAGAATCCAGCTACGCCACAGATGAAACTAGTAGAAGCCGAACAAGCTTTTAGAATTGGTGCCGATGTATCCAGCTATCAATCCATCAACATTGGTGAGACTTACAGTATGCATGAGGTGGTTAATGTTTTGAAATAATTTACTTCCCATGGCCAGTTTCATACATCTCGGTCATTAAGTAGCGTCTTGCATCTGGGTGTATAAATGCATCTCGAACATTCTTGCTTTATGGTCGAACGAAAACAAGATTCTTGCTTTAGTAAGCTATCCAGATATTAAATAACAATTTAATTATTTATTTATTTGATTTATAGAAACTCTGGTACAATAGGGGACAGAGGAATGTGCCGAATAAGTGAAGGGATAAAATTGTGAAGAAATAAAGGACGGAAGGGTCGTACAATCAGCAAATAAATATGCAGGGACAGTATTTACTGAGAGAAACAGTTCGGTTGAAAAGAAGGTCAAGAGAAAATTACTTGGTTGGAGGAATTCTCCTTACTCATATGAAGAAAGCTACAGCAGGATCGCTATTGGCTCCTATCCTAACCCATATCTCAGTCCCAAAAAGCTGTCCTACATACCACGGGGTCATGCTACAAACTGTCTACCTCTCTGTTCTTTCCACTTAGTACTAGTGCCAGCAAATAACGTGCGAATTGTAAGCCTCTGGGATCATCAAAGTAGAACATGACCAATTCACCGAAATCAATATATCAAAGATGTTGATCAAGATGATGAATCAATTTCAGTTCTTTTTCGTTCACCCGAGTAGTTTGACTATGATATGGTAGTGAAGATTGATTATAGTGATGATTTAACCGAGGCAGACTAACTAGAGTTTACTGCTTCGAAGATTAAAAGGAGTAATAGAAAATGAGAGTCAAACGATGTTCCAGTCTTTGGGCAAAGCAATTTTTAGTACTAAATATTTCAGTGTACTTCGGGACAGTCCAAGACTACAAGTTTTAGATGTAATGGTCTGGTGAGAATACGACAGAAGGTTTACATTTCCAGCTAAAAAAAATAAAACAAACACAATGTTTGGGCTTAGGTGATGTCGCCTCTCACAGTTCCATTAAAAGAGGAAATCAAGATAATGTTAGATTTAAAACCAACGCACAACATTCATTTCAAAATCTTCTAATGTTAGCAGATTCCGCATAAATTTAATTTTTTTAATTACTAAATCAAATAAGTGAAAAGGGGTGTATGAAATCGACATACACTTCCATATCCCGACCGTAGCTGTTACCTTGACGCGGTGGCCGGGCTTGCCTATCGTGATGACCCAACCGAGCTATATTGGCTGGAACACATGTTCCTGTATGTTCTACCATACCAGGCAGATCGATTGGAGAACGGTAAGACTAAAAGCAGCAACTCAAGGTCTGAGGGCGAAGTCGTACTGCTGACTGTAGAGGGGTGTGACGGCAGTAAGGTGTTCCCCTCGGACAACCAGCATCTGCAGCGATGCTGCCTTCTCACAAGGAAGGAAGGGGTTAGAAATGGTCGGCCCTGAAAATATCACACCTCACCTTACCTCACGGATTACCGTCTCCGGCGGTAAGGTCCTTTGAAGAACGAAGCTAACACGTCAAAAACCTCCCACAAAAAGGCCGTGCGCGACCGGCCTCAAGCAGTTGTCTCTTGGGCTCTGTGGTCACACTCCCAGGCCGTTAAGGCCGACATTAATCCAATTTCCTTTTCAGGTTCCTCAAGAAATACCCTTCGACGGTGTGGGCAGCCGGGAAGTGACGCCAGCCCTCATACCCGTAACAGCATAAGAGACCAAGTTGGTCACATTCAAATCCTTCCTACACCTTTTAATACCAATCTTATCTCCCCGACTAACCCTTCTCACGTCTCTTTATCACCTCTCACCGCTAGGGCAAACGACTCGAGTCCTGGGGCAGAACTAGCTCTCCTAGACTGGATCCCAGTACACAACCGTTTGTGCAAACGATTCGAGTACGCGGAACGTTATTCCTGGTCTCCTGAAACCACGCTCTTAACTTCATGTTGGAGCTTATAACGTCCGAACACTGTGCCAAATAGGACAGCAAGCGTCCTTAGCTAGGACTTTAGAATCTCGCTCCATCGATGTGTGCTGCGTCTCCAAAACGCGCATACAAGATCCGAGTAGCGTCATTCATTTGACATCACCATGTCAAAACAAAGAACCAACTCGATTCACACTTAATATATCTGGAAGCCCAGATGCTGCTTCTCGTGGACTAGCCGGCGTAGGTATAGCATTGAGTCCTAGGGCAGAACTAGCTCTCTTAGACTGGATCCCAGTAGACAGTTGTTTGTGCGCTGTCCGACTAAACGGAACAGTAAGGACTTGGGAAGATAGGGACACTCGTCGTTGCATCTTCATCGTCTCTGAATACTCTGCCACTGACTGCAGCTCAGATGATGCAAAATATGAGTTTTACAGAAAGCTTTCGGACCTTCTCCGGAAAGCTAGGCGCTCTGATGTAGTAATAGTGGCTGGTGACTTTAATGCCCAAGTAGGTAAACTAAGCGATAGGGAAAGACACCTAGGTGGATCTTATAGCATCGTGGCTCAAAGAACAGATAATGGCGACCGTCTGTTGCAGCTATGCTCAGATAACCGCCTGTTCCTTGCAAATACTAACTTTAAGCATAAGCAAAAGCATCTTTTAACATGGAGACCTCCTAATTCGTCCCAATGTTGGACCCAAATAGATCACATCGCTATCAGCCACCGATGGAGGGGCTCGATAGAAGACTGCCGCTCATTCTGGAGCACATGCTTAGATTCAGATCATGCTCTAGTACGAGCGCGTATCTGTCTGCGTCTTACTGGACGTAGGAAAGACGCTGCAAGTAAACCTCTTCAGGCCCTACTTAATGATAGCCAAGCTAAGAGTATATTTCAGGAACAACTAGGAAAACAGTTAGGCAGCCATGTATGTGATGCCCACCCCGAGGCAGCATGGAATGATATCCGAAAAGCTGTGGAAACAGCAGTGATATCTGCTAGTACGGTAAATCACAAGGTTAGGGAGCAACACTGGATCTCAGCAGCAGCTATCGCACTGATAGATGCTCGGAAACTCATGCCACCTGGCTCTGAACATAAGGAAGAGCGGAGTCAGCTTAAGCGCAAGCTGACAAGAAGTCTACGCAATGATCGCGAACAGTGGTGGGTAGCGAAAGCAAGAGAGATGGAAAAGGGAGCGGCAATAGGTAATAGCAGACAATTGTTCAGACTTGTTAAGGAAACTGGTATTAGGAAACCGACTGTTAGCGAAACAATCTCAGAGAAAGATGGACATATTATACATTCTCAATCCAGGAGATTGGATCGATGGGCAGAACACTTTAGCGATCAGTTCAACTGGCCTTCAGCCACACTTCGGTTTCCCACGATCTTCAGTCAACCTGAATGGCAAGTTAGTCTAGGTCCTCCGACTCTTTACGAAGTTGAAAAAGCCATAGGAAATCTGAAGCGAGGGAGAGCACCAGGCCCTGACAGGTTTACTCCTGAAATTCTTAAGGATGGTGATCCAGTATTAGCAGTGAGATTAACTGAGGTCTTAGGTAGAATTTGGGAACTGGACGTAATCCCATCTGACTGGTCTCAATCACTGATTGTGCCAGTCTATAAGAAAGAACAAAAGTCCTCTTGTGACAATCACAGAGGAATCAGTTTGACTAATATAGTGTCTAAAATATTAGCTTCAATAATACTTCGACGCCTAATCAAAGCTCGTGAAGAGCAGATTAGAGAAAACCAGGCCGGTTTTCGACCTGGACGTGGTTGTATAGATCAGATATTCACACTACGTCAGGTTCTAGAACACAGACACTCGTTCAGACGCCCCACAATGGTAGTATTTCTCGACCTTAAGGCGGCATTCGACTCTGTAGACCGTGAGGTTCTATGGCAGTGTTTGTCACTGAAAGGAGTACCAAAGAAGTACATTAACCTTATGAAGGCTCTCTACTCGAACACAACTGGTCGAGTGAGAGCTTATGGCGAACTGTCATCAGAATTGATCACCTCAAGTGGTGTTTGTCAGGGCTGCCCACTCTCTCCATTCTTGTTTAACTTTGTCATTGACGTACTTTTAGAGATAACACTTTCCTCAACTGAATTTCTAGGGGTTGAACTTCTATCAGGAGATTCACTTGTTGACTTAGAATATGCTGATGACATAATTCAATTTGGTGAAGATCGCTTCATTTATCTTCGAAGTCTCATCAGCCCTTTTAGTCTGGTGTGTGACGAAATCTCAGCACGGATACAGAAGACTCGACTAGCTTTTACCAACTTGCGTCATTTATGGCGTAGGCGAGATATCCGTCTATCAACCAAAGGACGGCTTTACTGCGCAGCAGTTCGTTCTGTCCTATTTTATGGTAGTGAAACATGGCCGGTAAGAGCAAAGGATATTCGTAGGTTATTAGTATTTGATCATAGGTGTCTTCGAAACATCGCTCGTATATCCTGGGACAATCGAGTAAGCAACACACTTGTTAGGAAACGGGTACTAGGTAAGGATGGCAAATCAATTGATGAAGTAGTGAAACTTCATCAGTTGAGATGGCTGGGACACGTGTTACGTATGCCCAACCACCGACTGCCTCGATGTGCGATGTTTTGTTGTATAGGAGTAGATTGGAAGAAAGCTAGGGGCGGCCAGACCAAAACATGGCACAAGTCCATGAAGTCACTGACAAGTGAACTGAGGCATGTTGGTAGGTGTAGACTACCTGGTTGGGATCAGCAAGATGATAGCAACCAGTGGTTAGAGACACAATGACATGGCTCAAAATTGTTTGCAATGACGCAGGTGCATCCACTCTTTGTGTTCTCCCGAATTCGAACCTTATGAATTCTTCATGTCCTTCATTTTTCTCTTTCCAAATTTATTTCACTGGATTATACACCTTGAATAACATCTTCAAACCCTAATGTTTACGATTACTGTTTATACTCTTACCGCCTCTACCTCTACGGGATTTGAATCGACAACTGCATCTCTGTGCTAATGTAATGTGGCAACTCGAACTGATGTAAGTACGTATGAAGTTCTACGTTGTTCTCACTGACTGACTGACTGACTGATACTTCCATATTACACCTATTGAATATTCTCCCTGTAAATTATAGTAGGCATTTTTTAGTAAAATTAGGTTCGAAATAAAAAGCGTAATGCTTGAATTTACAGGTGAGTAGCACATTAGTAATTATTGGACCGAGTGTAAATTGTCGAGTTTTAGAATCAAGCACCATTCCATCCACTTTGATTTTAGGAATCGATGAGTATCACTATATACAGCATAAAAATCGACTCAAAGGCGAGTAAACAAATCCATACTTGGGTGTTGAGTTCTATTATTATGCTTTCTTAGCTAAAATTAATAGGGCTTTCAAAAGTCTCGTAAAATGACGACAAATGAGTTACACACTAATAAACCTTATTGTTCATTAATGATCTATATGACTTCATCAGTATCTTCAGGAGTGTAAATACACATACCGTCTAATTTGCTTTAGGCAATTAAACAGGGTTCTCGATATTCACACGAATAGTTTAACTTGGACCAGTTGAAAATTTGACAGCGATGGCTGAATCGCATCTAATTTTTCATCCATTAACATACCAAATGACTAAAACTTATTGAGGAATTCATCAATAATTTGTTTGTGTACGATTCGCTATAATGATAAAGACGGCTCAATTAACAGTGGTAGACAATACCGATAAAAGCTATAAACACTACATCAATATGCAGGGCTTATTAAACGGCAACAACAATAAACTATAAAACAGAGTTATATTCGATACATATGTCATAACTTACCGTAAACCAAACATAACAACATTTCTCCTGACTAAAATATTGAAATAAGCAGCATCTATCCATTACAACAGGTCCAACAGAGATAATATCAGAATCGACTGGTGTTACATTGAAAAGATTCCATAAATAAAAGAAACAATCCAGATTGGTTATCTCATCGTTATGTATGATTGACAGAGTTCTTGTTTTATTGTCACATTTTAAGGGGAATATTTGTTGAGATTCATTTTGATTCTAAATATATAAAGATTTATTCAAATATAGAGGAGAAAACATACTTTTCCTTCATCTTGTTCATACAATTTATTTAATGAGTTAGCAAAAGCTTGTTCTACCTGTACGAATACCATTTTCTTTGGGGTGCTGTAGTGACAGAAAAAAACAATGAATAGATGTAATATGTTACATATAAATTACTACGGAAAACAAGTTCAAATTAGATAGGCGCTAACTAACAGTTTACTTTAGTCGAAATCCATAGATTACTCTTTGAGGTTAAATCCTATATATTTTAGAAGGTAGGTCTCGTGTATTTAATACACTAATAAATTAGGTTAATAATATGTTTGCAATAGTAATTGTAAAGTATCCAGTACAAGGTGACCGCGCTTTCCCAAGAAAACTGTCTCAAAATATTAGGAAAACGAAACGGCGTGATGGAATTCCTTCAGTGCAGTTATATGAGAGCTCAGACATACTAGCTTAATAGGATACTGACGAAGATAAATGTTCACAAAACCGTTTCAGCGAAGTCTACTCTGAGGATATTATTATTAAACACTTACATAGCCACAGCGTTGAAAAATCGAATTTTGTACCAGCGATTGTAACTCAGGAAGCTGCTTTTCAATTGTTTAGTAGCTTTAGGCTTTGAAAGTTACGTTTTATACATAGATTTAAGCAAAGCACTTAATAAGGTGCCTTACTTAGGACTTGTGTAGGAGCTTTCGATGTTGGGGATAACAGGCACAATAAAATACTAGATGAGAAACTTCCTTTGTGATAGTAGACAGAAAGTGAGAGTACATGGCAAATCATGTGTATGGAAATGTAAACTGCGGTATCCTGCAAGGCACCACCTTAGACTCTCTGCACTACAAAGACTGCCTAAACTGTCAACAATCTTGTTTGCAAATGATATAAAAGTTTGGAAAGTAAGTAATGAGGTTGTTAGTCATGATCTCCAAGCTGATTTGGAGGAATTGGTCAAATGGTCGCAAAGTTTGGGTCTGAAGTTCAATCCCAGTAAGATTGAGCTAACGCACATCAGATACGGTCAAAGTCATCAGTGCACGTTCAGTGGGACACCACTACCACAAGCACAGGAACAAGGAGATCGTATGAGTAATTGTGATTTATGACTTGAAAACTGTGTACATTGTAATGTGGCAGCTGTTAAAGGTTTTCGATTGTTATAGTCACTTCACAGAGCCTTCAGGTGCCTTGGTAAATATATGTTTTGGACTTTATATCTCACCTATGTGAAATCTCACCCAGAACACAGCATTCGGCTATCGTGTGTAGTACATTTATGCTCGGTGTCATCTATCGCAGTAAAATCTACTGAGCTGATGACCTTATTTTAGAGCACACTCATCTTTGGAGTGCAAATACCAGATGTTTGATAATAGGAGACTTTAATGCACCTGACATTAGTTGGACTGAGATGACCACGGAAGGATCTATAAACTCCTTTGATAGTGGGATCCTGGTAACAACAATGGAGCATGCATTAGTGCAGCATGTATCCGAACCCACACGTTTTGGTGCTAACCAAGGTTCTTCTCTGTTGGACATGGTAATCACTCATGAGACTGAGGATATTGTCGACCTAAATATTCTTCCACCGTTAGTGAATAGCGATCACGCTGTTTCGTTATCCGCGTTTAGAACTAGGGACATGTTATACGACCAGGTTACACCTCGCCCAAATGTACGGAAAGCTAACATATCAGCCATTCAGGAATGCGCTGCTAAGACAGATTGGTTTGTAGATACTAGCTTATCAGTTGAAGAAGCATGGTCTGAATTTAAAGGTAAGTTTAGTCTAGTTACGTCCCCATTCATACCATACCTGGTGCCATGAAGACCGACTAACAGTCCACCATGGATAACTAAACCAGTCAGGAAACTTCTTAGGAAAAGGAAGAAGCACTGGAATATGTTCATCTCTACTGGCTTAGAACAATACAGATTCAGTTATTGTAAGATTAGGAACACCTGTAAAGCGTTAATAAGTAAGACTAGACTATCATACGAAAAAAAATTGGTTAGGGATTCTAGATATGGTCCGAAACGGTTATTCTCGTATATAAAAAGGCGAACTCAGAGAAGCGATGGAATTCCATCACTTTTGATACAAGAAAATCCGTTAATCTTGGCAAGAAATGATATCGAAAAAGCTGAAGCTTTATCGGAATATTTCACTAGAGTGTTTTCTACCGGTTATGAAGAACTACCAACGATTCATCGCGACCGTGACGGCTCGCTGATGGATCCTGTAGTCATTGAGAAAGGTACTGTTTTAAGGCTACTTCAGCATCACAAACCTGATAAGTCCAGTGGTCCTGATGATATTCATCCTAGGATTATGAAAGCCATATCAGATGAAATTGCTGAACCATTAATGATACTATTTGGCATGTCTCTGAGGCAGTCCAGACTGCCCAGAGATTGGAAAAACGCTATAATAAGTCCGGTGTATAAGGCTGGGAGTAGGGATTTAGTTAGTAACTATAGTCCCGTTAGCTTAACTAGTGCAGTTGTAAGACTGATGGAAAAAATCATTCGGATATCTGTTATAAACTATGTTGAAGGGCATAATCTTTTCTCCAGGGAACAACATGGTTTTCGGAGAGGCTTATCATGCTTGACAAATCCCATTGCAAGAGATTGGGCTGCTGCAAAAGATCAGAATATTCCTGTGGATGTAATTTTCATAGATCTAAGTAAAGCCTTTGATAAGGTTTCACACTCTGGTCTTAAATTCAAACTGAAACGTTTTGGAATCCATAACACAGTCGTCGACTGGATAAGTAACTTTCTCCATGACAGGAGACAAAGGGTAAGGGTTAATGGGGCTCTCTCCTCGTGGGTACCTGTAAAAAGTGGGGTTCCCCAAGGCACAATCCTAGGTCCTCTTCTCTTTTTACTTTATGTAAATGAATTGCCAACTGTAACAAAATCATCCGTTCTACTCTTCGCTGATGACATAAAGATTTGGAGACCCATACATAGTATGTCGGATAGAATAGTATTACAGGACGATCTTAGCTCATTGGGGGCATGGTTAGACAGGTGGTCACTAGAATTAAATCCTAATAAGAGTGTATTGATGCAGTTAAATAACTCTGGTGAATCGTATGACTATACAATATATGGATTCGCGCTACCCAAAGTAAAAAACTATAAAGATTTAGGAGTCACATTAAGCAGTGATCTCAAAACCACTAGTCACTGTAAGGCTGCTGCTGCGAAAGGCTATAGGGTATTATGGTCTATTCGTAGGTCTTTCCAGTATTTAGATGATGAAATGTGTTGATTATTATACCCGATTGATCAAGCAGCTAGTCTAAGTTATACTGAGGATGCTAAGCAAGAACGATTGAATTAAGAAGAGTGTGTGTGTAAAAAGTGCGAGACTTTTGATAAATTGACGGAATAGGGTTTATTCAAAATAAAATCTGAGAATTTGTTATATTTGCTATATAGTAAATATACCTAACAAATTTGCTAGAAGACTAAACCGGTAATATCCTTTAAAACAAATCGGTTAGAGACTCTGTATGTAGATAGTATTTTCAGGTGCCTCAACAAAAATATCAGAGAATACAACTAAATGCATACTCTTTGGTACTACTGTCAAGGTCACTCACAGCAGATTTGATTTGACGCAAAAACACTCGCCTTCAGATCTAGATTTCAAATTTGTATATTGGGGACAAAAGGCATACAGCCTGTGTTATTCGTTTCACAGTAAGCTTCTGACAATGTCCAGTCTTCTCTTGAATGTGTCAATTAAAGGGAGTTACATTTCTTGGAGTTACATTTTCCAAGACTTGATGACTTTGTACACCAGGGATATTTTGTTTATTCTTGGCTTAAATATTCTCCTACTACGCATTCTGAGGTGTCTTCATCTGGCGAATGTAAGTAATGGTGGTGTGGATCTGTTGCCTGGAGAAAGACTTCTCGACCTTGAGTATGCGGATGATATTGTCTTACTGTGTGATAATGCCCAAGGCATGCAATCCGCGCTTAATCAGTTGGCAAGCAGTGTCCGTAGGTATGGTATGTGCTTTGCACCTTCGAAGTGCAAAGTACTTCTACAAGACTAGCAGGATTCCAATCCTGTACTCACCCTGGATGGTGAGCAGATAGACGTAGTCGAGAAGTTCGTGTATCTGGGTAGCTGCATAAGTGCTGGTGGTGGCGTGAGTGATGAGATCAATGCACGAATAGTGAAAGCTAGAGCGGCTTATGCCAATCTTGGCCACCTTTGGCGCCTTCGTGATGTTAGTCTGGCTGTAAAAGGTCGGATCTACAACGCGTCGGTGAGAGCAGTTTTGCTCTATGCTTGTGAAACCTGGCCTCTCCGAGTTGAGGACGTTAGACGACTCTCTGTGTTCGATCATCGCTGTCTCCGAAGGATTGCTGACATCCAGCGGCAACACCATGTCAGTAATGCAGAGGTTCGGCATCGTGTGTTCGGGCACAGAGATGATAATTCAATTGGTGTCACCATCTTGAAACACCAACTTCGGTGGCTTGGACATGTTCTACGAATGTCGTCCCAGAGAATTCCACGTCGTGCATTATTTGCCGACTCTGGGACTGGTTGGAAGAAGCGGAGAGGTGGTCAGTGCACGACATGGTGTCGTGGCATGAAAGAAAGCTGCAAAGGACTGGCTTCTGTCGGTCCTTCACGACTCCCTGGTTGGGGTCTGAGAGATGGTGCAACACAGTGGCTAGAGACGTTATCGGATATGGCTCAGAATAGAAGCCAGTGGCGATCCTGCTGTAACCTTCTTTTACTTTCTTCATAAAAAGTGGTTGTATCTTCCTTACCTGAAATATTTCTTCTGATTGTACCTTTGCGTTCCCTCATTACAACTACACTGCCTTACACCAATCCCTTCGTTATTGTTCCCTTTTTTTTCTATTTCTCTTCGAATTCTCATTGTTTTGTGTGGCGCATATATATTGGCGCTCTCTTGTACCAATATTCATGTGTTCAAATAAATAAATAAATAAATAAAGGAAAAAAGAGAGGATATATCAGGCACAAAATCAATTTTGGTAATCTACACATCAAAATCAGATCATCTGTTAATCTGCTGCTGGACAGAATAAAGGTCTACCTTCTCAAGCCGCTCTTTGTATGGAACTGCCGCCGTCTTTACTTTTTCCAAGATATTTCATACACATAGTTCCCTATATTATCTTAAAAAGAGCGAGAACGATGATTTGTGCAGGGTCATTTCTCTCGATACTTTGCAGCGTATTGATATCCGAGTCAGCCATTAAACAGGGGCCTGAATGTGGTTTCCAAGTCTGGATCTCACTAAGATTATGTATATTGTGTTGAACATGTTGGTCTTTAACTTGGTAAGCATCCGTCTTAAAACTTATAGGATTATGAATTAATTAGCTGCGACGGTGCTGTAGTGAGCCATGGTTTTTAAATCAAGGCTCACTGTTAACTTAAGATCTTTGTGAGCACCCATTCTCCCCATATGCAGTACCTATTTACTTTTGAAGACACATCTGGTCGCGTTGATAGTCATCAGCTACATTTAAGACCAACTGATAAGAATACCTAAGGTGGCCTAAAAATCACATGCATATACATCTCCTGTTATTCCTTCCCAAGTGTTTGCATTGTCAGTGTAAAATAGCATCGTGAACACGACCATAGTTGGGAGTTTCCGTACATACATTACGAAACCTAAAGGACCTAAGAGAAAGCCTTGTTGTTTGCAGTTTAACAAGTTGTTGGCTTCCACGAATGTCATTATGACCTTTTTTTATTATTCTTCCCAGTATTTTGGCTACGATAAGTATATGATTTGTTGAAGGTTGTCTTCATCCTCACTTATGAGTTGAAACGGCATTTGCATCCTCCTAGTCAATAAGTAACTCACCTTTACCAAGTGACATATTGAATATTGTAGCGGTAAATAAATCCCTAAAATAAATAGCTCTAAGTTTTCGACATTGGATGCTGACCATATGTTTTAGTGGACTCATCTAGCTGATGGCGCTCGGTCATGCATCCGCACCAGATCACGTGTGGTAACGCCGTGCTCAACATCTACCACAATCGCTAGCCAGATTAAATCAGAGAATTCCGATATATTGGTCATCGCCAAATATACTCTTCCGATCTCCTCGACTCTGTCTTTTGATTTCTCTGGGTGGGGACGAATCATATTAGAAGGTGTTACTGGTAAAAGCGTTGTCAAACACTGAATACCTATGACACCATCATTGGTGAGACCGACGTGATCTGGTACACATAATTGCAACTGTGAGTCTGTTCCTTTTTGGGATTTTTATATATCATTTCCTTATTTTTTATTTTTTAAACATTGTGATTTTTTTCGTGTTTTTTCTTGGATATATATGTATATTTTCCCCTCGTTCATTATCGTACTTCATATTTCATCATGGCTGAACAGATACCCAAAGTACTCAAGCTTAAGGCTTTGTCCCCACCTTCGTTTCAACTGATGCCTTTCTGGCCCGACAACATCGAAGCTTGGTTCTGCTACGCAGAAGCCGACTTCCACGAACACGGCGTGATCGACACACGTGCACAATTCCTCGCAGTAGTTGTAAGATCCATTTTGAGTGCCTCGTGTGTTTGTGAAAATCCCTCCATGTATATACTTACACTTTGTTCCTATTGATTCTTTTAGTTGTACATTGTTAACTTTTTGACTACATTTGAATTGTTAATATTTGTATTTTATTATAGTTTCGTTTTTACTACACCTTCACCAATTCCCCATGTTTCTTCCCGAACTGCACTTATGTTGTTTTACTTTATACTAAGTCTGGGCGGCAGCCATTTTGGTTTGTTTCTGCTTTTGATTGCTTGACCTGTGTTGACTGGAATTGTGCATTTTGGTTGTGAATTGAAGCACTCTTCCAGAATTGAAAACACTCTGTGTTATAGAGCGACCAATTATTACCTTTTGAACGAATCTGTACGTGATCTATCCAGACAGGATAGAATAACATTGATTTGTTGTGATTGATTTAATTGATTGAACAATCATTGGTTGAATAGCCGGGTGATAATATTTGTTTAGTTACCCGATTACTTGTTCTGATTTCGACGGGAAAGGGCGCGTGTCTAAAATCCCCTGTCGGCTATTCTTCAACATCCAAACCGTAGTTTGGATCCTACAGTTCTAAACAAGTATTACTTGGTCGAAATCCTTTGGTAATCGTTCACGGATTTTCTGGAAATAATTGGTCGTGTCGCTTATAATGCCAGTTAATCGTCGAAGGAGATCAGGCTCAAAGTTCGTCGATGTTAACAAAGAATCCCCTATTGTCAAGCAAGTGTCTTTTGACGTCCTTAAGGGTCATGGTTCGGACTTAAATAGGGTTAATTATCATGGCAGTGATTCTAGCCTTAATTCGATGTCAGTTGATGTAAAAAATCTTAGTTTAAGGGAGGAGCAAAGGCCTGAATTACTAGGAAAGAGCATGTCGCCTATAATCCATGTTGTTGGCCCAGAGCTACCAAAGGTTGAACTGAGTTATTTCGATGGAGAGCCAAGAGGTTATTGGAAATTTATAAGGCAATTTGAGACGTATGTAGCGTCAAGAGTCACGGATGATAGCCAGCGCTTACTCTATTTGATACACTACTGTAAGGGCAAGGCTAAAACAGCTATTGAAGGTTGCGTCATGATGGAGGCATCCTCTGGCTATAAAAGAGCAAGGGAGATTTTAAAACGTTTTTTCGGACAGCCTCACGTAATTGCTCGAGAAACACTAGAGGACTAATTCAGTGCTGTGAATTTTGAGTATATTGACGGGGACCAACTATCAAATTTGGCTATTAAGATGGAAAACTGTCCCATGGTCTTGGAACAATGAATTATACTTCTGATCTAAATTCCTTAGTTACCTTGGAAAGAATAGTGAGACTCTTGCCTCAACCTATGCAAGCCCAGTGGGCGGACTGGGTGGATAAATTGACTGAAGATAACAGAGAACCGACCTTCGACGAGCTCACTCAGTTTATCGCATCGCGTGCGAGAGTGGCTTGTAGTAGATTTGGACGGTTAGCGAACCGTTCTAGAAAAGGACATAACGTAAAGACGAACTGTCACGTGCAATCAGAGCAAGGGAATAGTTCGACAATGAAAACTAAATGCAGTATGTGTTCCTACGACCATGCCATTGATAAATGTCCACAGTTCTTAGCGCTTACAGTGCAAGACCGATGGTCTCACGCTAAAAGCAAGGGTATCTGTTTCGTCTGTCTTAGACAAGGACATAAGGTTAATGAATGTAAGATGACAAGGCTCTGTAAGGTTGACAGTTGCGAGAGGAGACATCACGCTCTGCTGCACACTGACTCGACAAGCAACGTCGTAAATGATAAGCCATCATGCCCGGAATATAGGAAAAGAGTTGTTAATCATAGCAGTAAGATACAGACATTAGAGAACGAAATACGTAAGCCTTATGACGTAGAGTTTTCAGATGCTTATTCAAGTGATAAATCATTATCAGTAGACGACAAGATGGCTATAAAGATTGTGGAAGGTGGCACGCGCTTCGGCAACGGTCATTTTGTAGTTTCTATACCTTGGAAAAAGAATCCAGATATGAAAGTGGATAACTATGAAGTAGCAAACCGTAGATCACAAAGTTTGAAGGGTATGTTGTCGAAGGATGTCAGTCTGCACATCAAGTATATCAAAAGTACTGAAAGTGATTTTACTAAGACTTATGCGGAGAGGGTCTTTGAAATATATCTGCAATCTTATTATCGCCCTCGATGGTATTTACCTCATCGTGCAGTATTAAACATGAAAAAACCAGATCTTAGAGTGGTCCTTGATTGTGCCGCCCAGTTTTCAGGGGTTCCCCCAAATGATATGATTTATCAAGAACCCGATACCACTGCTGAGTTAAGGTGTATATTAATAAGTTTTCGCAAGGAGGCAGTTGCAATCCCTGTAGATGTTGAAGAAATGTTCATGCAAGTGAAGGTCCCTGAGTCTGATCGAGGAGCTTCAGGATTTCTGTGGTGGCAAGAGGGAGACATGTCGAGGGAATCATCCGAGTTTCAAATGACATCCCATCCATTTGATGCTACATCATCGCCATTTTGCGCGAACCTTGCCCTGAATAAGACGGCCCAAATATTCTCTAACGGTTATGATGGTTATGTTGTAGATGATGTCAAGAATAATTTCTATGTTGATGATTGCTTGATATCCATTCCCACTTGTGATCAAGCAAAGAGTTTCGTTAAGCATATAAGTGAATTATTATGTAGAGGAAGTATACAAAAAATCACCGATCTTGAATCTTGGTTCAAATGTCCTATTTTATTGCATGGCGAATTTTATATAACAATCACTGACTGTACGGAACCTACTCTTGACGATATTGAGTTTAGAAAAACTGCTGTGGTTAACTTGAGTAGTATAAAGTACAACAAGACACCTGTTCTCTCTTATTATTCCGAGTAGTTGAAATTAGTCAGAGCTGTAACCTGGTTTAGAAGGTTCATCGAATTCCTGATGGTACTTCGTTTACCGAGTTGTGAAGGATCCGTTCATCTAGGATGTTTAAAGGTCAAAGAGCTTGAGATTGCCAAGCGTAAGATTTTATTGATGGTTCAGAGAGAAGTGTATGGAGAATTACTTAGTGAATTTAAGAACAGCAGTAAAGTAGTAAGCCATGATGATCTGAAAGGTTTATCGTTGATGATGCTTGATGGGTTACTCTGCGTTGGAGGTCGACTAAGATACTCAGATTTCCCAAATGCTTTTAAACATCCAGTAATTTTACCCAGTCGACACTTAGTGACGGAAATGATGGTTAGACATTGTCATAAAGAACAAGGACACATAGGAAGATCATTAGAAAAAGGGTATGGATATGTGTTTACTTGTTTGCAAACATGGGCAGTACATATTGGAATGATGTGTAATTTGATTACTGCTTCATTTTTAATGGCTCTATTACGTTTTATTGGAAGAAGAAGGAAACCTCCAGAGATTTACAGTGTCAGTGCGTCAAGCCTCGTGGTGACAGTTTCTGAGATAAGCAAGTTTGTGCAGCAGTCGAATCAGAAGATAAACATTGAATTGTCAGCGAGGCCCTCATTCAACAGCATGGGTGGAGTTTGGGGAAGAGTGATTAGGTCTATATCACGACTGTTCTTTTTGATCACCAGAGAACAGGTGAAGCAGGTCTCCTTGAAGCTTTGGATTAGTCTTTGTTGTTATTAATGTAGTTAGGTCGAGTAGGCGTACTGTTGTAAGTCCTACTCGTTCCTATGGTGTGATATGTTATATGATGAACCATGACCGTAGGCGTCAAGGTAGCTTGTGTGATATGGAGGGATTTTGGGGGCCGGTGTAAGATCCATTTTGAGTGCCTCGTGTGTTTGTGAAAATCCCTCCATGTATATACTTACACTTTGTTCCTATTGATTCTTTTAGTTGTACATTGTTAACTTTTTGACTACATTTGAATTGTTAATATTTGTATTTTATTATAGTTTCGTTTTTACTACACCTTCACCAATTCCCCATGTTTCTTCCCGAACTGCACTTATGTTGTTTTACTTTATACTAAGTCTGGGCGGCAGCCATTTTGGTTTGTTTCTGCTTTTGATTGCTTGACCTGTGTTGACTGGAATTGTGCATTTTGGTTGTGAATTGAAGCACTCTTCCAGAATTGAAAACACTCTGTGTTATAGAGCGACCAATTATTACCTTTTGAACGAATCTGTACGTGATCTATCCAGACAGGATAGAATAACATTGATTTGTTGTGATTGATTTAATTGATTGAACAATCATTGGTTGAATAGCCGGGTGATAATATTTGTTTAGTTACCCGATTACTTGTTCTGATTTCGACGGGAAAGGGCGCGTGTCTAAAATCCCCTGTCGGCTATTCTTCAACATCCAAACCGTAGTTTGGATCCTACAGTAGTCAAGGCACTACTGCGCGAATTCAACAGGTACGTAACACCTAGTATGTTTACTAGTGATGTTTCCGATCCTTACGAAATCTTAAAACGCTCGATTCTTAAACGAGGAGACCTAACCGATCGACAAAGGTTAGATCAACTCTTCAATAACATCGACCTGCAACACGGTTCTGCGACGGACATGTTGCAATGGATGAGAGAGGTAATAGGCCCAAGAACTTTCGACGAAGGTCTATTCAAACAACTCTTCTTGTCAAAACTTCCCCAACAGGTGCAAGCAGTTCTGGTCTCGTTCCAGAACAACGCCTTAGAAGAGCTAGCTGCATCTGCCAACCGCATTTTAGAAATTACGAGACCTTCTACTACCGAGGTATTTTCAGTCAAAGAAAAACCTCAAACGACTCAGAATGATATAACCGAGTTATGTGACACACTCACGCGTTATCTTAGTCTTCGTACCGACCGTAAGAGATCGCGCACCCCACGTAGAAACATTTCACGTAAGCGATCTGTCTCTAGACCACGAGAGAAAGATAACCTCGACTGGTGCTGGTATCATAACCAGTATGGAAAGTTTTCCGGAAATTGCAGAAAACCCTGCAATTTTCCCAACACGAAACCGAGGGACTCGAAAAACAACTCGGGAAACTTCCAAGCCGGCACGCGTTAACGGCAACCGTAGCCGGCGAACATAGCCGTCTGTTATACGTCACAGATGTAACAACGAGAGTTCGCTACCTCGTCGACACTGGCGCAGAAGTTAGACTACATGGTGACCAAAATTACGTAAAACAAATGCACACTATCCCCAGGTCTAAACTTGAGAATTTTCATGAATTTCGAAGTGGGAGAAAGTTTGCGTAGTTTAGATGCGATATTTTCTCTTAAATGTTTATTTTAACCGTAACAACGCCATTCAAATATGCACAAACTATCTCAATCTTAAAAGTCGGAACTTGGAGATGAATAAATAGCAAGTTTATCATCTTTAGTTGGTACAATCCGCTTGTATATATGACTTTTACCATGATCTGCTAATAATCCTTCATCATACTTAACAACTATTATAATTCTAGTACACAATTTATCAGTTAGTGTAAAATCAAATATAAAATCTAAACTCATGTCTTCCTGTCAATTAATTTTAAATAGTCAATTGTTGATTACAGTATTATTTACATCTAAATTAAAATTAATATATTCCATATAATTATCGATTAATTTATTACAATGTACATCTTGTAGTGTCGGTTATTATGTTAAGCCCATATACCTTATTCTAGCTTTCAGACAGCCCATTCTATTCATTCTACTTGAGTCACATTCTGACTTTGTTATTTATTCGCTTATCAATCTTGACTGTTTTATACGAGAGCGTAGGTGTGTGTACATTTCTTATCCCATTACTCATCGCATGCCTGTAGCTTAGTTTTGTGTAGCTATAAATATTGATTGACGCTTGGTTAAATGGGAATTGGCTTACCAGCCATCTCCATTGAGTGTCGTTTTGCTTCTTTCTATTCCATTCGCTGTATATACAAAATATATGTATTCAAAAGTCCATTCTCGTTATTCGGCTTATACAAATCCGTTATTGACTAACGCAATTAAAGTCGATGATTATATACGAGAATAGGTGACATATATATTTCAACAACAATCATCATTACAATCTCCTTGGAGTCAGATCCATGGGCCACTAAAATCTAAAAACATTATTTCATCAGTATAACATTTTCATTTGCTCATGACTTACAGACATTTTAAAATTGAAACATAATTAAAATTATTGAAAATATTAGTACATTATCCTTAGTCAAATTCTAATAAAAGAAAAATCATTTCATTTCTATTATATCACGAAAAAAATTTTAATTACATAGAAACATACTACTATTATATATATATATATATATATATTACTTTTTATTTAAAATGTAATAATCTAAAGTACATACATTAAATTTAAAAAAAACAGCAAATATCCGGACAATGCCTTAGTAACAATAATAATAATAATAAGGAACATTGTACAAATTTTGAAGTTTAATTCAATTTTAATGATAGAATTGAATAGTTAAAAAAATAATACTTTATTTTATTTTTTTAAAATTTATATTCAGTTTTAATATTGTTTATTATTTTGTTTAATTAAAATAATAATAAAAAGAAGAAAAAACAGAACGATAGAGAGGGGGGAAAATACTTTTTTTTCCAACTATTTTATCACTCTTTTCTAATATGTAAAAAAAAGATTCACATGTAGTGGGGGCGGATGTGTGTGTGTGGGTGTATATTATTGTTTGATTATTGACTGTAAAAAGAAAAGGATTTTGAATATAAATCAGTCACTAAGCTAATTAATCAAGTATACATTTTAATAATGATTATATATAGAATAATAGTGAGGTAATAATAAACATTCATTTATCTATTTGTTGTTATACATGTAATTTATTTATTTGTTAGAAAACTTTTGAAAAATAAATTCCAATATAGTTTTTCTTCTTTTTCTTCTCTTGAGTCATATGAAATGAAGAAATAGTAATAATGGAAGCATATTCAGCTTTACTGGAGCATTCTCCTTATATATATATATGTATAGAAATATATTAAAAATATATTCAAACAGTGAATATTCAATTAATTGATATGTGTAACTACCAACGAAATTTATTTATATATCAGTAAATTGGATATGATTTGTTATCTGGGTTAGTACTGAAAAAATCAAAACAAAATATATCAGAAGATTATAAATTAACAAACATTTATCGATTTTTATCAGAAAGGAGTTTTGTGGATATTATAATAATTGAATAGTTGAATTCATCAGTCAATGGAAGCTAAACCACTATACAAAATCTGAAAGCACTGGATAGCGGTTTCGTCCTAATGTGGAACTTCTTAACATCACGCATCCACGATCCCGGCCCCCGGGATACGAACTCAGAACATATCGGTCTCGTACGCGAACGATTAACCTCTAGACCACTGAGCCTCCATCCAACGGTGTTAATCTCTAACATCAACCAATCTACGAAATTGAGTCACCGATTTTGAAGTAATGATTATTGTACAAAATGTCGCAATATTATCAATTTCAGTTAGGTTAAAAGATTTGTGTGAGATATGTTCTTTCCCTTCGTAGTTTAACTATTCATTCTACTGAGATAAAAAGATTCAGAACATTAATAATGGGTTCGATTAATTCAAACACTAACATATATAAGCGAACACTATTGTTTTCGATTAGATCCTCATAGGGCTTCACTCTAATATAAAGTAATATTTATATGCATATACGAAATTGTTAAACCAATCAAGATAGTCTATGATTCAATGATGATGACGGCGGGATAGATTACATAAATAAGTGAAAAGTATAAATCAGTAGTGTGATAACAAGTGTACTAGTTGTGATAAGAATAATAAAGGCTTGAATCAATGCTTCATAATGGGAAATAGGTCAGTGATTAGAAAAATATTGACACCGAAACATTCATAATACTCATAAAAGTCACCAGATTAAGTAATATTAAGTGTTCAGATCATTGGACCGTGAAGCGTATATTTGAGAAAAGGAAAGCGGTGGGAGGGGGTGAAGAAAAATAAACGAACAAAGAGTATGGAAAATAATAATAAATAAAATCATTTGTTAAGCCCAAGGGAGAAACAAAGGTTAAAGTTAAACAATAACACCATTGGATGCCCGCTCAGTGGTCTAATGGTTAAGCGCTCGCGCGCGAGACTGTTAGGTTCTGTGTTCGAATCTGGCGAGGGTCGGGACCGTGGATGCGTGCTACTAAGAAGTCCTACATAAGGACGAAACGGCTGTCCAGTGCTTCCAGGTTTTCCATGTTGGTATAGCTTCAATTGACTCATGATTTCAACTGTTGAAATTTCTAAAAATCTCCACAAAACCCCTTCGGAGTTAAAGTTGTTAAAAATTTCTTATGAACGCAAATACTTGGATTGTTAGCTCGAATTCCTATATCTTCTGCTATGCTTAAGAGACGAGATCGAAGTCCATAAGGAAAACTAGTAGGAATACGATAACTAACTTTAAATGACCTATTTCTATCTACTACATGACCGCTATCGATCAAGTGTGATAGGACCGAGCTGCGTATTATCATGACTACCTTTTCGTAACCACGGAATAAAAGGTACTATCAAGTTACTATCAGTTCATTTCTATCACACTTGGTCGATAGTGGTCATGTAGTAGACAGAAATAGGTCTAGGGCAATGTTTAATCATTTAAACATTATATCATAAAAACAGTAGAATGAAAATAAATTCACTAACTTTAATTTTTCCGCAACATTTTTGGTCCTTAACAAGGAAGTGTTATCATTTAAACTGGAAGTTGTCATTTGTGTAGATTTATTATTTAGTGATTGTGTTTGGGAGATCATTCTTTGTCTAGTATCAGATGGTACATTGGTGTTTTTTGAAATAGGTCTACTTGCATGAGACGGAGTTAAATTAGTTTTTTTGGAACTGCGAGATTTCATAAAGGTATCTGGTTTTGGAATTGAACTCTTGTATGATGATGAATAAGGTGATGTATTTAATCTTTTCCTATTAAATCATAAATATGAGGAAAATTCATAAGGAATCAACATAAATGCAAATCGTTTAATATGATTAGTATGAAAAAGGATAATATTCGTTTATAACATAGACTCTCAATGAATCGTAGTTGATAGTTAAAAAAGTGACACTGTGGTTCCATCAGGAATTCCATTAAAGCTAATCAGAGGTGAGTACATGATTATTGCATAACTGAGTGGTTATAACTTTTAGTATTGCCCAGTGTTTGTACCGTATTAATTATTAACTGAAATCAGAAATGTGAACACTTAGATTTCTGATTAATTTATTACTGGTCACTAGGTAGCTGGTTCGATTCTGTGTGAGCTCAGTGAAGCACACAGAAAGTCTTAAATTAAAATGAAATAGTTGTTCAGTGCTTTCCGCTTCTCAATGATTCCTGTAGATGATAATAGCTTGTGACAAAAAGTAGTTTCAGGTTATACAATTACAAGACACTCAAATATATAACGGTATATAGTTGAATAAAATATTTTTTCATCCTTCTACACACCTGGAATAATAAAACCTTATGGTAGTTATTACAATGACAACTTTCTTGTTACATGCTTGCATTAGGTCTTGTCTATTAAATAGATATAATCTCGGTCACAACTCTCAATCAATTACAAGCTCTGCAATGGCACTATTGTCAAAGTTATCATCAATATCTCTTCTATACAAGAGAGATATACTAAAGTTGAAATCCATTTCATAAGACTCAAAAGTACCCAAAATCAAGCTTTACATTCGAACTGATCGAGTATCTAAATATAACCGCCATTAATATCAAGAAATTAATCTATCAAGCCCTCTGATGAAAACATAAATACCAAATATCACATATCAAATCATAATCTGAGTTCTAAAATTCACCATAAAATTTTGTGTTTCAACTGATGAATCTCATACTTAGAATAAATAAAATAATATAAAATCTCGAAACAATAATCTTCCTTAAAAAGAAGAAAAGAACTTACTTTGATGGAGTTTTGTTCTTTGAGCTGGATGGTTTGGTTGTGGACCTTTCATCATTCTTCTGAACGACATCATCAGCACAAACTTCGGATAGAAGTGAAGCGTTCGAATTTCTCTACATTTGGTTTACAGCTGATCCTGTACACTTCGATGTTGATTGGTTCTTGTTGACTTTAAACCTGTCATTGTTTACTTCTTTGTTTTGATTGTATCTTCCATTGGTTTGATTTTTGTTCCTGTGTTTGTGCATAATTTTCCTGACTGCTTGGCAAATTGAATTAATTTCAATGTACTTGTTGATTGCTGATTGGTCTGAGTGCCAAGCTTCTAAAAATTCTCTGATGTTTTTGAAATTTTCTCTATCCAAAATTTCCACATTTTTCCAATCAAATGTATGTCCGCAATTGTTCACATGCATTGATATAAGTGAGAAAATGTCATAACGTTTGACTGCCAATTTATGTTCATACAAGTTAAGATGAAGATGGCATCCGCTCTGTCCGACGTAGTGTTTTTCTCAGTTGTCACAATTTATTTTGTAAATAATGGTTTGTTTGTCTTCTTTTGTTTTGTTTTTTTCATCTTTTGGTTTGTTGATGATGTCGATTAGAGTAACGATGAAAATTCCATGACCAAACCATTCAACTCAAAGAACAAAACTCCATCAACATCATCTACCTAAAATATAAGTCTTCTCCATTATCTCAAAAGAACTTACTGTTCATTGTGTGATTCATCTTTCAATGGTAAATGTATACAAGGTTTAGATGTTGTATACTGTGATAAATCATTTTTAAAATAATGAGATGATATTAAATCAATTGGTTGTTTATTATCACATGAATAAGATGAAATTTTCATATCATCATTACACCAATTTGGTATATCATCAAATGAAGATTTATGATATTTATTGATAATTGATTGTTTATTTAATTGAATTATTGGATAATAATTAGATGAAGGTAAATTTCTTCGAATTGATTCAGTTGATATTCTTTGTTGTAAATTGTTATTTGATAATTGATTAGAAGAAGAAGAAGTAATTGTATTTGAATGAATAGAATAATCTCTTTGACCAACCAAATAACTAGTTTAGTTTAATAAAAGAAAATAATAATAATTTCAAATTTGGTCCATTTTGTACTTTTTTTTATTTCACTGGTTGAAACCGTGAGTCAATTGAAGCTAGACCACCATGGAAAACCCGGAAGCAATGGACGGCCCTTTCGTCCTAGTATGGGACTCCTCAGCAGTGCACATCCACAGTCCTGACCCCCGCGAGATTCGAACCCAGGATCTATCAGTCTCACGCCAGGCGCTTAACCAACTAGACCACTGAGCCGGCATCCAATGGTGTTAATGTCTAACTTCAACTTATTAGTGAGTTCCTATCTCACAACAGATCTGGTTGGACTCCACTGGTAACGACTATTTTTACTTTTAAATATGTTACACATAAATATAGAAAACATTTTAGTAAAACAAAAATATTTAAAGAAAAGAGAATATCACTAGAATCCATGTTAACAACAATGAAAAGAGTTGACAACATACATGAATTAATTATTAATTTCTACTAATTATGATAATGTTGATTAGTAGTCAACATTTTAATATGTCGCTTTAAAATGAATGTACTACATTGAAATTAAAAATAAAAATAAAATTAACAACAAAATATTGCATGCATAACAACAAAGAATTTACCCCCCCCCATGATCATCATCATCATTATCAATATCATGATGTATCGAAGAGAGAGAGAGAAAAAAAATAAGAAATTAAGCATTAGGATGAACACAAAAGCCAATAATTTGTGCAGTGATTAACCTTTTAATAACAGTAAGTTCAAGAAATCACGTTATCGCTAGTTTAAATTCAAATTCGGACATGGTTACAACCAGAGGTATTTGGTGATCAGATTGTGTTTAAAATACATTAGGCTAATTTATCACATAGTTCATTTAGTCATCATCTTCTGGTTGGATTATCTCGATTTTTATTAGTATGGGGGTTTGTGGAGACTGTAGTAATTTTCAATAGTTGAATTCATAAGTAGATTTAAACTAAACCACCATTAAAAACCTGAAAGCACTGGACGGCCGTTTTGCCCTAGTATGGGACTCCCCAGGCGTGAGCATTCACGACCCCGCCGGCAGGACTCGAACTCAGGGCCTTCGACTTATGAATTCAAATGTTAAAAATTATCTAGATTTATCAAAGAGCCAAACTGTTTTAAATAGTTTCATTTTATTTACATCTTATCAATATACGACTATTGTGTAACTTACATTCTATATTTGAGATTTTTGTTTAAATTTTAGGGACTTTCTTGATGACGTAACAAGTTTCTGTTTAAGTCTAGACTACTTAGTGTAAAATAACTAAAAATATAATTGTGGTGATTTGATAAATGACATCGTAGAAAAGAAAATTTACTTCATTGGAACAACTATTACTCCTTGGTAATTGTTCTGTGTCACTAATGAGTGACTCTAGAAAAACCAATCAGCTTGACCAACCTTAACAGGCCTGAAAGGGGACCTTTGCTTGAAATAATTTTATATTACTTATTAGTATAACAGGTTTTTTTGGAGCATTTTAGAACCTGATCTACTCACTTAGTTGAAAAACTGTTCTGCTAAACTTCATTTACTTCATTATCAATCGGTCAGTTATGAACAATGTAGGAGTTTTAACCAATGATCATCGACCCCCAAACAAATAGCAAACAAATACAAATTGAGCACAAATAATATGGTGAGCAAAGAGTGTATAAAATTAAGGACAAATATGAAAGCATTTATGTTATCAGTTATTGGTCAATTCATTATAATTATACTCGTGCAAAATGCATATAAAGAAGTTTGTACTTTCACATACGGTATAAACCAATAGTTAGTAATTTCATGGACCAATGTTACGTTCTTGATTCGGTTACTTCTAGTTTTTCGTTATATTGGTCTTGTTAGTCACAACCATTACACTTAGGAGTAGTTAATGAGGAAGGAATCTTTGCTAAACCGTAATTACTTAGGATGGTAGACATTACAATAACAGAGCTTATTATAAGAAATTAAAAAACCCTATCAAATCGGATACTTTATTCAAATCAAAACAATTATAAACTACTAGTCATTTAGTGACGTAATAAAATAAATAAAAATATCACTATATAAAAACAAATACTCACTTTCTTTGAGCATCAACTTCACTAGTGTAAACTTCATTTTTCAACTGATTTACTGATTTGGCCAATTCATTAAGTAATTTTGTATGCTTCAATGTTTTAGCTGAACTATGAACAAGTGCTTCCGCTTTCTCTGGTAAAATTGGTATTTTACCACGATATTCTGAATGTGACTATATTCAATGAGTACATTTAAGAAAAAAAAAGCAAAAAAAGAATAACACAAAAAAAATTGAAATTTTATAAAATCATCAAGACAATTATCAATAATTTTAAGCAAAGATGGATAGTGGTTAGCAGTAGACGAAACACGCGTCCTCGATTTCACTGCTAGCCGCTTGCCATCTTTGTTTAAAAACCTTGTGACTTAAGACTATATCGAAGCAATCCACACGGGATGCACATATGCCAACATGAGACTGATCAGTTGCAGTCCTAAATAACAATGGGAAGATACAAGTAGAAAATAACACTAAGTGAATTCAATTATCAATAAGTCACTACAAACTACAACTCACTTCAACTATAAAATAATAAAGAAATCTAATTAATTGCCAATGCTTCGGCAAATTTCAGAAGGTTAGAGCTTGATTGTTTATTAATCACCTTGAAGGACTTCAGTGCATCAAATTCGTGTCCTGTGTCAAGGAGATGTCTTGCGATAACACTGTTGAATGCCTTCAGTCCATTTGATGTTAAACTTTTCGGAATATGTTCTTTGAATTGTTTTGTCTTGTACAAAACAACATGTTCTTTGACATAATCAAAGGTCAACAGGTATCCGTTTCATGGTACCACTAACTGTGTATACAAATTTAAATGTATCTGCCAAAGCAGTTACATAGGTAGAACAGAAAGGAGAGCCTAAGTCCGATTCAAAGAACATATTCCGAAAAGTTTAACATCAAATAGATTGAAATCATTCAACAGTGCAATCGCAAGACATCTCCTTGACACAGGACAAGAAGTTGATACACGGAAGTCCTTCAAGGTGATTAATAAACAATCAAGCTCCAACCTTCTGAAATTTGCTGAAGCATTAGCAATCAAACGTCTAAAACCAGACCAATCTACTTAATGCAAAAAACATAGACAAATAATAAATTATCAATGTATATAATAGAATACTTTGTCTTATGAATAACTAGTCCATATGTTAACTGTGAAATTACTTTGTTTCATAATAAAAATATTTTCTTTTGTAGAACAATAAATCTTAAGGTTTACATATTTTCATATTTCATATCTATAAAAGGTTTACAATCAATCTCAAGTATTCACACTTTCAAACATTTCTTCGGTACTGTAAGTATCTGTCAAATCTACTTCTATTCATATAATTGTTAGTACTTGTACAAATGATCTTATTGTTAATATTAAAGAATGAATTTTGATTAGTTTTCATTAGTATATATGAATCCTGATCGAATTGTCTCGATACAGACATTTTGTTGTAAGTTTTATAGAATAGATGGATTGTAGCTAGCGGTTGAATCCAAGATTAGTGTTTCGTCCCATTTGAGACTCGTTAGCTAGATATATGTAGTTACATCTTATTTTAAATGTGAGAGATATGACTCAACTGATAAGTTCCAAATAAGATAAAACAGACTTTCTGAATCTAGCTATAAATTATCTAAACTACTTAGTTTGAATGATATTAAAAATTGTAGTTTGTTGTAATCTTTCATCTTTTGTACTGATATCATGAGTTATGGAAGCATTTACCAATCTATTCAGTTTGGAACATAAGTACTTTTATTATCAAGTCCATTTTACTTCATCACTACCATTCATATCTGTCTATAAGTTTTTTAAATGTAATAAAAATTTGTTATACCCTGAAGCATACTTGACAACAATAATGATAGTTGATCAAAAGCATTTCAAGTTTCAAAATATGATGATATGAAATTCACTTCAGCTAAACTAGACCAAGAGAAAAACTCCATTTGATTTCAGACTATTAAAATCGATTAGTAAATATAAAGCTTCTAAACACTCATAATAAAAAACTCAACTCACCAAACTATGTTACTTTAACACTAAAGATTCAATCTTTAGAAGTATGCTTCTTTATTTCAAGAATTGATAATATAAAGCTGAAGCAAAACTTCTACCATCACAATACTCATAAATGAAATCAGCTTTGTGAATTTTAATCTCATTCAATCTGATCTATGTGTTCAGATGGAGACGATTATTAGTTTTTTAGTCAGAGAAGGGTTTTCATGGATATTATAGTAATTTTAATGTTCGAGATCATGAGTGAATTGAACCTAGACTACCATGGAAAACCTGGAAGTACTGGACGGGCGTTTCACCCCATTGTGGGACTCCTCAGTAGTGGTCTCGAGCGCTCGCACGCGAGACCGATAGATCCTGGGTTCGAATCTCGTAAGGCAAGGTCGTGGATGCGCACTGCTGAGGAGTCCTACAATAAGACGAAACGGCTGTCCATTGCTTTCAGGTCTCCCATGGTGGTCTAGCTTCAATTCACTCATGATCTCGAACATTGAAATTATTAATTTTTTCTTGCCTTGGTGACAAATACTCTTTTGCTGCATCTTAAAAATTTTCTTTCTTTTTCTTTACACTATTTCTTGCATTTATTACATCATTGAGTTTTATTTCAACTATCTTCCAAATTTGTAATCTTATTTTGTCAAATGAGCTCTACTCACTATATTCCTATCAATGTTTATTCATTATGTAATCACTTGTTTCCAGCCGTTTGAACTGCTGTCACAATCAACGTTGTAGAATGTTCTTTCATATAACGTATATATTTACAATATTTAGTCTATTACTTTTATTAACACCCTTGCTATACTATACGAATATGACTTCAATATAACTTACAATCAAACCCTTTCATGTAAGTAATTTAAATCCATTATGTAATTATGATTTTTAAATATCACAGGTTGTAAGCAGCTAACGAGAACCTACGAAATAAAAATGAATTCATGCTGTTCTGCTAGAATTTTTGTTCTTGCTCTTTTCAAAATGATAAAGAGAACTATGTGTATGAAACATCTTATAGTACTCAAAAGCTAAACTAAATATTAGCAAAATTAAAATTAATAGATCTTTTAGTTGAACACATGAATTGGTTTCCTAAGCTCTTCTTGTAACCCTCAATCTAAACCTGCACGGCAACTTGAACACCAGAAAAACGTTGCGAAATATGGAAAGAACGCTTTACTCTAAAGTTAGTTTATATACAGAAAGTCGAGAGTATTCACAGCATTTCAGATGGCCTTTGGCTTTTGGAAAGTTTTGAGACCCTTAAAAACATAATAGCAGGATAGTTAATCATCCAATCACTTTCTAGATGTTTTCGAGTAAGCTCCATAAAATGTTGATTGGATAGGATGTTTTTTAGCGTTCTCACGGCATCTTTGATCGATTTTGAGGAACTTTCTGGGTCTCCCTAACATAAGTTCACCCTTATTAAGTTAATATCTCATATTTGCCTATATCAGTTGTCTTGTTATGAGGCAAAATAATCAAAAATGAAACCTGAAGAATGTGCTTTTTCTATTTCTCCTCCTTTTAATCTAACTTCCACAATATCATCGATTTGATAAAGTAAACATGTATGCGAAATAATTTTGTTAGCTTAAAATCTAAAGCAATATGGTTAGCTTTATAGTAAAGTGAAAATAAAAAAGTGCTCAATTTATGATCATTAATTTACGCGTCGATGATCATAAGGCCATAACAATCTAGCTATGCCTCTGTTTCCACCACTGTTTCTTAATCCATACTCCATACTAGGGATATCCAAATCATTACTGTCCATAGTGTTTGAATGTATTAAATATTCATTGAATTGATGATGTTGGTCAGCTGGATAACTCTTATATGTTTGCATAATTTTAGGAATAATTGTCTCCTATGAGAATGTTATAAGTAGATTCGTAAATAAATCAAAGAGTAACTAAGAATTTTGAAACAATATGATGAATTTTCTATTGAAGAAAATGATGAAACTAATTCGGAAAATCGGTTCATATTACAGTGAGCAAGAACGTAATTGGGGACAATCGAATGTACTTGAACAAAACATTACAGCAGATCTCAGTAAAATCTGAGAACCATACAGCAAATACTTAATTTGTAAAGTATTAATCAATTGTCTCAAACTTAACTGTTCCTTTAGCAAATATCAGTCAATCGTCTCAGACTTCATTGTTCCTGAATTTCCATACCAATTGCTTTCTGTTCTTGTCCTGTCCTTCCCAACCTTCTGCTACCAGATATTCAAATCGTCACTATCGTTATACACTACTCATGTCGATATAAGTAGCACACATCACAATATCTTATCTGTGATAGCCTTTTAAATGTAATATCAAACTACACAATCGAATGAACATTTCTGTACACAATTATATAACATTCCTTTTTTATAGTAAATGGTTACACTCATTTATGAAACTTCATTTTCATCTGTAATATAACTTTAGTAAATATATGCATACATATATATTTCTTATTGGTGAAAATTCCTACAAAGAAACTCTTTTCAGTTTTACCAATAAAATAGTTAACTATAGAATTCAAGATCTCTTATTATAAAACCAGAGATTTTTGTCCTTAAAGTGAATCATAATGAAAAGGATTTAATTCATTTATATAGACGAGCATAGGCCGCCGATCAACTTTCTCCAACACACTCTGTCCTACTCCTTCCTTTCCAGTTCTATCCAATTTTTGTTCATGCTTCTCGTGTCTGTCTCCATTTCCCGGCGTAATGTGTTATTTTCTCTTCCTCTCCTCGTTTGTCTTTCAGCATTTCAAGTGAGGGCTTGCTTTGTGACGAAGTTCGGCACTTTTCTCAATGAGTGTGCTATCCACTTCCAGCCCTTCTTCCTGATTTCCTCCTCCATTGGGATCTGATTTATTCTCTCCCAAAGTAGGTTATTGCTGATAATGTCTGGCCAACGGGTCCGAAGTATTTTGTGTAGACAACTGTTAGTTTGCGTAGTTCTCCAACTTTCCACCTCATACAGTAGAACTGTCTTCACATTTGTATTGAAAATTCTGAATTTGGGGTTGGTTGTTTTGAGGTCCAGATGTACTTCAGTTGTAGAACTGCTTCTCTTGCTTTACCGATCCACTCATTCACATCTTCATCAGATCCATCGTGTTCATCAATGATGATGGCCAGATATGTAAAGGTTTTTACATGTTTTAGAGCTTCTCCGTCAAGTAATACTGGATTTGTGCATGTTTTGTTGTATCGTAGAATCTTGCTTTTCCCTTTGTGTATATTGAGACCTACTGCAGCTGAGGTTGATGCTACACTGGTCGTCTTCTCCTGCATTTGTTGTTGCGTTTGGGATAGAAGGGCCAGATCATCTGCGAAGTCCAGATCGTCCAACTGCATCTCAGCTGTCTTCATGATCCAGTCGGAACACCAAAGTTTATTTAAATATTGGTATTAAAACAAAATTAATATTAAATAATAAAGAAAAGACAATTAATTTTTAAACTTACTTCTTCCACGGGTTTTCTTTCATGTTTTTCTTTTTCTACTCGTTTTATTCTTGTTATTGTTTGATTTAATAAATTTTTAAATTCTGTATTTAATCTATCTAATAATGGATCAGTAATTTGTGAATTATGTTGTATAAGTTCTTGATATATATTGATTAGTTGATTGATTTGTTTTTCTTTATCTTTTAATGTATTTAAAAAATCCTTAATGAAAATTGATAATTGACATAAAATATTTGATAAAGAAAGAAAAAAAAGAAAGGAAGAAAGGAAAAAACTCATTAGGATTGATTTTTCAAAATATTACAGCATTCAACAGAAAAAAATATCATAGTTACGAAGGAAGAATGGGCGAGACTCTAATTTGTGGATGAGGTGTTTGAAGGATTTCAAGGTTACGGCGCCAACTTCAGTGCTTAACGCTAACTTACGATGGGTTCACAAGGAGTTTTGTACAAAACGTGATAACTGAGCGGCTATAACATATAAAACGGCGAGACTATAGTTTGTGGACGAATCAATCAGGTATAAGATAACAGATCTCGGGTTTGGGCACTAAAGCTTTTCATCCATTTGGCTAAATAGATTTCTGGCATTATAGCTGATGTCATTATAGTGATGAAAACCCCATTTATAATTCCTAACTAAGGCGAATTACGACAATTATTGCGAACTGGACAATAAAAGCACCATTAACACTGGCTGCAGCCAGGTACTACAATATATAAGGATGATTGGAGAGCCTAAAGACTCATGCATCGGCTTGGTTATGTGCATCGTGTCGTTATCCACAAGTAGCATTTTGTGCATTTAACAACCGGAGTGAGCATAAACAATATTGAAGCTATGTGGTCGAGGCTGAAATAGTTTATGAGACTTTATCATGACTCCGGAGGCCGATTATTCTGTAGCCGTGTGGATTATTTCCTCTACTGCATGCATTACGATTTTAGAACCTCTGAACCTCTTTCTAACCCTGACAAGTTTCTGAACCACGTATAAGAAATGTATCCACTATATTTCCTCGGTTTTGTATAATATATTTTTACTCTATACTGACTGTTTGCTGATTGGCTAATATTCTCAAGGTCACTTAAAATTCGTTCAAAGTTCGTCCATAAATTAGTCTCGCCGAAGAATGTATTTGTAACGAGTGAATCTGGTTTAAAGAAATATTAGGAAAACTGCAATCACAATTTATTGATCACTGGGTGGTGATTAATGTCATGTGTGTCAGGTCCTTCTTAGTGCAGACTCAATGCTATCGAACAACTTGCAATGTAGCCACTTGTCTAGGTGACTTGACATTGAGTGCACTATGTTGAGATTAGATGGTGGTTGGAGATAGTCAATAGGAAACCTTGGACCCGGATTTCGTGCTATTCGACAGTCATCAGCAAGGTGTACCTGTAATCTTGAGGGATCTGGTTCTCCCTGACGGATTCGATACCGTGTTACCCAGCTTCGTTAAACTACTTATAGCAAGACTATAATTTATGAATGAACCAATTACATTTAAGATAAAAGGTGTTGGATTTTAGTGCGAAATTTATTCATTCATTCGGTTTAATAGAATTTCGAGATTTTTGTTGATGTCAGTTCGTGATGAAAATCCTATATCTAATTCTTAACCCTAAGCACCAACAGTAAATCATAATTGTAATTCTTCATACTGGTTTATAATCCTCATTTATTCCAAGTTATTAGGTGAATGCTTTCAAGGTCGATTTACCGTCGCTCAATCGTCATCGCTAAATTATAGTCTCACAGAAATATTTAGTATACGGTTAACTGAAGAACCATATACCAATTTATATTTGATAATATTGATGTTTGAATACATTTCCTCGAAAAAGCTTCGACCAAATTGATAGGTAAAGTGTTGGATTTACTTCAAATTTATTCGTTGAGATTTTATAAATACAGCCTTCCTCCTTAATGTTTTATATGAACTCAGCACTCAAATAATGTGAAAATATTCGATCAAATCTAGACGAAAGTTCTTACAGATTCCATGGTTATTTTAAAAATACTATAGTGAACGATAACACAATTAAGAACAATCGAATGTATTTGAACGCAGAATTACAGAACATTTTAGTAAAATCCGAGAATCATTCAGTAAATAAGAATCATTACCAAGATTTGACCTTGACCGAAATGACATGGCGTTGACTTGTTTAGAGCTGTTTTTTCGATTGATCGCATATAATATTTTTGCTTTGTTCCTTTGCACTATTTAAACTTGGATTAATTTTGATTTGGTTATTTATTCACCAAAGAAATGGTTTACACTGAGTTACGAAACGTCAGAAAATTTAATTTCTCTACTCATTGGGATATTATAAATATATTAATTTATTCACACAGTAAATACTTCATTTGCAAAATGTTAATCAATTTCTTTAAAAGTGACTGTCCATTTTGCAAATGTTAATCAAACTTCATTGTTCCTTCATTTGCACAGGGATCATTCTCTTTTTTTTTATCTTAACTTTCTGCCTTTAGGTATTTCACTTTTGATTGATGATACATACTACTTATATCTGTTGACATTAGTAGCACACACCACAATTGTTATCAGAATAAATTTTGAAGCATATGAAATAATTCATAACAGTAGCTCATACGAAGACAGTGACTGATTACTTGAGTTATTTATATCAATTTTAGGAAACTATAAATACTAAAATAGTTAACTTAGTGATTGAATAGAAGTGTGTTTACATCATCATATTTCTTTAGAATAACAATCAAAACAAAAGTATATACGAAATATGGTGAAATTTGGATCCAGAATAATCTACACTAACATGGAAAATTTGGAAGAACTGAATCATCGTTTAGAAAAATATTTAGCAAAATAATGACCATAAATTTTGCTTTAAAACTGATTTATCCTGTTGAGAATTAATTATGCTCAATTTAGTAAAACATTTAAAGAATTGCTAATATATAAAAACTATTATGTTTGACATCTGTTGTCCTTTAAACTTTGTATGATTCCTCCAGTTCACAATTCATTTCTATTTCCATTTCTGTTTCTCTCAAATCGGTCGTTTTAGCCTTTTGCTGTCAGCTATTCCACTTTTGATTGTGTTACATACTACTTACGTCTGTCAACATAAGTAACATACACCACAGTTGGTCTATATATTCAAGAATGAAACTTCTAACCGTTTTCCCCACATCTTTTTAGAAGTATGATGTAACATCTTCTTGTATCTGTATTGAATAAGAGCATAGGCGGCCTGCTTGAGCATCTGGGCTACCTGTTCCTGCCATCTAGATATTTCAACAAGTTACCTGTTTTTGTTTGTTTTAATATATCATTATGTCTATTAATCGCATAACCTATTCTGCTGCGTTTCTGAAAAGTGTACAACCTTTCGTTATCAAAGTTACAAAAAGCTCAATAAGAGAGAATGTGGTTGCTGGCAATATAAAACGGAAAGAATGTACATTATTCAGATGTTCATTTACTGGACTGCTAACATCTAACTGGCGATCACTCAATATTTATCGCCAGGACCGACCAAGAAGGAAGAAACGGAAACTTGTTAAAATACTTTGTGCTGAGAATTCTATATTTTACCGATAATATAATATTGAATAAAGATAATAATAATAATATTAATAATAATAATAAGTTACGGCCCAAAAACAATTTTCCGTCCAGGTAGAAATCTACCTGAAGTTTGTGTTGATAATAATGTTCTTGTTCCTATCCAAGTGGTTCCAAAAAACCATTTGAACTAATAAACACAAGAATGTATACGTTCTTTTGAAAACAAACGCCAGGGAAACGTTTAAAATCACAGATTCAATTAATTGAGAAGTTACAAACAAGTTATAGAGTCAGTATGGAAAGTTTGAAAATATCGAGTACAAAAAGCATGAACATTAGCAGAGAATAGTTCATTTAGTCCTTAAATTTAATCTCAATAAAGAGTAATTACGAACACTTGATCAATATGAGCTATGGATTCCGTCTACAAGGAGCTCTGAGCTTCAATTTTCTGCATATATATACTTTAATTAGCGGATAAACATGACTCCTCGTTAACTGAAATCTTACAGTAATAAAGGTAGCAAGCAAAAGTGCCAATGTTGATCCTATTTTCATGAACTAACTACCCTAAGTAATTTGTTTTTCAATTATAAGTTTTCCCCTAAATCATTTATTGATTTTCCTTAGTGTCGTATACAATGGGGATGCTTATACAATCCATCATTTCAAAGAACAGTAAACTGGTTCAAGTCAACAAACTAGTCATCATACCATTTTGAATTTAACGTTTTACAGGATTTTCTTAAAAATCCAAGTACTGATTATTTGTCTGTCAGTAATTCATCTTCACAAATAATAAATTAATCCTTAAGATGGATAGTGGCTAACAGTGGAATAAAAGACGCACGTTTCATCCTATTTGGGACTCATCAACTGGATATACCTGTTAGCCACCATCCAAATTTGCCTTATAATACTTATGACTTAAGACAATATCGAGGCCATCCTCACAGGATGCATATATATAGCAATATGAAACTGATCAATTATAATCCCAAATATCAATTGGAAGATTCAAACAATCAATACAAAATGAATTTAATCCTTGAATTGATCAGCACTAATATCTCTTAATAGTTAAGCTGAAAATATATTGTAAAGCATATAAAATACGAATTTGTAGCTTCACGATCTATACAATCAAAATAAATTTTAAAAAAACATTAACCTGACATTTTGGATCAAAATGAAGCACATAAAACGAAGCTTTCAATTATTATTATTATCATTATTATTAATCATAAACAGATAATGTGCAAATGAATTTAATAAATTTCAATAACATATAAGCAGTTTTAAAATGCTGTGCAATATTATAAGCAGATAATGATTAGTGGCTAGCAGTGGAATCCAGTTTGACGTGTGTTCCGTCCTATTTAGGACTCGTCAGCTGGGTGTACTTGAATCTTAGCTGTGCAATATTGTTTGTAGATAATTTAAGGCATATTATAAATTGTAATAAGTATGTATAGGTAACAGCAGGTTTTTTTGGGGGGGGGGAGGCGGGAGGGGTTGCTACACGTATAACATTTATTGATAAAATATTATCTTACCTTATAAATAGTTGGGAATTTTTGTATAAACTAAATAGAGATATAAACCAAAGTGATTTTGTTGTTGTTGTGAAACAGTTTTAAGTTTAGTAGGGAGTATTAAGAATCATATTTTCATGGTATTCTTTTTATCAAAGAATTCTTATGCCTATGAAATAGATATCATTCCAAACTAAGGATGAGATTCTTTAAACTAGTTATAGCAAGACTATAATTTATGAATGAACCAATTACATTTAAGATAAAAGGTCTTGGATTTAAGGGTGAAATTTATTCATTCATTCGGTTTAATAGAATTTTGAGATTTTTGTTGATGTCAGTTCGTGATGAAAATCCTAAATTTAATTCTTAACCCCAAGCATCAACAGTAAATCATAATTGTAATTCTTCATACTGGTTTATAACCTTCATTTATTCCTAGTGAGTAGGTGAACTTCTTCAAGGTTGATTTGGCATCGCTCAAAGGTTGTTCATAATTTATGATCTTACTGTATTTATTTGTCATTCAACTTAATATTTACAACAATAGTTGTTCTAATACTGTTGTTGTTAAATACATTTAGGATTAAACTGAATTATTTCTATTAAACAAATATCTCATCTCAATTCCTGATATAATCGACAAATTGTAAAGCTTTAAATGAATATACTCTAACATAACACAAAATGATTATAAATATAGATAACAGTTTATTATATTACTAGTATAGGGGTTGTGGAGATTATTAAGTTTTTAATTGAGATCATGAACCGATTAATGTTAGACCATCACAATTGAAAACCTGGAAGCACTGGACGACCGTTTCATCCTATTGTGGGACTCCTCAGCAGTGCGCATCCACGATCCCGCGAGCGGGATTCGAACCCAGGGCCTTCGGTCTCGCGCGCGAACGCTTAACTGGTTGATGTTAGAAACTGTCACCATTGGATGCCGGCTCAGTGATCTAGTTGGTTAAGCGTTCGCGCGCGAGGCCGAAGGCCCTGGGTTCGAATCCCGCTCGCGGAATCGTGGATGCGCACTGCTGAGGAGTCCCACAATAGGATGAAACGGTCGTCCAGTGCTTCCAGGTTTTCAATTGTGATGGTCTAACATTAATCGGTTCATGATCTCAATCAAAAAGTTTATAATATACTTGAATCACCGATTGTTACCGTCATCTATTAACTAGTTTTTTAACACAATGGGAAAAGTAAGTATTAAGAATAAACTTACTGTTCTAACGAAAACAGAAGTATAAAAAAGTATTAGTTTTATAAAATCGATGTTGAAAATTTCGGATTCATTCATTAATGGGATAATAAGATACACTACTAATCAGTCTCGTATTAAAACTGAAGGTTTTTACAATTGACTGTGGTCTTCAACGATTACCTAGAGACTGTTAGTTTATTTTCAAGTTGAATAAATTTTTCAATAACCACGGTGATAAAATATGTATTTGCTTTACCTACTCATCCGTACAGATCAACAAGAAATCCTTCATTGTAACAAAATGTTTGCAACACAATCTTTTTCATTTGAATTATATTAGAGCTTGTTAAAAACTGTTTTTCATTCCCAATAATGAATAAGACACAAGTTTAAAAAGCCATATACATATACAGCAATATTCATTTTTCTAACTGATAGCACATGAAATTTCCATTAAATAATTTCTTACTTCAAGTGCTCTACTCTCTTCATCATCTGGTTGTGTTGATCTTGATCTCAATTCTAATAAATGATGACAAGCTGTTTGACGTTCAGATAACCAACGGCCAAATATATCACGTTCTTTAACATACTGCTCCCATTTTGTTCGTAATTCACGTAGTTGTTCAGTGTGACATTCAAGCTAGTCAATAGAATAGATGGGGTTTAGATAAAAATGAATACATATTTAAACCAGTAAGTTATTATGTAAAAGTATTAAGGGATGCAATGTTTTTGAGATGGTAGAGAAGATTTGTCAGTCAGTCAGTAACAACGTAGAACTTCATACGTAGGTACATCAGTTCGAGTTGCCACATCACATTAGCACAGAGATGCAGTTGTCGATTCAAATCCCGTAGTGGTAGAGGCGGTAAGAGTATAAACAGTAATCGGAAACATTAGGGTTTGAAGATTTTATTCAAGGAGTATAATCCAGTGAAATAAATTTGGAAAGAGGATAATGAAGGACATGAAGAATTCGTAAGGTTCGAATTCGGGAGAACATGAAGAGTGGATACACCTGCGTCATTGTAAACGATTTTGAGCCATGTTATTCAAAGTCTTTAACCATCGGTTGCTATCATCTCGCTGATCCCAACCAGGTAGTCTACACCTACCAACATGCCTCAGTCCACTTGTCAGTGACTTCATGGATTTGTGCCATATTTTGGTCTGGTGGAGAAAATATTTAGCTCATGTGGATGATTTTGGTGGAGGTTTGTTCTCTGAGCTGAATGGTTTGGTCACGGAACTTTCATCGTTCTTCTGAACGAAATCATCAGCACAAACTTCAGGTAGAAGCGAAGTGTTCGAATTTCTCCACATATGGTTCACAGCTTGTCCTGTACAGGACTGTCAAAACCATCCAGCTCAGAGAATAAAACTCCAACAAAAACGGTATGTTTACACTTCTGAGTGTATTTTATTGTTATTGTGTTGTATATTTTATAATTACATTACGATTATACTACTAACTACTTGTCATGAATAAATTTAAAAATTGTCTAGTTAAATAAAACGTTTTAAACTTATTTAAGTGTTGGAATATATGGAACGTAGCGGATCTAATAAATCAGTGAATCACTTACGTTTACTTTAAAAAAATAATTAATCAAAATGGGTTTTGACTAATCGCAAATACATCAAGACAGAATTCTAAATATAACTTCAAAATTAATCACCGATTGATCGATTATTTATTAGTGACTGAAGTTATTTTAGCTTAGTCAAAGTCTATCGACCAAGTTGTAATGTGGCCACTGATCGAAGTGACTTAACATTACATTCTCTGTGTTGAGATGCTAGGTGGTTGGCGATAGTCATCAGGAAAACCTGTACCTAAGTTTTATGCATTCATCATCCAGGTCTACTTATGACACGAGATTAAATTTACTAGGAAGTACCAATAACATCAATAATACAGGTACAACTCACTGATGAATGCCAAATAGCATAAAACTAAGCTTTCTTTATAAATGGAGTCTATATTCATTATTCAAGATGAGTAAGTTTATATCAATGTAAAGAGTCATGAGAAAAGTAAAAGAAACTGTAATATGTTTTAAGTACAGACTTAATCTAGAATGAACAATATTAGGATTCGAATGAAACTACATACCATACAAATACAACCAGAAGCAAATGTAGACAAAATATTTTCCACAGTTTCTCATTGACTTAATAAATTATTCTACTGTGTAGCTAAGGGTGAGACTATAATTTATGGACGACCTTTGGGCGATGCTAGACTGACCTTTAGAGTGTTCACCTAATAACTAGGACCAAACAAGGGTTATAAGATTGTGTGAAGAATCAGAATTATGATTTACAGTTGATGATTAAGGTTAGAAATTAGATTTAGGGTTTTCATCACGAACTAACATCAGCTATAATTTCAAAACTCTATTTAGCCAAATAGATGGGTGAATTTCGCGCAGAAATCAGAGACCTATAATCTTATATCGGATTGGTTTGTCCATGAATTATAGTCTCGCCGAGTTAAGTTTTTTTCGCAGATGAATACTTAAATAAAAGGACAATAAGAGAGATATAGATATAAAATACTTTACGTTTTACTAAATTTACAACAATATGATTATATGAAAGCTTCACGACCAAACCATCCAGCTCAGAGAACAAAACTCCATCAAAAAAGCATCATATACCTTTCTGTTTTCTATATCGATTGCATTTTGCACATGTTTAGCTAACAATTTCACCAAAGTTTGATCTGAACTATTTCCTTTATTATCAGAGCTTTTATCACCTTCTTGTGAAACATAATCGATTTCCACTGAAGACATTCCACATCTGTAATAAATAGTGAAATGGAAAAAAAAGACTGAAACTTGTTAAAAAAACAAACCATGGACTATGAAAGAATAAAAGCGTAATACAGTAAATTGATTGGGGTTTTGACCCTTTAATGTTGGTTTACTGGTTTAAAGTAAACGCTCACATTATAAAGTCAGATAGTCTTAAGCTCAGTCTATGGGTTTGCACTTTTGGACAGTTCCATTTAAAGATATAACAGCTGGGGAAATCATTCTATGGCTTAATCCATTTAGTTAACTAATCTTCACAAGTCGAAAATCATGATAAATATTTATATAAAATATATTGAAAATGACTGGTTATGTGAATTGTTAATTGTTTACTACCTTGTCTCTGGGTTAAGTAGGCTTGAATAACTTAGATTATCTAACTAGCCATGAGTGAATTTTGTTCATGTTATGTAATCCTTGTTACTGAATTAGCTCATAGAAACAATATAACATCAACTTGAAATGAAATGAACTGTCCTACTGATGATATTTTGACTGTGTTTTGATCAGTCTTCGTGAAGTGGATATAAACTTTATATAAACTTGTCAAAAATGGTTATACCTACTCAATTTGCACTGAATACACATATACTAATTAAGACTGATCGAATTTCAGCCAAAATATCAACAATAGGATAATTTGACCCATTGTAAATTGAATTAAAGCAGCCATCACACGAGTGTGAGTCTCAAGTTTATCTGAACTCAGTAGCTTAAAGGATAATGAGATGACGTTTGAAGTGAGAGAGGCTGAGTTCGAACCCAAGAGTGGATATCGACTTAGATGCAGTTAGATCTATCTGATAAGTCTGAAACAAGACGCATCGTGTGTCTTGAATGCCGCTGCTAGCCACAATCCAGCTATTCTATATAAATATAACATTATTAGTATCTAAGTTAATACTCAGGCGAGCGGTAATGTCTTTTAGTAATAAAACCAATTTGAAAATGTGACTTCCTATTATGCCTGCTGGATGTATTTGAATGAAACTAACTAGAGTGATATATATATATATATATATATATATATATCAATTTCCGAATACCATGAACTTTAAAAAGTAGTACCGCAATTCTTAACAGCAAATTAGTGTTATCTAACTTACTTATATCCAAGTGTGGACAATTCTCTTTTCATCGTTATCAACTGTGATTGCATAGCCAATGTCATAGCTAACTGATGACCAACGTCTTCTAGACTTACTGCTTTAGCTAGAGGTTTATCATCTGTCAATTGTTTCAAACGATCTATTTGATAATTGATAAAACTTTTATTTGGATAGGTTGTTAATCCTGTAACATTGTATGAATTTGAAGAGATTGGATCTGATGTTGTGATGAGTTGATTCGTTGTTGTAATTCCTGTTATTGTAGCTACTGCCACTGATGACTGACTAATAACACTTAATCGTTTCCACCAAGACTGTAAATCATTTAGTATAAATGTAGCGACTGAATTCAATGAATCAATGTAAGCTTTGAAACGATTAAACTGGTCATCTAGTCGACTCTATAATAATAAAACAAAAAAATTTTGAATCCATATCTTATACAAACATTAAACATATGTTTGCTTAGAAATAGTTATTTTCTAGTTATAAGTTTCGACACTATGGAGTTCCTGAGATGATTGCCAACATTATCCAGAACTCAAGGTCGTGAATGGAGAACAACTGACAGATGCATTCCAAGTAACGACCGGAGTCACACAAGGCTGTCTACTCTCTCCCTTCCTATTTCTTCTCGTGGTCGACGACTAGATTATGAAGACCTCAACATCTGAGGGAAAACACGGAATACAATGAACAGCTCAGAATCAATTATACGATTTCCACTTCACAGATGACCTAGCAATCCTATCCCATACACACGAACAAATGCAGATAAAGACAACTAATGTTGCAGCAGTCTCTGCATCAGTAAACCTCAGCATACACAAGGGGAAAATCATGATCCTCAAATACAACACGGAGAACACCAATCCAATCACTCTTGATGGTGAAACTCTGGAAGATATAGAATCCTCCACATATCTGGGAAACATCATCGATGAACAAGGAGGTTCAGATGCGTACGTAAAGGTGAGCATCGGAAAAGCAAGGGCCACATTCCTACAATTGAACAATATATGGAACTCCAAACAAATGTCTGTCAACCAATATCAAAGTCATAATCTTCAATATGAACGTCAACACAGGCAGTTCCACTGTACGGTGCTGAAACTTCCAGAACTATCACAACCACCATCAAGAAGGTACAGTATTTATAAGTGGTTGTCTACTGAAGATACTCAACATCCATTAGCCGGATATCATCAGTAACAGCCTACTGTGGGAGAGAACAAACCAGCTTCTAGTTGAAGAGGAAATTCGGAAAAAACGATGGAAATGGATAAGACATACATTACGCAAATCATCAAACTGCATCACAAGACAAGCCCTAACTTGGAATGGTGAAGGGAAACGGAAAAGTGGAAAGCCAAATATAATCAGATATGAAAAGGATAAATAACAGCCGGAGAGAGCCGGAAAGCATTGCTCAGGACAGGGTTTGATGAGGAATTCTGGTAAGCGGCCTACGCTCCTTCACGAGGAGTAACAGGCATAAGTAAGTAAATAAGTAAGTAGTTATAAACAATCTGGAGATTTCCTTTAAAAAGAAACCTTTATTTCTAAAAAAATTCTTCAGAAACAATAAAACATCACTGTAGAAACTTATGTGTGGTGTACCAAGTTCACATCTTTTATAATATTAGCTTAAGTATGTGGATTGATAAATGAATTCTAAATATGTTCCATATTATAAAAAGTAAGTAATATGTATCAAAACTATGCATAAATCTTCTTTATCATTAACTTAACATTAAGAAAACCATGTGACATACCTTGATAGATTGTGCATTCGAATGTATATTCATATAATTAATTTCAATCTCTTTATTTCTTTCTAAAACATCTAAAATAATTCTATCTAATAGTTTTTCATCATTTGAACTATTCACTAAATATTTCCAATTATCCACTACACTATGATCAATTGGAATTTCACGATATGGACATGTGATCGATTCACATATTCTATTCGTTCTTGATATTGTTGCTTGATCTTTAGTTATATTATGAATAAGTAAATGAATTAATTGATGTGTATTTTCTAAAAGATTTTTGCCTTCTTTATTAATTTCTTTCATGAATTGATCAATTTGAATTGTTGAATCTTGATAAGCAGATAAATTTCCTGTTAGATTACTATTAGTATTATTATTACCAGCGGACATAAGACGAAAATTTATACTATTCATCCATCGTTCAATTGTTTGTGCTGAATCACGAAATGCAGAATAGTTTTGTTGAATTGTATTAATCCAAGTAATAAATTGCTAGAAAAAAATATATAGCAAAATGATTACAAATAGGCATTCTTGATGTACTATTTATGTTTTTCATGATCTCAATCAAAAACTTAATAATCTCCACAACCCCTATACTAGTAATCAACATGTGCTCACAATTGACTAGCTTCGTGAGGGAATTCTCGGAATTCTAGTGAGAAGCCGTGATCAGTGAAGCTAATCTATGTCGGATAGAGACAGGTATCTACCTCAGTACAATGGAAGTTTGTCGCGCAATTTCGTGGATTGGTTGATGTTAGACACTATCACCATTGGATGCCGGCTCAGTGGTCCAGTAGGTTAGGCGTTCGCGCGCGAGACCGAAGGCCCTGTGTTCAAATCGCGCGAACGGGACCATGGATGCGCACTGCTGAGGAGTCCCACAATAGGACGAAACGGCCGTCCAGTTCTTCCAGGTTTCCAAAGGTGGTCTAACATCAATCGGTCCATGATCTCAATCAATAACACTTACAGTGTTTGAAGGGAATAAACATGATTCAGATTACAAGCCGATCTCTGTTCAGTCGTATAATGCCAGGCAATAAGTATGGAATGAATGGTTTATTATACTCTAGTATATTTTCACTTCATCTACTCTTAAACTCCGTGTAAAATTAAACCAGATACCTTTAGATTACATACAAAAAACTGACTATGTAATCGTCGATATAGGTTCTAATTTCTACTACTCTTCTTTTCCTAACACTTTCGATGCCACTCTCATTACCGGTCAAGTAAATTCGATAAGAATATTATAATAAAAATGACCATTGGTAGTAGTAGTGTGGTGTGTGATACTTGACATAAGTAGTATATAATGTTAGTCGTGAACAGAAGGTCTGGCAGCAAAGAGACAGGAGGATCGAACAGTAAAGAATGAAAACAGAATGCAATTTGTATGAAAATGCAAGAACAATAAAGTCTGAGTCATTTTGAAACAACTGGTGGGCATTTTGCAAATCAAGCATTTACTTTATGATTGATAGATTTTATTAACAAGTCCTGTAATTTGGCGTTAGATACATTCGATTGTCCCCACCCGTGTTTTGTTCACTACAGTAGTAGTAGTAGTAGTAGTAGTAGTAGTGTAAATAGTATAAAATACTTACGTACTATAAAAAATCAAGTATAATACTTCAAATTTACCTGAATTCTTCCTTTCATTTCGGTAAATCTTCCGGTCAGTTGATTAAATTTATTCGTCTGGCCATTTATCTTAGTAGTATCAGGTATATTCTCACAAAATTGTTCATATTTTTGTGAATATTCATTAAGTTCTTTATTTAAGACCTGTACAAAACAAATTTTACATATAAAGAAAAAAACACTGAATTAATACTTCACTGTAACGAAATACTTAAAAGGATTACTTACTTAAAAATTTATTTGGAAAAACTTTATAAAGATAAATGGTCACTAAAACAGATATTGGTTGCCACCCAGTGATCAATCGAATGTGATTACATCTCAGTCGTACAGGAGGTCAATCGCGACCCGGATAACCCTGTGGTAACATCTCTGACTGTGAACCTGGGTGACACGAGATCGAATCCATCAGGGAGAACCAGATCCCTCAAGATTACAGTTACACCTTGCTGATGATTGCCAAATGGTACAAAACCCGGGTCCAGGGTTTCCTGTTCACTACCCCCAACCACCATCTAATCTCAACATAGTGCACGCAATGTCAAGTCGCCTAAACTAGTGGCTACATCGGAACTTGTTCGATAGCATTGACTCTGCACTAAGAAGGACCTGACACGCATGACATTAATCACCACCCAGTGATCAATCAATTGTGTACAGTAGTCTTTACATAAGCAATTCATTAAATATTTATTTGGTGTAAAAATCACGTAGTTTACTAATCAAACTAATCAATAACAAATTTGGTTCGTCCACAGTATTTGAAATCTCTTTCTGTAGCTCTTTTAAGGTTACTGCTTGTCTCAAGGAGAATTGTCAGGTATGGGGGTCAGTTACCCCATCCCATAGAAAACAAACTTGCTAAACAAAAAAAACGCTAATCAGAATGAACATTATTTAAAAAGTAATTGAAAGATAAATTGTCAATTGAACTTACCGTTATTTGTTGAATATAAGTATTCCAGTTGTTTTCATTAAACTTGGTAGATTCATGAATTAATGGTCTTATATTTTGTTCATTTGTCTCTTTTTGATTTACCAACATGCCTGATTCTAAAATATTTAACTTTTTCTCTGTTTTATCTATCCAATTGCGTAAATCATTGTATAATTCAGACAAATTTTTCTGTTCATTGACCATATGATTTAGTTTTTCTTGGTACTAGTTATTTTCAATAGAGAGTTTAATCATGTTATGTAATTCGTTAGACAGACAATTACAAACATTAGATATATGTTCATTAAGTAAAATGAATTAATTTAAGTGAATGTTCATTTAAAATCTTTAATTTAACAAAGAATGAGTTTAAACATATGCCATGTTTGCTGAAACATTCATCATCCGGAATTTGTACAACGGAGTACATTGAAAATTCGTACATGAAGGACAGCTGACAAACGCATTCTAAATAAGGACCAATATCATATAAGGATGCTTAATCTCTCCTCTGATCTTGTTCTCCTAGAGGTTGACTGGATTATGAAGATCTCCATATCTGACGGGAAGCACGGAATACAATGAATAGCTTGCATGGAACTAGACGATTTTGTTTTGTAGATGACATGGTCCTTCTAACCCGTACGCACCAACAAATTCAGGTGAAAACAGACAGTGTAGTAGCATACTATGTATCAGTAGGTTTCAACATAAACAGGGAATAAAAACCAAGATCCTCAAATGCAACACGAAGAACACCAACACAGTCACACTTCATGGAGAAACTCTGGAACAGTTGGAAACTTTCATGCACCTGAACAGTATAGTCGATGAACAAGAAAGGTCCGATACAGCTGTAAAGGTAAGGATTGGCAAATCAAGGGTACCGTTCATACAATGGAAAAACCTATGAAACCAAAAACAACCGTCTGCATGTCAACACCAAAGTCACAATCTTCAATACGAACGTCGAGACAGTTCTACTGTGTGGAAAACTACCACAACCAACATCAGTTATGCACAAGTATTTATAAACAAATGTCATCACAAGATGCTCAATGTCCGTTGGCCGGATATCATCGGCAACAGCCCGCTGTGGGAGAGAACAAACCAACTTCCAAATGCAGAGGAAATTAGGAAAAGATATTGGAGGTGGATAGGACACACATTGAGGAATTCATCGAACTGTTTCACAAGACAAGCACTAACTTGGTATCGTGAAGGGGAACAGAAAAGAGGAAGACCAAAAAAATGCACTGTCACGAGAATTGGAAGCAGACATAGAAAGGATGAATAGCAACTGGAAACTACTGGAAAGGGTTGTTAAGGACAGAGTTCGATGGAGAATGCTGGTGGGTGTCCTATGATCCTTCACAAGGAGTAACAAGCGTAGGTATGGATTGAAACATTCTCAGTTAAGTGTAAATATTGTCTTTTATGAAATGCAATATTCTCTGTCACTTTTTACAAGTGGAAAGGTCATCACTCTATCACCATACTTGTGAGCACTCCTCTATGATCGAATTATAAGAGGCTTTAATTTATCGAAGGCTTCAATTCAAGGTAACAAATTACCTTTTATGACCAAGAGAATTCGTACAAATCTGTCAATTCTACAATCTATTTATTAGACTAAATGATCTGTCGGTATAGGACAATACATTTGTAATAAATGATTATAGAAGAAAATTTGATAAGAAGTTCCTTTAGACTGTAAATGAGCTTTATTTATTTAAAGATTTCTACCAATTATCACTAACCCTTCAACAAACCATATTTATATGAACATATTTATCTCACTCACATAACTTTATTAGATGCAACAAGAATCTCATGGTCGACAGAATTAATATCCTTTTGTTAAGTAAAGTATAAAAGAAAAACAGTAATTTAATCTACCTCTCAAAACATCAAATATTATTCACTTGGTGTTATTTTACTTGTATCTTCCCAATGTTATTTAGTACTGCAATTGATCAATCTCGTGTTGGCATATGTGCATACTGTGCGGATTGCCTCGATATAGCCTTAATTAACAAGCTTTTGAAGCAAAGATGGATAGTGGCTAACAGTGGAATGCAGTTTGACGAGCGTTTCATCCTATTCGGGACTCCTCAGCTGGATGTACCTGCATGCCCGAGTTGATGTTCACCCCGGGACTCGAACCCAGTACCGTTCGCTTCAAACGCCATCACGTTCTCTACTCATTATTATTCGTATATCACTCGTTTGTTGATCGAAAATTCTCATTTATCGTTATCTCAAAATGTTTTTGTATAGATGATAATTCTGGGATGCAGGTACATCTGGCTGACGAGTCCCAAATGGATTCCAATGCTGGCCACTATCCATCTTTTCTTAGAATGTTTGTGAATTAAGGCAGTTAAGGCACAGTATGCACATATGCCAATAAGAGACTGATCAATTGCATTTCTAAACATCAATGGAAAGATTCGAGTAAACAATACCAAGTGAATTTAACGATAAATGTGGTAAGAAAATATTTCAATTGCGTTAGGGTTTTTAGTTAATTTTTTCTGTTTAACCAGATTGGTATATTGTCAATTGAAATCTTAGAATGCTAATTATGATTTGTTTGTTTTAACTGGTCTTGGTAATGTAGTGACATATTGTTTAACCAATTAACCCACAAATGAATAACGAGAATAATTGTCTGGACTTCAAATAAACCTTTAAGATGAGTTCATCAATAATCCATTAGGTTAGTTACTTGCTTCCTTACGCCTATTACTCCCAATGGAGCATAGACCAACAAACAGCAATCTCCACCCCACTTTGTCCTACTCCTTCCTTTCTAGTTCTATCCAGTTATTGTTCGTTTTTCTAATATCTGTCTCCATTTCTCAAAGTAGTGTGTTCTTTCGTCTTTCACTTCTCCTTGGACATTGAGGAGTTCATGTGCGAGCTTGCCTTGTGATGAAATTCGGTGCTTTCCTCAATGTGTGTCCTATCCACTTACAGCTACACTTCCTGATTTCTTCCTCCTCTAGATTCTGGTTTGTTCTCTCCCACACTAGGTTATTGCTCATTGTGTCTCGCCAGTGGATCCGAAGTAATTTGTGTAGACAACTGTTAGTAAACACTTTTATCTTCTGGATGATGGCTTTCCTAGTTCTCCAGGTTTCCACCCATACAGTAGAACTGTATTCATATTTGTATTGAAAATTCTGACATTGGTGTTGGTTGACAATTGTTTTGAGTTCCAGATGTTCTTCAGTTGTAGAATTGCTTCTCTTTCTTTGCCGATCTATGCATTCATATCTGCATCAGATCCACCGTGTTCATCAATGATGCTGCCCAGATATGTAAAGGATTTTAGATGTTTTAAAGCTACTCCTTGAAGTGTGATTGGACTGGTGCATGTTTTGTTGTATCGCAGAATCTTGCTTTTCCCTTTGTGTATGTTGAGACCTACTGCTGCTGACGCTACTGCTATACTGGTCGTCCTCTCTTGCATTTGTTGTTGCGTGTGTGATAGGAGAGCCAGATCATCTGCAAAGTCTAAATCGCTCAGCTGCATCCTATATGTCCACTGTATCCCGTGCATCCCTCGAGATGTTGATATCTTCATGATCCAGTCGATCACTAGGAGAAAGAGAAAGGATGAGTGTAAGCAACCTTGCCTGACACCTGTTTTTACTTCGAACGAGTCTGTCAACTGTCCTCCATGCACGATTTTGCAATTGAATCTATCATGGAATTCCATATGATATTGACTGCTTTCTCAGGCACGCTGTAGTATCAACGAAGCTTCCATAATGTTGTCCTATCCATACTATCAAATACTTTCTAGTAGTCAATGAAGTTGAGATCAGGTTAGTTACGTAGAAATAATGAATATAGTTGAGATAATCATTGAAAAATAATCAAATTTAAAGCGATGAATAATGAATTTCCATTAGATTTCAGTCATGTTTCGTAGGACATTCTGTAAAATATAAATTAAGTTTATCCAAAAATTTAATACTGAAGTTCTAGTGAAGAGATTTTGTTTTTGTTTTTGTTACATCCATCTATAGTTTTAATGTTTGATAGTGAACAATATTCATTCAGAACTTCACTTACTTCTGTTATTTGTTGATTGATTTCATTAAACTCATTTCTAAATTCATTTAATTGTCGTTTAGCTTTAGATCCAATAGTTTCTGTTTGTAAATTGTTGATTTCATTTTGATTCGTTGCAAGTTGATGTTGATGATCGTAGCCTGTAAACACACCTGTGTTTACAGAATCGTTTATATCTAATTGACTTGAGTGTGTCATAAATATTTGATTCATAGTTAATGCTGCAGTTGATGAAGCTCGACAAATTCGATCTGCTCTATCGCTAAGCTCTAAAAGTTTTGGTTGATATGAGCGTAATTTTTCACGTATAGTCTATTTTTAAAAAAAAAACAATAATTATCGACTGAGTTATTCATTAGATAATTTGACACATAATGTTTGAAGTTTTGTATAATAATTTCACTTACCTATGGGACTCTGGGTGGCATGGCTCAGAATCGATCACACTGGTGTAGGTGTATACACTCTTTGTCTTCCTTTAAACCATAAGATTAAAATTACTTTACACCTTTCTTTCTACAAATTCATTCTTTCTTCTTGTATCATATTCTTATAAGCAGTCTTTCTTTAATATATTACCACGATTGAATTAACTACTTCTATGAATCCGGTGTTCATTTTGCTGTGCTAATGAGGTATGGCAACTTGGAAAGATGCATGTATGTGCCTGGGCCTACGTTATAGATGACTGATTGACTTCACTTACCTATTTGAATATGAAGTTTATAGCTGAAAATTTAATTCTTTTGCAATTAAAGTAATCATCTGAACTTCCGTTTATAACTCAGTTCTCAGATAATTTCTTCCTTCACTTTCTGATCAATAATCAAGATATCTTTATCCAACGAAGTAATACATATCAAGACTTAGTGGGCCAAATGATGTATGAAGCTATTTTGGTCACTTAAAACCACTGAACTACATTTCTTAAAGTTACTCCACAATCTTGTAGGTTAGAATTTTAGTTTAAACTGTAGAGGAGCTTCTTACTAATAAACAACTGTCTGTTTCAGCTTTTGCGTTTGCAGTATTTTCATAGCCCATATAAATATGATAATTAACACTGTGATCATCTTATAATGAAATATGTATAGTTTAACTTTCCTGAAATTTTAGTTTATCATAAACAACTTATCAGTGATATCTCTTACGACTTTGCTGACTAGTGCAGCGGTAATTTCTTGGCTCAGAGAAATTATTAGACAGAACTATCACCAAGTGCACGTTATTCAAAGATTTCGAGTGGATAACTACAAGCAGAAATCACAACATAATTCAACTAAAAATTTATAATTATTTTCTTCAGATTATCTCAATTTCCATAAATATTGTGCATTAAACAGTCTACATGAACTACTCAACAAGCAAGTTGACAACCACTAAGGTCATATGCTCCACAACTTATAAAAGTGATCGCATAAATGAAATTTACGATATTTTTCTATCTCTAGACTTAATTTCTTAGACACTACGGAGTTCCTGAGAAGAATTTCAACGTTATCCATAACTCATTCGACGGACTACAGTACAAAGTCGTGCATGGAGGACAACTGACAGATGCATTCCAAGTAACGACCGGAGTCACACAAGGCTGTCTACTCTCTCCCTTCCTATTTCTTCTCGTGGTCGACGACTAGATTATGAAGACCTCAACATCTGAGGGAAAACACGGAATACAATGGACAGCTCAGAATCAATTATACGATTTCCACTTCACAGATGGCCTAACAATCCTATCCCATACACACGAACAAATGCAGATAAAGACAACTAATGTTGCAGCAGTCTCTGCATCAGTAAACCTCAGCATACACAAGGGGAAAATCATGATCCTCAAATACAACACGGAGAACATCAATCCAATCTCACTTAATGGCAAAACTCTGGACGATGTAGAATCTTTCACATAGCTGGGAAGCATCATCGATGAACAAGAAGGAACAGATGCAGAGGTAAAGGTGAGGATTGGAAAAGCAGGAGGTGCATTCCTACAATTGAACAAACAACATATGAAACTCAAAACAACTGTCTGTCAATCAATATGAAAGTCACAATCTTCAATATGAACGTCAACACAGTCAGTTCTACTGTACGGTGCTGAAACCTCCAGAACTACTACAACCACCATCAAGAAGGTACAGTATTTATAAATAGTTGTCTACTGAAGATACTCAACATCCATTAGCCGGATACCATCAGTAACAGAGTTCTGTGGGAGAGAACAAACCAGGTTCCAGATGAGGAGCTAATCATTAAAAGACGTTGGAAATGGATAAGACATACATTACACAAACTATCAAACTGCATCACGGGGCATTGGCTAACTTGGAATCGTGAAGTGAAACGGAAAAGAGGAAGGCCGAAGTACACATTACGTCGGGAAATAAAACCAGATATGAAAAGGATGAATGAGAACTAGAAGGAGCTAGAAAGGATTGCCCAAAATAGGGTTGTATGGAGAATGTTTGCGGTGGCCTATGCTCCTTCACGAGAAGTAACGCGCGTGAGTAAGTAAGTAAGTAAGCCTATACTTAATGTATATAATCATTTGTTACATGACTCGTTCATTTTTGATCTCACAGAAATAAGTTACGGAAACAATGGGGCGTTCATATTTTTCTTTGGATGGCGAATCATCTCAGTCGAATATAACGTGTTACAACGCGAATCCTCAGCAATTTCTGGAGCTGATTTAAATCTCAGATGTTTCTAGGTAAACATTAATAACCCATGGATCTACGTTTCTTAATAACTAGTATTTCCTAACAAGGTTTATCCGCAACTTTGAGGGTGTTTCAGACTCACATTATTACGTTTCATAATTAGAGACATCACCACCAACATATTTAGATCACGACTTACCTCCATTAAGACTGGGATTAAAATGTAATATAAAATATGTAAGATTCTGAATATCTGACATACCTATATAAATTAAGCATTTTTATGGTATTAAATATATTTTTTGTGATATCCTAATGATAAGAAAAATTGTATTTCTGACGTTTCGTGACTTAATATAAACCGCTTCTTCAGAGTAGTGGCTCACATAAAATCTCGAAACCTCGGAAATAAAATTTTTCTAAGAATGAAGATATAACAAGAAAAGTATATACATTTATTATTAACTTTCTACCCAATGCTCAATTTATTTGAAACTATCAAGTCCAACCTTCTGGTTGGTTTTTTTTTAGCGAGTTAATTTTCTACGGGATAAGGTCGCTAACCTCATGCTCAACACTCCTGTTTTATCTGAGCTTGGGACCGACAGTAACCCCAGATGGACTCTAGGTGGATACCTATAAACTCACCTTTTTTTATAAGTATAACAGCAATTTTTATTTATGGTTGTCAAGTGATCTATAGATTGAATAAACTTCAAAATCAGTTTATAAAAATGAACTCCATTATATTGATAACCATTTGAAATAATTTGAATAAACTCACTGTGATTGTATTCAAATGATTTTCAGATAAGTTTAGATTCTGTTCATTTATATTGATACTTTTTAATTCTGTTTTTAAAGTATCAAGGAAATTTCTAATATTATTACATAATACTTGAAATTCTCTATTTTCCATAAATACAAGTTGAAGTTTAGATAAAACATCCTAAAGTAATAAAAGATATTTAATTAATTAGAAGTTAGATATTAATATAAAACTAGTTTAACAGACATACATCTTGAACACTGATTGACACATAAACACTGGTACAAGAGGGCACCAGATACATATGCGCTACACAAATCTCATTTGATATGTGTATGGCTAGGATACTCTGCAGGTGCCCAAACCGAAGCAGATGGTTTTCTTAGGGGGCCACATTCGGAGCATTCGATCTAAAGGTCTGATCCACAAGGCAGTGGAGCAACGTCAAGAGATGCAGTGCCATGGTAGCCGGTGACCAACACTTGGTTCACACGCTATTTGTTCCCTCAGGATCCTGGGACCCATGTGCACCATTGGTTTGGAATCAGGGTTTTCCAATTCCCCTAGGTGAATCTTTGGTCTCCGCCAACCCGGTTAAAGCACCGGACATTCGCTTTTTGTCCTCTCAATTTCGTAAACAACACCTCCGCCACGAGAAGGCAGTGAGTAGGACTTCCCTGGCAGAGGCTATATACGCGTGGCCATGTGAAAGCATTTTGAGAGGGAGAGCAGACCATCCTCACTCTCGGCCGTACCAGGGCATTTGGGGGCACAGTGATTGACAATTAAAAATATGTAGAAAACTTTCATAAACTATGTAAAGACATGAAGAAAATAGTATAATAATACAGTATGATATGACAAATATCTGAAAAAGAAGTAATCAATAATTTTTTATCACTTGTTATCAAACTTTTGATTGTTAAGCAACGTTTAGTTGTTGTAAGACGTTTTCCCATTTTTACTTGTCAAGAGAATAGTTTCTAGAAACTAAGAATTATCGTTTACTAAATATCTTGATATTTTTATATGAACAATATAATAAGTTTATTTCCTTATTGATCAGTGACAGATTTTTAAATCAAGAATTCTTGGAAACTGTTACTTTGATATAACAAATAATGATTTTATTTTGAATGAGATCATGAATCGACGAGTGTTAGATCACCACCCCACTATGGACCCTCAGCAGTGTGCATCCACGATCCCACATGTGAGACTTTTAGGTCTCATGAGAGAACGCCTAACCTCTAAACCACTGAGGCGAATCCCGTGTGCGGGATCGTGGATGAGCACTGTTGAGGAGTCCCATACAAGGACGAAACGGACGTCTAGTGTTTTCGGGTTTTCCACCGTGGTCTAACATTCTTTGATTTATGGTCTCAATCGAAACTTAACAATCTCCAAAACTCCACATTGATAATAATTATATAACTAGTTATATTGATATAATAAGAAATGTGAATCGATTGACATATGAAAACCATATTAACCTGACGGCTTATGTATAGTTTAATAACAAGTAATGAGAACTAATTTACCTAAGCACAAAATCTTATTCAAATATTTCAAAAAGATCGGTGAATAAAACAATAAAACTAGAAATTACTCATAGTTCACAAATAAGAAACATTACTATAATATCCACTGAAGCTTTATACAAAACATCTAATGATTTTAATATAATAATAGAAGACATCTGGTGACAATGTACATCAACGACAAACTCTAACTAAACAATAATTAAAAATCATGAAGCATTGTTTAGTAGTCGAATGGAATCGTTTGGTAGAGTACATTCATGACCTCTATTGAATAAGAGATATTTTTTCTAATTGATTGACATCAAAGAATTGTGAAATAGTTTATTTTTAAATCAGTAAGTAGATGTTATCGTCCTCACTGATTGATTTGAAGATTTTGGATCTGGATCTATATGAGATCTTATTTATACACTGTTTTTTTTATATCTCAATCCAAGCAAAGCCGTTTTACAATATTCTTTGAATTCCAGCAATTATCTAACTGATGTCTTCTTAAAATGAGAATAATTTGTGGACGACCCTTGAGCGACGCTAAAGTGACCTTGAGAGTGTCCACCTAATAACTAGGATCAAATGAGGGTTAGAAACCAGTGTGAAGAATTAGAACTGTGATTTACAGTTGATAGTTAAGGTTATAAATTAGATTTAAGGTTTTCATCACGAACTAATATCAGCTATAATGCCAAAACTCTATTTATCCAAATAGATGAATGAGTTTCTCGCCAAAATCTGAGACTTGTTATCTTACACTTGATTCGTTCTTCTATAAACTATAGTCTCACCGTAATGTGAATATTTACTGAATTTACATGAACATAGCTGTAATGCTTTGCAGAAGTTGAAAGCTACATTGTCAAATGAACAACATGAATCTTTTATCAAAGCTGGACAAATTTATATGAAAATTAGTTCATTTAACTTGTGATTAAGAACGAAGCTAAGCTAATAGAAAGTAAACTACAGACAATACTTAATATAGAAAGCTGCTTAACATTAAAACAATGAATGAAATGGTTATTTAATGGATCGTGATTTTTTTTAACAGTTCTGAAGTCTACTTCATCTAGGGGATAAGAAAAATTTCTATCCCCTAGATAACATATTAATTATACTAAGCAAAGATGGATAGTAGATAGCAGTGAAATCCAGGACGTGTGTCTCGTCTTATTTGGGACTCGTCAGCTGGATGTACTTGCATCCCATAGTTGATGTTCACTTCGGTACTCGAACGCAGTACCATTCACTTCAAGCGCCATTGCAATATCCACTTAACTAATGAGTGCTGCTTGTGCAATGAGGTGAATTTTAAATTCACTTGGTGTTGTTTTACTTGTATCTTCCCATTGTTATTTAGGATTGCAGGCACAGGATCCAGATATGCCAACATGGGACAGACCAATTTCAGTCGTAAATAAATTCGGGAAGATACAAGTAAAACAACACCAAGCGAATATTAATGATACGCTAGCAGAAATTGAATAGATCAAATACAGTATCAAGATTATGTTATATAAGGTGCCAATTGTGATTGTTCTACTATAAGTAAGTAAATTATTCATACGATTCAGGTCATGGAGTAATTATTCTTGCTATTCGAAAAATCTATGAATACATACAATCTCTAAACATCAATATTTGTCATTTGATTTTAAATCTTCCCATGTAGTCTTTGTTATATCCTAGTGAAGAAATAATTACAAGTGACTTCTGAGACCTATTAATGGATTTATATTATATACATATATTCCTATTGTATAACTGTTCAGCAACTAGAATATGTATATCTATATTTCTTTCATTATAAGCTTCATTTTGATCTATAGACTATTATTATACAACTTACTGGTCAGTTTATTGATTACAGTCTCCTACGTTCACAGTCACTTTTTGGGTTGATCTTGTATAAATCTTATTACGTATTTTAAGATCTGATGCGTTCTGTTTGGAATAAATGATTCGCATAGTGGAAGCTAGTATTGGTGTTCTGGACGCAGTTAGACGGGTTATGGGAACAAAGGACCAATAAGATGCTAGGCTGACCAGACCGGTCGAACATCATTGGTTTAGTACAGTACTAAGATTGAATAAACCGTATTTCAATTGGCGAATAAATTACGTGATAAAAAGCCACATTTTAAGTCACAAGAGTCTTAATATTTCTTTCTCTATGTAGTTGATAAGCCAAATACTAAAAATCTATTAATGATTGAATTGAATTGTAGTGAATGAGAATACAAATGGGGACAATCGAATATATATTTGAATACAAAATAACATAGTATGTTCATAAAATCTGAGAACCATACAATAAATACTTCGTTTGCAAAGTATCAATCAATCGTCCCAAACTTCATTATTTCTTCGTTTCTAAACTAATCGTTCTCTTTTGTTTTTCCCTTTACTTCAATCTTCTTAACCTTCTGCCGACAGATATTCTACCTTCAAATGATGATACATACTACTTATCTTTATCGATATCAGTAACACACAATATAGAATGATTTTATTAAAATAAAATTTTCAATATTACAAATCTTGTTATTATTACTTACCTCACAACTTTTAATTAAACTATGATATTGAATTAATAATTGATTTAAAGAATTTTTAACACCAGATTCATTAGTTCTTTGTTGAATTGATTCACATAAACTATTTAATTGTGTTAATTCAGATTTTTGAGACATTAGTTCACTTTGAAATACCTGACATTAAAAATACAAACAAAAATAATATTGGAAGGAGTTTTGTGGGTATTATAGTGATTTCAGTGATTGACATCATGAGTCACTTAAAGCTAGACCATCAAGGAAAGCCTCAAAGCACTGGACGATCGTTTCGTCCTATTGAGGGACTCCTCAGCAGTACGCATCCACAATTCCGCTTCGTGAGATTCGAACCACGGACCTATATATACAACGGACTAAGATGCACAATTGTTCAAGGAGGACAACTGACAGATGCATTCCAAGTAACGACCGGAGTCACACAAGGCTGTCTACTCTCTCCCTTTCTATTTCTTCTCGTGGTCGACGACTAGATTATGAAGACCTCAACATCTGAGGGAAAACACGGAATACAATGGACAGCTCAGAATCAATTATACGATTTCCACTTCACAGATGACCTAACAATCCTATCCCATACACACGAACAAATGCAGATAAAGACAACTAATGTAGCAGTAGTTTCTGCATCAGTAGGCCTCAACATACACAAGGGGAAAATCATGATCCTCAAATACAACACGGAGAACATCAATCCAATCACTCTTGATGGTGAAACTCTGGAAGATATAGAATCCTCCACATATCTGGGAAACATCATCGATGAACAAGGAGGTTCAGATGCGTACGTAAAGGTGAGCATCGGAAAAGCAAGGGCCACATTCCTACAATTGAACAATATATGGAACTCCAAACAAATGTCTGTCAACCAATATCAAAGTCATAATCTTCAATATGAACGTCAACACAGGCAGTTCTACTGTACGGTGCTGAAACTTCCAGAACTACCACAAGCACCATCAAGAAGGTACAGTATTTATAAATAGTTGTCTACTGAAGATACTCAACATCCATTAGCCGGATATCATCAGTAACAGCCTACTGTGGGAGAGAACAAACCAGCTTCTAGTTGAAGAGGAAATTCGGAAAAAATGATGGAAATGGATAAGACATACATTACGCAAATCATCAAACTGCGTCACGAGGCAAGCCCTAACTTGGAATCGTGAAGTGAAAGGGAAAAGAGGAAGGTCAAAGAACACATTACGTTGGGAAATAGAATCAGATATGAAAAGGATGAACGAGAACTGGAAAGAGCTGGAACGGATTGTCCAGGATAGGGTTTGATGAAGAATGCTGACGAGCGGCCTATGCTCCTCGACAAAGAGTAACACACGTAAGTATATATATATATATATATATATATATAAAACAGGTCTTGAGTTGAATATTAATATTATGATATTACTTGATAATTTTGTATAATTTCATCAAGTGGATAATAAATATCAATCATTAATTGATTATTTTTTTCATTCATTAATTGATTTATTGATAGATTATTCAAATTATTGATTGATTGTTGATTAATTTTTTTAATTTTTATTAAATGATTCATAAATGATTGTTTAAAATCATTTAATTTATTATTGAATTGATTTAATTGATTAATAAATAGATTTAAATCATTTTTATAATCAATCATATGAATCATTAATTGTTCTATTGAATTTTGTCTATTATGAATTTCATCAATAATAATAATTGTATCATTAATATTTAATTTGAATAAATCATTTTCTAATTCATTGAATAAATGATTAACATTATCAGCTATGATTGATGATGTTTTAGTGATTTCATTAATATAATTCTGTAATAAATCCATTTTTAGATGAGATTGTTTTAATAATTGATCAATTAAAAATGATGATGATGCTGATGCTGATGTTGATGATGGTGACGGTGTAATCAATTGTAATTCATTTTTTTCATTATAATTAGTTAATAATAATTGTGTATTCATTGAATAATTAGTTTTCCAATATTCCAATTTATTTGAATCATTTTTCGATGGATATGGTGATATTCTAATTGGATTCTATGAAAATGTTAATTTTTTTTTTTAAAAAAGACAAAAGAAAACGAAAAATACAGTTTCATGTAAGGGGGAACAATATATATCTCTATTCATGTTATATTATCAGAATAGGTTTTGTGGAGATTTTTAGAAATTTCACAGGTTGAAATCATGAGTCAATTGAAGCTAGTGGTTAAGTGCTCGCACGCGAAACAAGTAGGTCCTGTGTTCGAATCCTGCGGGGTGCGGGGTCGTGGATGCGCACTACTGAGGAGTACTATACTAGAACGAAACAGCCGTTCAGTGCTTCCAGGTTTTCCATGGTGATCTAGCTTCAATTGACACACGATTTCAACCTGTGAAATTTCTAAAAATCTCCACAAAACCCATTCTGATAATAATCAACTGCTCACTAGTGACTGACTTCAGGAGATACTACTGGAGTTTTAGTGAGAAGCCGTTACCAGTGGAGTTCAACTAGGTCTGTTGTGAGATATCAGCCTCCTGAAGACAATGGTGTACGGTGGCGCAACTTCGTGGATTGGTTGAAGTTAGACATTAACACCGTTGGATGCCGGCCGGCTCATTGATCTAGTGGTTAAGTGCTCGCGCGCAAAACCAGTAGGTCCTGGGTTCATATATTACTTTAGAAATACACTCTATGTTACAAAGGATGAAACGATTATCCAGTGTATTCAAGGTTACCCATGATGGTTTAGCTTTAATTGACTGATGATTTTGTAGTAACCTACTTTTATGAAGAGAATGCAATTGGGTTAAGGGAAACAATTATTATTATAATCAATTGTACCAAGGACTGTTTTACTGTACTTGTTTGTTTGACTGTACTAAAGACATACTTTCTTCCGTTGATTGTGGCCTTGCACAAATTCGGTTACGCTCAGTAACCACACTTGTAATCCTTTGGCATGATCTTGGTATTCTTTCGATACCACGAGATTACCAACAAATACATTTCGACTACAGCCATCAATTGCCTTCTGATATTTGGCTTATTGGGGATCTTATCGGTTAACTGGCACGTAGTCTTCCTGTAGTGGTGATCATATTCAACCACGACTCGACGCCACACAACAATTTCAGTTATTACAAATTACTATAATATCCACAAAAACTACTTGTGATATTTGGCTGTTGTAATATTATTAATGAGTAATACGAATTCTTTTTTCAATACTTTTAAAACTTATTTATTGGAGAAGATAATATTCCTTAATTTCAACAAATAATATTCTGATTAGTAGTCGAAAGGACTTTTTTACGGTTTCTTTCAACAGTTGAGATCATGAGTCACTAATGACTGGCTTCAAGAAATATTTCCTGGATTTGTAGGGAAAAGCAATGACTAGTGGTGTTTAACCGGGTCTGTCGTGAGATAGTAACACACTGAAGACAATAGTGCATATGTTGCTCAATTTTGTGGATTAGTTAAAATTAGACATTAACACCGTTGGATGCCAGCTTAGCAGTCTAGTGGTTAAGTGTTCAGGGGTGAAACTTATAGGTTCTGTATTTGAGTGTCGTACTAGGACAAATTGGTCTTCCAGTGTTTCCAAGTTATCAATAATGATCTAGTTTAAGTCATCTCATAAATTCAACTTGCTAAGTTAGAAGCGGTTACGAGTTCACTTAGACTGCGAATGGAAACAAAGACTCAGTCACAAAAGACTAACAAGCTAGCGATTTGATGCGACCCAGCCTCGCTAACTAGAGAAAGAAGTCCAAGCTTGGAATGGAAAGTATATTCTGCAAATCAGCCAGAAACGAGCGGTAACAACAAACACAATTCAAAACGTATATATATACAGTGCGAAACCGTCCTTGGGGAGAGTTACAAAATAGCATACTAAAAGACACAACAGACCAATGGCATTTAAAATTCTCCCAAGTAGGAAACAAAACATGAAGGTGAAAAGAGCGTTTTTGGCACGAAAACATAGGAATTCAAATTTTCCAAATAAAATTACAAAATTAAGTCCTTTCCCAAGCGAGTTTTGGGGATCTAACGTCCTCAACACAATTATTAAAACATTAACACAATCTCAACAAACCTTTGTTCTGATAAAAACCTATTTCAATCCATAGAACAAAAAACGTTTAATACCAAATCCTATATTGAAATATATATTTAACGATAATAATAAATGAATGTTTGATTATGAAATATGTAACAAATTGTTAATCAGTTTTGAAAGAGTACTTAAAGAAAATATTTGCATTATTTCATTTTATTACATCTAGTTTCGAAATAAAACCTTCATAACAGTCGGTCAGTCAGCTAGAACGTAGGATCAGGCACATATATGCATCGGCCCAAGATGTCATACCTTATTAGCACAACAAGGTGAAAACCGGATTCAAAGAACTAGTTAATTCAATGGTGGTAATATATAAAAGAAAGATTGCATATAAGAAAATAGTACAGGAAGAAAGAATCAGTTCGTAGAAAGAAAGTTGTGAAGCGATTTTAATCTCATAGTTTAAGGGAAGACAGAGAGTGTATACACCGACTCCATTGTAATCGATTGTGAGGCATGTCACCCACAGTCTCCAACCACTACTCGTTATGATAGTCACGCGGACCACAACCAAGTAATCTGCATCTACCAACATGATTCAGACTAGAAGTTACTAATTTCAAGAACTGATGCCCACTTTTTGGTTTAGCAGCCCCTAACTTTGTCCCAACCATCCCCAACACTTGTAAACATTATGCGTCGTCATAATCACTGTTCACATGCATATGTGACACATGACACAACCATCTCAGTCGATGAAGATTCACAACCTCATCAACCGATTGACCATCATTCTCTAATACTTTACGTCTAACCTCCCTATTACTTGTCCGATGATCCTAACAGATACTGACAATATTTCTAAGGCATCTATGGTCAAATACTAGTAGCTCATGAATATCTTCTACTCTTAATAGCCACGTTTTGTAGCCGTCAATTAGAAAAG